TATTTCGCCACTCCGTCCAACTCTCGTATTTTTTTCAGTCCAACTCTCGTATTTTTTTATTCCGTCCAACTCTCGTATTTTTCATTCCATCCAACTCCCGTATTTCGCCATTCCGTCCAACTCTCGCATTTTTTCATTCCGTCCAACTCTTGTATTTTTTTATTCCGTCCAACTCTCGTATTTTTCATTCCATCCAACTCCCGTATTTCGCCATTCCGTCCAACTCTCGCATTTTGACATTCCGTCCATTTCTCGTATTTCGCTACTGTGTCCAACTCCTACATTTTTCCATTCTGTACAACTCTCGTAATTACCATTCCCGACAGGTACCATTCCGTCAATGATTGTCGTTCTTGACTCTCGCATGATCATGATTCACAATATGATTGTCATTCTTGCGAATTCCCGTATTGATTGACATTCGCGTGGATTCCGGTAATGATTGACAACCTTGTAAATTCCCGTGATGATTGTCGTTTTTTCCAACTCTCGCCATGAGTGTTGTTCTTGATAACTTTCGCCATGATTGTTGTTCTTGATAACTCTCGTCATGATTGTCCTTATGACCTTACCTTATGACCTTATGATGAGTTCGGGACTTCCTAGTCCCCGGTCACGCTAATGCGCCGCCTTCGTCGTCCTCCTCGGCGCCTGATAGCTCGACCTGAAGCGCTAGCAACTACGGCCACTGAACTAACTTCATCGTCCTCCGTCTCCGAGTCGTCGTCGGATGTAACGTTGGACGTGTTCCGTCTATTTGCCCTCCTTTGGGCCAGCTGATGCAATATGCTGTTGCTTGTCACTTGCTGTTGGCAGTTTCCCATTACTGGACAATCCGGGATCTTTCTCAACCACTTGTCCAGTCGTCTCTTGAATGTTGCAAGGGTAAACTCCCCTCCTCTCAGCTGTTTAGCTTGTTAACGCAGCCGGAAATGTGGAATTGAGCCTCGCCACTGAAAAAAACGACCGCGTCTTCAGGCAGGTTGTCAACCAGCATTTTACATGCATTTTGAGGGGCAACAAAATCGCGTTCATTAATTCTTGCACTACAACAAATTTATTTGAAAAACTTTGAGAAACAAACATGGGACCTTTCCCCTTCAGATGCACCCCCTCTCGCCCCTCTACCCGACCAACTAACCGCACAGGAATTTTTTCAAATAAGTAAATTTCTGTGGCGCACCCTGTAGTTGCTTCTCCTCAATTTCTATGCCATCTGATGCCAAGTAGCGATGTGGCATCCCGATCTTTGTGCGATCTCTGTATCTCATTACTTCGAACTTGGTGCCGTTGAACTGCATAGTGTTCACTAGGGCCCAATCGTAGATTGACGATAGATCATCCTGTAACCTCTCGCAGTCTAGGCCATCTGTGATCATCAGCACTCTTGTATCGTCCGCAAATGACGATGTAGATGCGTGGGTGAGTTCTGAGTCAACATCGGCAATGTGGATGAGGAAGAGGATCGGTCCAAGCACTGAGCCCTGCGGAACTCCGCTTTTCACCTTCGCTTCTCTCGATTTCGAGTTTCCAATTGCGACAGCTTGTACTCTATCTGTAAGGAAGTTGTGGATCCACCTTAACAGGCTTCCTCCTACCCCAACAGCCTCAGCTTTCTCGTTCATGATAACTCTCGTCATGATTGTTGTTCTTGATAACTCTTGCGTTGATTGTTGTTCTTGATAACTCTCACCATGATTGTCGTTCTTACCAATTCTTGTCGTGATTGTCGTTCTTGCCAACAGCCGTCGTTATTGTCATTCCTGGCAACTCACGTCATTTTGCCGTTCTTGCCAACTTACGCAAGTTTTGTTCATATTGGTAACTCTTATTTTTTCTGTTCCTGCCAACTCTCGTATTTCTTGCCGTTCATGGCAACTCTTCGTTGTTTTAAAATAATTTAATTTTGTAATATTTGTCAAGTCATCAATTTCCTAATAAGATTCTAATAAAAAATAATAACTCGTCCCTGCTGATAATGAAGCATTTAATTCTAAAATGGGAGTCCAGATTCGTGCGTAAATGTTTACCATATCCATTGGAGGCATGTATGTTTAACATGCCTAAATGTTAGCCATATTCGGGCTCAGCATTGAAACGTTCAGTCTGCTGCCGCCATTGGTTTTATGTACAAATGACGATTAGATGACGATAAGAATAACCGCATAAATGATTTTCCTTGCAGTGTAACAATGAGTTTCAGTTCAGGAGCCGCCACGCAGGAAGCAGGAGCTGCTCTGCACCAAGTTCATGAAGTAGTACATGCTATACAGGAAGCTAGAACTGCTCTGCAGGAAGCTAGAACTGCTCTGCAGGAAGATAGAACTGTCTGCTCTGCAGGAAGCTAGAACTGCTCTGCAGGAAAATGGATCTGCTCTGCAGGAAGCTAGAACTGCTCTGCAGGAAGCTAGAACTGCTCGGCTAATTGCTCCGCATGAAGCAGGAACTTGTGCGCAGGAAGCAGATACCGGTCTGCAGAAAGAAGGCGCCAGTCCGCAGGAAGCAGAGGCTGGTCCGCATTAGACATCACATTTGAATCTGCGTGCGCTTGATTGGCACAGCTTGAACATTTAATGTCTATCATTTCTACGATTTTCTTTCGAGTAATAAAGAATACTAGAAGGCCTGCTAGCAAAGTAAAGTTTTTAGACTGGTTTGATTGCATTCCAAATTCAATTTTTAATTTAGAATATTAAGAAATTTTTCCGCCAACAGTTACATTTATTGTTACTCATTACGGTTTGAATCGATAAACTTTCTTGTCGATGTCAACGATGCAGGGCTGAGTTTGTTATCGTGAATGCTAATGAAACGTTTACCTGATTGAACTTTTGACGCTCGATTTCGTCTTTACTCCTATGGTTCTTTTGTAACTTAGTAAGATTAATTATTCGTATTGATGTGTAAGTTAGTCTGTATACAAGACTTGCCGTTTGCTTGAGTCCTCGAGTAAATTATCCTGCTGCTGTGGCATTGCCTAAGTCTGGCCATCCATTTTTTTGTAATCCAGCCTCTAATCTATCCGAGACATGTGCTAATATTATTAATTATGTCTAATGCTGAGTAAGCTTTCTCGGTGATTGTCAATCTTTTTTAGTGAGAGTCCTCAGCATCTGATTCTTCTTATTAAACGTTTTTTGGCTAAAATTCTGTCCTTTATTGCTACTTGGACTATCGAAAATTGGCGTGGAGTAGACGAGGGTCAACTTGAGATTTATCGAAGAAAAATGAACGGTGAACGATATAGCAATGAACTATATATATCAATGCAGTGAGTTTACATGGGAATACAGGCAATAGCGTCGCGCTTAAAGACACTTTTTGGATGGAGAGACTTGAATGCATGGATGATTTTTCACTGCGATCATCGCACGTAGCAGCTCTGTACTCTCGACCAGAAATTTCAACGAACTGCCCAGGTGTATTCTAGGCTGTCCTCGCGAGCTCATAAATTTATTACCTTTCGTTTCTAGTGTCGGCAGAAAGCACTTGGCTACACTGCATTCCTCGCCTGACATTAAGGCTCCAGTCATTAATGTGCATTACGATCTAAACTGGCTTTCGCTGGCTCCAAAAAGCTCTGCTAAGATAACTCATTGCGCAGCAATGTGGAGACAGAATAGACGGCATTAAAATTTACTTCTGTAATGTTAGCGGCACGCAGTTGCTGCGTTTCACGACACAGACGCCTTATGTATGAACGTCTATGGAAGTTCCAATATAAGGCATGGAGTCAATGTTGAGCAATCTTGATCAGAAAGAGCCTACATTGAAGAATTTTGTAATGTTAGCACTAAAATTTTATTGTGACTTCGTTGGTGGCATGTGCTTAATATTTTTACGTCGGAGCTGCTTCGTAATTTAAAAGTGCTTGCTTTCTAATTGAAAACATTACTTGAAGAACCATTCATCGATGAAAAATGAAATTAGCTTGCATTTACTCCTATTCTAAAATACTAGTTTGATGGCAGTAGCTTCGGGAACTGAGTCGGGTTAATAACTTCATGTTCCGTGTGTTGATGACTCAGCCAGTGCATCCTTGTACCGTCAAAACCTGCACTAAACTAAATTAATAAATTAGGTAAAATATTTAGCTCTCGTCCTGCAACGCCGTCGAGGACTTTACTGAAAGGCGGACTTGGCGAGCTGTAGGTTGAGGTCACGATAAAGTCGGTTAGGGGACGAAAATTCATAATATAAATAAGGACAAGAAGAATATTTCATACCAGCAGGGAAATATATTTAAGTAATGAGCAAATTATCATCTATTTGAACATGATCATTGGCCAAACAACGGCCCTTGCCGCAACGGAGCTGATCTGTTGGCATTTAGTACGTACTTAACATTTCAGTTGCGGCATAAAATTCAGTGCGGTATAAAATTAAAGATAATCACAATTTTTCTGGAATAAGCTTAAGGAAACCCATAACAACAAATGAGAAATCGAAACTCGTTAAATTATTCATGATATATTATAGTATATGTGTCCTCGGATGCTATAATTCAAACGCGATGTGACCTTGTGCAGAGAACGGAAATTGCGATGGGCGATTTAACTGCACTGACTAATTCTTCTCATTGTAACGTGCCTCCCCATCTGAATCCTCGTTTTTTCTTATTCTCCCGAATATATGTGAAGGAAAGAGCCGGATACTTCAGCACAGTTAAGACGAAACTACATTAGGTAATTTAAGAACATCAGACGTCGACGCTAGGACGAAAACTGAACAGTTCCGTGGCGAGAGCGAGTCATCGTGTTCTCGATAATTGAGGCACTTGTAAAGAAATAAAAGTTCAGACTTCCATGAATTGAAATAAACGTTTCAGTTATTAATTGAACGTAATTTTCTTAGAAAAATCGAAACAAACAAAACTTTATTAGTGGTAATTTTATTATGATCGAAAGTTGATTAATTTTGGCCTGGGATGAACACGGATTCAATAATCATCGAACGATCAAGAAATCAGTCCTGCAATAGCAAGGATAATAGACAAACAATAACAATTATTATTTACTAACGATAATTATATGTACATTTTAAATGAGTAAATTACAACCTAGTACATGCACATAGATTTACATTATACGTAGCGTCCCGCCCACATCTGTGGCGGGATAACACGCGGGGAATGATTGCATTCATGTACGATAGCAATGAATCTAATTAGAGGGTTTGAGCCATGACTATTGCGGGGCATCAATACGTCGTTGTAGTTTAAAATAAATTAATTAGCAATATTTGACCACATGCTTTATTAACCGCTGCATAGCAAGGGTCAGTAGCCGCCAATAGCTTATATCTGAAGCACACTTCATCCTGATCGACAGAACTGCGCGGACATTTACGGCACGGAAGTCTCTTGTGCGCGCCGAAAACTTGCATATTCACTTATTCTAGCAAAACTTAGACGAGCGAGAAGTCAGGGAGAACCTATCGCTGCTAATAATGCCACGTCTGAGCCTGCATTTATTATTTATTACAATCCATACTTTCATTAAACAAATGTTGATGTTATTAGGAGGTCGATTCATTTATTAATTATCTGTACCTAAGTGTTCCCTAAGAACCGTACACACCAGTTCATTTCAGTCCCAATCGCAAAAAATATATAAAAATATTATTAATGACTAAAAAATCTTTATAGAAATGTTTCGTCAAGCTTTATTTATCGGAACCTAGTAATTTATTGCACAATGGGAAGAGAGTCCGGGTCTAGAGTAAAACTTATTGTCCGCAAAGCTGCAGTTTTAGAAGTCGTCATGTAAGTTTTTTAACTTTCCTGGGACCTTTACTCTTTTTCTGATATAACGTAACTTTTCCCTAATTACACGTAGAAATTACCTAAATCATTATCCAGCTTTAAATAAACATTATTAGATAGTCTGAAATATTAATTAAAAAATGAGGGATTCGATCCAGCTTAATCTCAGCAGGCGGTTAGCTCTGCCCTATCCTCCTCATAAGAGTCTCATCCTGCTCATATGAGCTCCAAACTCTTCATATGAGCCCCACACTCCTCATATGAGCCCTCTCCTCATATAAGCTCAGCAACAAGCATGGGCTGGCCGCGCTCGTCAGTACGCAGAGCTGCTCTAGGGCGCGCTGCACCGTCCATGCCGGGCTCCTGAGGCAGAGGTCTGTTGGCGAAGCTCGCGCCCCCGCCGCTGCCGTCGCCGCTGTCAGGAGGCTGGAATGTCGAGCCGGTAAACTCGAGGCCCTGTAAGATAATAATGTTAATTATGACAATTATCTTGCCCACATAAAGGTAAGTTCGGCCATATATCTCGCTAGAGCAACGAAATTTCACACAATTTTCGTGACAAACAACAATAAGTTCTGATATTAATCGCTTCCTAAAAAAGATAAATTCAGCAATTATTTCATCTACGACAACGATGGTGCAGACAATTATCATGCCAGAAGCAACGGTGAGGTGCGTAAATTTTTACGTTCACTACACCAGTAAATTCAGCTAATGGTCTCGCCCAAAACAACGGTTTTCACACATGATAAAATAAAGGCAAAGGAAGAAACTTCGGCAGCTGAGATTATACAGCTCGCTTCAATTCTAAGCAGTCTTTGCCAGTCCACAAACTCAAGAAAAAAGGGAATCACGTATTAAATAAGAAACATACGGTAATGAGATTGGTCAATCCACCACAAATATTATCAACCACAAAAAACAATTTGAAGAGGATCAGTGCAGCATCAAATACTTATTACCGACGCCGGGGTAATGTGGCAAATATACCATTAGCAGCGAAAAATACAGACGCAAACAGTGACAACCCCGCAACTGACGCAAGTTTACTGACGATACAGCAACTGACGCAAGTTTACTGACGATACAGAAACTGACGCAAGTTTACTGACGAAAGGTCACCAGGTATTTACAAAAATCGTAGCTGCAGTGCAAAGTTTACCTCGAGCGCGTTACTGAAGGCCGTCCGCGGGGTCTGCACCCCCGGGACTCTGGGCCCGGGAATCTGGTGCACGGAGCCCCGCTCAGCCATGTCACTCCGGCGCAAATGTTCGAGCGTGGCGTAGTAGTCGTACTGGTCGAGGTGGCGGCCACTCATGGCGAGGTCATCGTCAGGTGCCAGCCCCCTGAGCTTCATGGAGCGGATGGTGCCGCCGTGCGACTTCTGGATGGTCGCGTATGTGTTGCTCTGGCAGTCCATCTGCAATTAAGTGGCATTGTGAGTGTTTGAAGGGAATGATAGGTGAATAGCAATAATAAAAATACCTGAGGTAGAGGCAAACAACAACTAACTGCAATTTGGACAGCAGCACAAGAAGCTATAAATCTGCCGGCACGCTAATATATTAATAATTATTGCTTATGTGCACCTGCGTGAGGTCGAGGCGGCTGGCGCGGTCAGGGTTCCACTCAGCGTCGAGCGTGACGCCGTGATGGAGGTCCCCGGGATCCGGCATCGCCATCATGGCGCCCGGAGGAGCCGTGGTATCGAACTCGCTCATGACATGCATCGAGAGCTCCTGCTCCTCGTACCGCTTCAGTTTCCTGTGCGAAGATCAACGAAAAATTCGTTGTTGCGTGATTTATGGCGGTTGCTTGACATTTATGCTGGGTACACAATTTGAAGACAAGATTGTACAAAATAAAATATTTAGCCTGCAATGGTTTTATTTTGTTCGCTTGTATCAAGACCAATGAAGCTCTGAAACGAGCTTTTTATTTGAAATCATCGTTTGATTTGGAATAACTTGAGAAAATATATTGCATGGGCAACCTATTGGTCGCGTTGCTGCAGGGCATTAATATAGAGGCTCGTGAGGTGAGTTGACGTTGCAAAAACGAATTTGATAGTCTGATTTCTGCATTAAACTTTATTCCACCCGGAAAGTATGGAAGCTCAAGCACCAGGATACAACTGGTCCTAATCAAATTATTTATTACACACACTCTCTGTATCTGTCATCAACTGCAGGCCCTCAGCTGCCAGTAACTCACTGGTCAAGCCACAAAGGATTCTCCGTTTTGTTGATGCCGATGTCGTCTTCGAAGCCGCGCTTCAGCAAATTCTCTTGCGACTTGGCACTCGGTCCCATCACCCAATATCTGCACACCAAATAACAACACTTGTCTTTTACAAGCGGTATAAATAGCAAAATATATTAAATTATTTTGAGGTGTTCTTGTTTGAATTAGGAACGAAGGTTGATTTCATAACACAAAGAGTGCGGTCAGACACCGCTCTAGAACACGGCTCTAGTTCGGAGCCTAAAGCAAGGAATCTCCTTGAAAATTCCTATTTTCTCTCGTGTAAGCTCAGAAGGCGGAAGAGAGATGGGCTTCAGAAAGCCCATCAGAAGAAAATGGCTCACTAGCACCCAGTTGTCTAGGCCTAAATTTTTCTTGCGGCCGGGCTAATGTTGATATCTCATTGTATATTTTGGGAATTCAAAAAGAAAATATAGAGAACAGCCAAATTTATTCCAGCTACTATTCATTATTTGGACACTGAAAAGGTGGTTAGCGATGCGGATGTAAACATGAAGAATTTATTGGTCAAAATCATTCCGCTGTCCAGCATAGTCGTCACTCGTCACAGTTTAAACTTAAATAATTCCGACTGAATGAATTCTTAGGTTGGAAAATTTGTCGCAGTTAAAGACAGCTGGGATTTCATTTAAAAAAACTGACATCTAGCGCACGTTACTTTTCTGTGAGAAAAAATCTTCAGCGGAAGTGAACACATATCGTCTCAGATGTGAGATAATACGATCGTGCAATGAAGTACACTAGGCATACAAAATGAAAGATTACATGATTTTTATATCGAACAAACATAACAATCGTTAAGCAGGTTTCTGTAGAGGTGTTGTAGCATAATATAATTAAATAAAGTAATGTAATAATGTATTTAGAATGTAATGAATTGATATAAATTGGGTATCAACCTGAGGCAGCAGCAGACCACGCTGAAGCTAATGAAGCCGATGAAGAGCACCAGCAGCAGGGCGATGAGCCCCGCCAGACGCACGTCCACAGTCCCTGCAGTCGACGGCAGCAGTGCAGGCTGCAACACAACATCTTAGTGCCTTCAATAATTATATTAAAATTATTATTATATAAATCAATGTTGAAATATATATTAAACGTCATATTTTTCATGTGACATTGATATTTAGACTTAAATTTAAGAAATGTTTTCATCGGTTGCAGAAAATAACGAAAAACTTGTGAGCATTTTTCCAAACGGTAAGAGAAATATCTTGCAATTTAGAAATTATAGCTGCGTAAATTACAATATATTTTTTGATACTCCTAGGGCGACATGATATACCTTCACGCTGTGATATAGTTAGAAAGCTCTCAACTTAAAATTATATGATCCGCAAAACCGCAACACATGCGCTCGAACACGTACCGATTGTTGTTACATCAAATAGCAAGATCCATAAAAAAATCTCCATCATTAGTCGAAATAATACACGAAATATAGAAGAATAATACAACTGAATCCAAATCAACCAATAGACAATAGCACATTCTGGTTCGCAGAGGCCTTCGCTAATACAAGCATTATTGATGGTGAAGTGCTACTAACACGAACATTATTGATGGTGAAGTGCTACTAACACGAACATTGTTGATGGTGAAGTGCTACTGACATAAACATTGTTGATGGTGAAGTTGTGTTGCGGGGCCGTGAGCTGCATGTAGCCTCTGTCCATCTGCCTGAGGACGTCATCGATGGCCAGCACGTGGCCGCTGCTGTTGACGACGTGCACTAACATGTCCGTCCTGCAATAGACAAGAACGTTTAACATGAGATGTATACATAGGCAAGCAACATATTTTACCTACAGTTCGCGCAGGTTATACGTGAACTCGTGATAACCTAACATGCTCGAAATCAAAAGATTGATAAAAATTTAGCGATTTGAGGGACAAAGGAAGACGTATTAAGTTTGAAGTCCCGACAATTCTACACCAGCTGTTTTCATCATTTCTTCGCTCGTGCGACTATTTTGTCAGCAGTTTCAGCCGTCACAGACAAGATAATTGTACAAACATACGAATTCGACAGCTCGGTTCTTCAAGACAACGACTCGCAGTTCCGCCTCATTATTAAAACTTGCCATCCCGTCACCATCTCCCTGTTGGGCTCCATAATATTCACAGTTGCTATTTTCCAATGGTATGATGTACGCACGAACACCAAGTGGTACCACCTCACCAGTTTGTGTTGACGGTGTTGTCAGGCATGACGTGGTAGCGCACTTCATCGACGACCGCGGTACCCTCAGCGACCTGCGAGAGGATGTCGGCTATGGCCTCCTGCTGCAGCGCCACCTCGTGTGGGGGCTGCGACAGCACCACACGCACCAGTTGGTCAGCTTCCCACACCCACACCTGAACAATTAAATAACAAGTCTGATGAATGAACTCTTCAGCTCTCGTACTCGCTTACAAAGTGAAATAAACAATACGTGATTTTGAATTGATTCTGGTGGTCCCATTACTGCAATAACGTCAACGTCGTATATGGGTTGGTGACAAGAGGCCTTTTTCTTATGCAGGAGTGAAGATTTCAAAGGAAGGATGCTTCAAAAAACTACCACTGAACTGCCAGCACAAATGAGCTACTTCGATGCCATTATCAGCACCAGCGGTCAGATCCCGCCAGCCGACGCGCCATATAAGCATCAGTTAGCAGCGAATTTTCGTTTTTCCATCTAGAAACTCATAAGAATTTACCTCGAAAAAGATATTAATTGGATTGTTTCCTTTTTCGAGGACTTAGAGTAGAACGTGAAGCTCGTAGATAAAGCGTAGAATTTTATAGGGCCAAGCGTAACGAATGAGGGTTGAGTGTAAACGCTGCCTCGAGATCTGCACTCACTCGTATAATGGATGTATTATCAAGGCTATGAATTTTTGACTTAATAATTCAGCGCAGCTTTTGAGGTTGCCATGTCACGATGCAGTGACTCAGAGAAGCTCAATTAATTAATGTTTGGTTGATACATTGCGCAGTGGATTTGATCTACATCATCAGTGCAATGAAGCAGCATAAAAACAAAATTGCATAGAATTAACAACACCGTTACAGTGAACTCATAGCAAATTATGTCAAACAAGTTATTTCTCATTCTATAACCAAGTACCTGGAAACCTGATAATAATATCAAAAATTCCTGAAGAAATCGTGAATTTCAGTATTGAAACATAAAATAAAACACAAACGAATATATTTTTTTAGTGAACCGACTTGACAGTGTGATCTTAAGAATAGGAAGCAAAAGCGCACGCCTAGAATATGAGTGCAATTATAGCATATTTTCAGTCTTAAAATGCCTAGCAAATTATTAACCAGGCAATAAGTCCAGCAGCTATCTGAATCAATCGTCAGCTATGGAAAGATCGGGTTCCTAAGGCCGGATCCCTTGTGAATCAAGTCACGAAAAATTCATGAATCGGCAACAGGCCATGGGCCTTTTTCTTCAGTGCCGACACTTCTATTCTATTCTATTCTATATGTGCACGTGCAAATACAAGTGTAGGGCGCACATGGACGGAGGTGGTGGCAGAGCGGTGTGGGGGCGCCTCCTCCTTGGCCTGGAGCTCGAGCCTGAAGCGGTGCTGCCTGTACTGCGTCATCAGCGCCGCCGTTACCAGGCGTCCCGTCGCCCCGTCCACTCTGAACGGCGGCGGCACCAGCGACCCAATACTCTTGCTCTCGCCTGTTAGCAACAAGATTAAGGGGTCAATTTGTCCAAATGATGACACACTTCCAGCACGTGATCCTGATAAGCCCTAATGTTGGGATAAAATGGGTCAGGATGATCCTACACTATGGCAAAAGTGCACCGTTATTTGGACGAAGTCCCACTCACTTCTTTAAGTGTGATTCAACAATTGCGCTCGGGTAGAGAAGGGAAGAATTTTCAAGAGTTCAAACAAGATCTAGAATGTTGAGAAATTCAGTTAGCTCGAACTTGTTGAGATTTGACTTCCGGAAGAGTTGATTGCGAGAAGTAACTTAACATGCAGCAGCTAACAGCTAGGATCAAAAGTTATGGCAAAAAGTCAACGCTTATGGGGAAGAGGAAAGATTTTTATGTTTGAGTTACTGCCTCCATTTACTGCATAGCGTAAATAATTATGAAACTAGAATTACTCTGAGTGGAAAGGTGGATTTGTATGAAAGAAAATAGAAAAGTTACAATAAACTTCATAGCATGAAAAATAATTGGCTCACCAGGCTTGTAGAGGTTGGCCGCGGTGATGGTGTAGCGCAGGGTGCCGTTAACTCCTGCGTCCAGGTCCCGAGCTGCCACCACCCGCACCAGCTTGTCGACCTCAGCACTTGATGATATTCCTGTTGATATGTCAGGGTGATTACCTAGATGATATTCCTGTTGATACGTCACGGTGATAGGTAGGTCCACAGCAGCCGAGCAGAATTGAATTCGCGCAACTATCTACCGCAATAAACATCCTCAACTCGAGGACTTGAACCTTTATTCTACAATATAAAAATATTTATGTAACAAATTAACAACAACATGCATCTATTTATCAGTGGCTATACGTTACAGGCGCGAGAATAAATAATCAATCATATTTATAGCCCAGAGGCTATAAAGAACCCTGACAGCCGATGAGGAGGACTTAATAAATTGAAGCCATCACAATACTGCGTGACTTCAACCTCACTATCCGTACCATCGTCAGTTCTATATAAAAACCTGATTTCTTTTGTGTTGGAAAAAGAACATTTCGCCCAAAAATGATCATCAAACAAAATAAATCTTCAATATATATCCACGCCACGTACCAGCAAAGAATTCCTTCTTAGCAAACATAGGCGGCGAGTCATTTTCGTCGTCGACGAGAATGCGGACGCGCGCCAGTGATCCGTTGCTGTACTTGGGCAGCGTCTGGTTGCGGTGGGCGGCAGCGACCGCCGCCGCCACGGAGGGGTCCAGCGTAGGCGAGTTTGTGGCGGCCACGAGGAGCGAGTAGTTGCTACGCTGCTCACGGTCCAGGGCAACCGAGGCGTACAACAACCCGTGCAGTTTGTCCACGTAGAACTGGCCGCGGTCTGCAGAGTCGGACTCCACGATGTGGTAGTAAACCTGCGCGTTCGTGTCAGCGTCCAAGTCCACAGCGGTAATGCGGCCTGAGTGGGAATTATTATTTAGGATTTATCTGTTAAATATGGTATGGTGAACTAGAGATGATTTCATCGTGAATTTATTCTTCGAGTTCATATATATTCTACCATCTAAAAATTCAACTATATTGATCAAACATAGCGAGTAAAAGTTTTAACAAAAGAAATGAATTAATCAATGAGATGATTCTTCATTTCGGGTCGAATAGCTACGTCTAGTCCTGGTAGTTGTTCTTGGGATGGATGTTTTCAGTAGCAATTTTTTAGCACCAGAAACCAAGAAGAAAAGGCTACTCATGAACTACTGTCAAAAACTATAGACTACATAATAATTTAGCAGCCGTAATTGCTGGCATATTAGGATATCAAGCCGACTACGCACTTATACTCACCAATTTTAGTGTCTGGCGGCCTGTTCTCAGGAACGCTGAGCACGAAGGTGGGTAACTGCCCGGGGGCTTGATCGCCCCCCACAAACTCAGGGCGGTGGTCGTCTTCGTCCTTGACGACGACGGTGAGCACACGCAGCGTCTCGTACGAGATGGGCGTACCTTGGTCCTTCGCCACCAGCAACAACTGAACAAATTTGTCACAGTTGCGTATTGCTTAGTCAAGGAGAGACTAGCACGAATGGTTCCTGATCAAAATAATGTAATTCCTAATACTGATATATGCGCATATTGTTGAGGTCAGCTTATCAAGTTATGTCAAACACTGAATAGTTCAACGCTCGAATAAAATTTTCATCACAAAATTCAATTATCTATTGAATTCGGTTAACCTCGCACTAAATTGATAGGGAAATCGAGACCAAACTCACCTCGTACTTCTCGACGTCCTCGCGGTCTAGAGCGACGCGGGTCTGAAGGCGTCCGGTGTTGGGGTCTATGGAGAACTTGTCGGTCTGCTGGACGTTGGCGTCGCCAACGCGGAGGTGGTAGCGCACCAGACCGTTGTCCCCGACGTCGTCGTCTGTGGCCGCCAGCACCGCTACCTCCACAGGAGCGTCCACATTCTCACCAGACAGATATAATCAAGTTAGTTATTTAATAATTTAAGGTTTATAAATACAAAATTTTAGGATTAGTAAATTAAGTACAGATGGAGATGTGTAGATGGAACTTGGCAATGGAGATATTTGGATGGAGAACAGATGGAGATGTGCGTATGGAGTTTGCTCCTCACCTCGGGCACTTGTATGGTGAGGTTGGGTCTGGCAGGGGAGATGTAGCGCGGCTTGTGTTGGTTCTGAGGCAGGAGGCTCACGTGGACCACAGCCTCACTCGACGTGCGGCCTGAGAACACAATTTTTTTAACATTTGAAACTAAGAAATTATTTCACAATTCAAGGAAAAATTTGGATAACAAACACTATAAACAATCGTTACGACGTTTTCGCTAAGTTACATAAAAACATACTAAAGCTATAATTCAATGGTACAGTGTTCAAGAAAGTCCCAGTAATTTTGCCAAAAAATATTTATACAAAATGTGATGTTATAATTCTAATGATCGTTCAGCAAAGATGCCAATCACTTGGCAAATGCTTGAGGCAGCAATGAAGGGAGTTCGTCGTGAGGGTTCGGTGGAGAGCAAGACTCACCGGTGCCGTTACGGTCGGTGGAGAGCAAGACTCACCGGTGCCGTTTACGGTCGGTGGAGAGCAAGACTCACCGGCGCCATTACGGTCGGTGGAGAGCAAGACTCACCGGTGCCGTTACGGTCGGTGGCGGTGACGGTGAGGCTGTAGGAGGCAGTGGGCGAGGCGCCCTCCGAGTTCCTGGTGAGGGGCTTGGCAGGATACAGGATGCCGCTCGTAGCATCCAGTCGGAACTTCCCTGAACACATGAGAAAGAAAGAGATAATAACATGACATCCATATTACATGACCAGCCTATGGTCAACCGATATTATACGACTAATTTTTTAGATATAAAGTTCGCAGAACGAGAATCAAATTAACTCGGAAAATCAGAATTTGAAAACTTTTGGCGATTTCGCAGCCATAAACTAAACAACGTGAGTAAAATTTCTATAACTTTATCAAACTTCGCCTAATAAACTACCGATAGAAAATTATTAGACATCAAGGCATTTGTTGCAAGCAGAACGCATTTCATTTACTAATAAATACAATATACAAACTTGACAATAAAGGGAATGGTCATCAGCGCAAGTCACCAATTGTCAAACGCATTTCGGGTTAAATAAACTTAATTGATAAACTTGAGCCAAAGAAGGAATGACACAAGAAGCGGAGTCACCAGTGGCATAAACGCATTCCATTTAAAAAATAAAATTTATTCCTAAACTCAACCCCGCAAAGGAATGACACAAGCAGTAAAGTCACCACAGGCATAAACGTAATTCATGTACAAATAAACTTAATACCTAAACTTAACCCTAGATATTAACAGCACAAGTCACCGGTTGGGTCGCCGCCGGTGATGGCGTAAGCAATAGCCGCGTTGTCGCCGGCGTCGGCGTCGTGCGCCGTGAGCTGCAAGATGGGCGCGGGGGGAACGAGTGGCAAGTTTTCCACCACCGCCGCTCTGTACTCGCGCTGGCTGAACACTGGTGAGTGGTCGTTGATATCCTTTATGTGCACCAACAACTGCAAGGTAATAATCAATGGCTTAAATAACGTAATAAGTTATTATTGATTCAGTTGAAAATGAGTGAGGCTTGAGTGTGAATTATCAAATGCGGACTACCAACGTCTATCAGTGACATTAAAAGTGATGCTGAAACACCACAGTCAGTGTTGCATCGTACCGGCACGCTGGTCTGTCGCGGAGTCTGTCCAGGAGGAGCAGCGTCCCTTGCCACGACTCTGAGGGCGATGTGGTCTTTGCTCTCCCGGTCCAGCACAGCCCCGGGGCTCACGCTCACCAGGCCGCTCTCCGACACGCTCAGCAGCGACGCGTCAGCTCCTGGTGGCAAGAAACTTGGTGAGACCACATGTGAGGAAAAAAACTTATACTCCTAAACTGCAGGAATAAAATTTTTCAGGTTAACCCTGCAGTGGTCGCCCGCAAAAATTAATTAGACTGGTAACCTAATCAGTCAGTTTCGCTACGGTCAAATTTCGTAGGCGTGGATTACATATGTAATCCACGTGACCTCTGTTGTGATGATACGATGTGCAGTGAAAAAACGGATCGTAACTATTTAATACCGCTTGGAATATATTTAAAACAAAAGGATTCAACATGAATACAACAATTACTCATGGAGTAAATTAATTATTCGTGTTCAAGGTATCTCGGGTCTCGCACCCCCAAGTACAGGAGCTACGAGTCACCTGTGATCTCGTAGAGGACCCTGCCGAGCTCGCCCACATCGCGGTCCACAGCGAGCACCTGCACGACGCTCGTGCCCGGGGCAGCGTGCTCCTCCACGCTCGCCTCGTACGACGGCTTGCTGAACTCTGGCGCCTCGTCGTTCAAGTTCTCCAGCTGCCAAAGAACAATTGTTTACAACAAATTCCACGAGCTGGCCCAGAAATGTTCAGGATAGAATCAAAATTAATTATTTATGAAGGCGAGACCTCGTTTTATAAGATTATCCTTAAACCCAAGCTATAAATCAATCCTCCCGGAAAATGTTATTGCGGGTGTGAATTTATTTATACTATTGGAATTCAAATCAACGAGCCTTTTCATAATGTAATTATTCCTACAATAACAAAAGGGTTGAAGATCAGGACAATGTACTCGGTATCGTCCGATCGTTACGATATCATGCATGGATCGGAAAACTGCCATGATAATTTACGGTGCACTTCATTTTTAGTTCGAACATTTGTGTAGTTTGGCAGAAGCTGTTCTTTAATGCAGGTTTCATTGAAGACCAGAGAGTATTTCTTATTGACAATTTTCTCTTTTATGCAGGTTTCATTGAAGACCAGAGAGTATTTCTTATTGACAATTTTCTCTTTAATGCAGGTTTCATTGAAGACCAGAGAGTATTTCTTATTGACAATTTTCTCTTTAATGCATGTTTCATTGAAGACCAGAGAGTATTTCTTATTGACAATTTTCTTGAAGACCAGAGAGTATTTCTTATTGACAATTTTCTTGAAGACCAGAGAGTATTTCTTATTGACAATTTTCTGAAGACCAGAGAGTATTTCTTATTGACAATTTTCTAATAATAATAAAATGTCCCTTGGAAACCTGATATTTGGATTTTCACTTCCTATCAAGAGCCTAATTCGCCGAATCGAGAAAAATAATAAGAAAATTGTCAATAAGAAATACTCTCTGGTCTTCAATGAAACCTTCATTTTTTGTATAAACAGTGCAAATCAATTTCAAAATTTGAACGAATTCCGCCTGTATTAGATTAGAGCTAAGTGACTACCTGTATTATGAGGGAGGCGGTGGTGGTGAGCTGCGGCAGGCCGGTGTCCACGACCTCCACCAGACACTCGACCGTCGTCTGCTGCTCGTAGTCCAGCCGCCCGTTGACCGTGACCACTCCAGTCGCTGCGTCTATAGCGAGCACGGGCGACGTCTCCTCCCCCAGCAGCGTCGCGTTGGCATCACTGAGTGTCGTGTTGGCATCACCGTTCACATCAGTTGGGCGTGATACCGACGCGGGAGGCGACACGACAGTCAGGCGGTAGCCTCCAATGTTAGAGTCGGCGTCGGTGGCCTCCATGCTGGCAACGACGCTTCCGATCGGTAATTCCTCAGGGATTTGCAAACGGATTACTTGAGATTCCGGACTCCAGGGCGGCGGAAACATGGGAGGGAAGTCGTTGACGTCGAGGATTGTGATGACGAGGGCACCGTGACCGTTCTGGGGAGGGACGGCGGACACGTCCTGCACTGTCACCCCCAGCGTCACTTCCGTCACCACCTCCCGGTCCAGGGGCCCAGTGATGTACACTTCGCCCGTCGCTTCGTTCACTCCGAACATCGACTGAGATAGAATTTAAGTTTTTTACAGAAGGTTATTCATAATATCCTCCGTAACGGATAGGATCAAATTGATAAGATTGCACAGAATTAAACATCAAATTCATAACCCAAGCAGTGAGCATTTGAAACTAATCTTCACGCACAACATAAAATATCCATGACTTATTAACATAACAAATCTTAAATTTGAATGGAAGTTAAACTGTTCTCATGCCTAAGGCAAAGTTTTACGGAGATGCGGTACCGTACTTGAAAAAAATTATTGAATGATAGGGGGGCGTGCGATCATTCAGATCCAATCAATAAATGGAAGCAAGTTCAAGTGAATTTAATATGAATTGTTTGATCGTCATCGACTGACCCTGATATCGTAAATTATCCATGGATTCAAGTCTACCAATTCACGGGTATTCATCATAAATCATGAGACTAGGTGTATTATTTTGACTGGAGAAATCGCGAAATATTGAACAAACTTCTTCAAAAAAAAACCTAAAAGAAACCTAAGTAGCAGCTAATAAAAATGAGAATTCAATTGCACCTTCCTGTAGAAAACTGTGCTAAATTCTATAAGTAGGCTCATTCTGAAATAATAATAAAAATACTAGAAGTTAAGCTGACCTGCACGACAGGCAGGAGTTGCGGGTCCAGAGGCCGGCCGTCCCCGTCGACCGCAGCCAGCACCCCGCTCAAGCGATACCTGAAGTCGTGCAAATATCGTACATTATTTTGTGATCTATCTATACATGTTACTCATTATCATAAATATAGTTAGTTATACTCCAAATTAAATGCAATAATAATCATGTGAAGAGTGTTAGTAGAGTTCGAGCGTGAGAGGTTGATAGTAAGGTTGAACCTTACTCTGCACGAATATTCATTGAATTTCTTAACTCTCTCGAATTGATAAACTAATTAAATGCGGTAGAACATTTTAGAATATATGTACTGAACCAGAAAGAAATTGCGACTCTGAACCCAGCGTACTGTTTAAGTCCTTAAAATGATTTGAAGCCTCACTTGAGTCCATGTTCTTCAGCGACGTCAGGGTCTTCTGCGGTGATGGTGTGCAGCACGAAGCCAGGCTCAGCGTCTTCTGCAACCTGACGGCCACCAAACATACTTAGTAAAAAAATAAAAAATGTAAATAAACTTCAGAGATATCATAAAGATAAATCCCACTGAAGCTTTGTTGCAAAAATTACGACACATTTTTCAATTTATTATTTTATTTATATGGTGGAGTCATGAGGAGCCAAAAACCACATTAATGAACTATTTAAGTTGCTTATAAGAGTATTCCAGGGCAATATCAACACAAAATATTACAGAGATTAGAGGGTATGACCGCTACCAGCCAATATTTGAACGGAAAGGCGTTATGCGCATCTTTTGCTTGTCAAATTCTTCATGGGCTGATCTCATTCGCACTATGAAGAACTTCAAAGTAGTTAATTCTGCGCTCAATTGAGTGAACTAATCACGAGGAAGTCAATTGAGCGCTCGTACCTGCGCCCTCTGCGTGTGCGGCGTGAGCTTAGGGCTCTTGTCGTTGTTGTTGACGACTGAGAGCGTGACCGTGGCCGTGGAGACGCGCTGTGGTCGCCCGCCATCAGCGCCAAGCACCTCTGTTGGAGAGACGTGATATTAATACACTGGAACACACTTACAGGTTATTACTGGAACTATTTATACAAGGCTAGTCATTCATAGTCACAATTTATTGAATAAATAAATATGCAGTATCGTGATTTGTATGCAAACTGAGATTAAAAATGTTGAACCGATAAAACAAACGTTGAAAATGGACAAGTTACAGAGCTAAAGTAATAGCCGTTATCTGCAGCCCTTGAGTCTAATGACGCACCGATGTTGTAGGACTCTCTAGTGTCGAAGTCCAGGGGCCTGGCGACGGTGAGGACGCCCGTGCCAGGGTCCAGATCAAAGTCCTGGAAGGCGCCGCGCTGGATCCTGTAGGTGATGGCTGCGTTGTCGCCTACGTCACCGTCCGTCGCCTGGACCTGCATCACGGCGCTCCCTGCGGCACAAACTCATCAGCTAACCATCACACTCACGATACAACTGCTCGTATGCTAATCAACAATATTTGACAGCAGGATTATGTCAAGTCGGAGACAAACTGTAACGTAAGATTTTAATTCAACGGCCTCGCAGTACTGACATCTACAAACGATCCAGCCTGTTATAGCTTTATCGAGATTATTGGCATTTCTTTTCACAACATGAAAAATTACAAATTACCGATAAGATATTATCTCATTGCACTTCACAACATAGACATACTAGCTACAATGATGCCTCACCAACAAGCGCGGTCTCCTGTACAGCTGCCAGGTAGAGCTCCTGCGAGAACACTGGGCTGTGGTTGTTGGCATCGCGAACGCTGATCCGCACCTCAGTTTGTGACGTCGCTTTGCCATCACTTGCCTGAATAATAAGAGGTTCCGTTATTATAAAGTATACGTTCAATTGAGCGCAGTGGTGATACTTCTTGCTTCAGACATCTTACGATCGAGGTCTAGCGTCAATAAAATACGTATTACATTAGGGGGAAAGTCATTGCAGTCGTCGCAATAATTTATCGTCAGGCAAATGCAACTGGTTTTATTAATTTATTGTAGGCAATTTCATGCCTAGTGAACGTGGCAAGGTTACCAAGACATGCGTCTGGGAGTTTTACAGTCCTTTAATTGAATGTTGCAGCTAGCTGCACACAAGATAAATTTCACATGATTTGTCTCAGCTTCAAACAATTTAATAATGTAATTTTGAAGAGAAAGAGTAATTTCCACGAAGCGACGGGACTTCGTTACGAGCCAGCGAGCAGCATTCATTCCCTCAATTCAACATCATACATCATAAGGTCGGACAGCAGCCCTCACCTGGACCACGAGGGAGATGGTGTCCGAGGGAAGATCGGACGGCCGCCCTCACCTGGACCACGAGGGAGATGGTGTCCGAGGGAAGGTCGGACAGTACCTAGCCCTCACCCTGTCTCTTATANTGGACCACGAGGGAGATGGTGTCCGAGGGAAGGTCGGACGGCCGCCCTCACCTGGACCACGAGGGAGATGGTGTCCGAGGGAAGGTCGGACAGTACCTAGCCCTCACCTGGACCACGAGGGAGATGGTGTCCGAGGGAAGGTCGGAGATGTCGAGTCCCGCGCTGGGGTCGGCGAGAGAGATCTTGGCGGTGCGCGAGTTGATCTTGAAGAGCGAGGCCGCCTCGCTGCCCACTAAACTGTATGTGATGCGTGACACCTTGTCTGGGTCCACGGCCTGCACAACATGAGCCATTAGTACATCAGTTTGCTATTAAAAAATATTAAGACTTTCTGATTTATCAATGACGGAGCGTTTAATAGTACATGAAAAAATCGAATCCGCAACAATTGCAAGACTCACGTGGACAAAAAAAAAAAAAGACGTGTGGGTGGACAAAAATTAGCAGATGTGCTTTGAATAAAGCCCCTACAACTGACAAGACGAAGTACAGCAAATTAGTTTCAACATTCTACAGAATAATCCATAAAGACACATTCTACCAGCTCTTGCTACTATGGAGAATGAAACTATTTCTCATCTAAGTTGAATAAAAGCAGTAAGAATATCGAGCATAAGACGATAGTTATCAGGACATCACCTTGACCACAAGGGGCGGGTCGAAGTCAGGAGCTTTCTCATCGATGGCGCTGGTGTAGAGCGGCCGAGGGAAGGCAGGCGGGTTGTCGTTGTCGTCCGTGAGCGAAACCTTCACAGGCACCACGCGGCTCTGACTCTGGCCGGGCTTTCCGCCGTTGTCTGTTGCCTACATTAGAATTTGATTAACATTTCCTCTTGTACTCGATATGTGAAAATTCACCTTCTTCAACCTCAGTAGGGAGTATGATCTAGCATTAAACATGCGTCAGGGACCTCAATCCGAGAAATTAGATACTCGTACATCAATGAAAGAGAGAAAGGAAGTGCTGATTTGATAATAATATTAATAATAATAAAATAATTTACGCTGTGGTTTCCTCCTTCTTCGAAATTCCGTTCGATTTACGTCCAGCAAAAAATATAACGCTGATTGCATTTTGAAGCTGAGTTTAGCACAGACTTTGAAGAACAAGGCAAATTGTCATCATAAAAGACGGCCACATTTGCGTGAACCTGCAGGGATTGGAAGGAAGTGTCGCCAGGGACAGACCTGCAGGGACAGGAAGTAGGTGTCGCCAGGGACAGGAAGCAGGTGTCGCCAGGGACAGACCTGCAGGGACAGGAAGTAGGTGTCACCAGGGACAGACCTGCAGGGACAGGAAGTAGGTGTCGCGGGTCTCGTAGTCGAGGCAGTCGCCGGCGCCCGGAGTGGCGCAGTCCGCGACGGTGATCACGCCGCTCTCGGGGTGCACCGTGAACCTGAGACCCATACGAGTGAGTTATTGTGCTACTGTGAGTCAAGGCGTTCAAGTGAGTCAAGGCGTTCAAGTGAGTCAAGGCGTTCAAGTGAGTCAAGGCGCTCAAGTGAGTCAAGGCGCTCAAGTGGAGTCATGGGTAAGTAAGGGGCCATCGTCGCCTTAACAAAGGAAGTCGGCTGGTGTGGCTAGAAGGACTTCAAACTAAGTCGCAAGATCTCCTAAATAATGACAATGGAGCTCGTTTTCATCAACAAGGCTGCCCTTGTCCGAATCAAAATGATCAATTGATGGTCACTGCGGGATGGAGGGTTGTTAATTCTCTAACCTTTGTCAGACTGCACAATATTACACCGCTATACTCGTGCCGAATTTGGGTACAATTATACCTATGCAATCCGAAGAGGGTATAATTACTATTAGAGAAGCTCTTTTGCCGAGGGAAGAGAGCGTCCTAAAAATCCGCACAACCACTCGTTCCTTTTTAAAGTTAGGGTTTAAGCCATAAGTAATATGAGACAAGCAGCTAATTAGAATAAAAAATAAACGACCTTAATGAGATCCTTTATAGCGCTGGAGGATTGATGGCAATTTTCATAAAAAATTTCGCGCAAGTGCTTCACTAATGAAATGTTTCACTAAACATAAATTTGTCACCGCTGAAGGTCAGAACCACAAGCGTTGTTTTATACTAGTTTTACACACGACACTTCGTTTCCTCAGCGAACTTATTCGTTCACAAACTAAATTTTGTGTGTTTTGTTTGTTTGTGTTCACTCGGCGGTAACTTAAATAACTAACTTGTCCGCGCCGTTGCCGCTGAGGGAGTAGACGATGCCGCTGGTGCCCAGCACCCCCTGGTCCCGGTCCCGCGCAGTGATGGTCCCCACCACGGACCCCGGCACCGCCGTCTCGCTGATACTCGCCGTGTACGCGTCCTGGTGAGGTACACGAAATAAAATTGTGAGGTGAGGCCTTAAAATTTCACTCCTCACAATTGTGATGAGCACAACACTCGCGGTGGGTTAACGTGGGCAAATTTTCTATTTCTAAATGGGATTATGAAGATGAATTAATGTGTCCAGCTTTGTTTGTAAGATAAAAGACTATACACAAACATGAAAATGCTCAAGCAGCCAAAAAAAGCAAAACACGGCAATACCGTACAATTTGTAATAAAAAGTCTAAGTGGAAATGAAAGCAAGGGCACACTACAAATGTTAATAAAAACTTAGATATATAAAAGTTGTGGTCCGAGTTCAATTTGAACTACAAGCACATGTTTTCATGTTATGGAGTCATTGCGCTAACACACGTTTAGTTAATATAAAGCTATTCAAACTACAATCCAAAAATATGTCTTGACTATAAGATTTTAGAGGGAACACGAAAAGTTTCAGCCTACAGATCCAGCGGCATTACGTGCTCTCAGGAAATTAAGGGATCATATTATCCAAATATTGACACATTTCTAACCCACAACACGAGCAGAGAGCGGGCCAAAATGGTTCAGGATGACCCGCACAAGGATAAACAGTGCATCAGTATTTGGACAAAGTCACACTCATTTCTCTGAGCGTACATACGTTCAACAAATATCCGTTTTGCAATGCTGACCTGAACAAACTCAGGCGCGTTGTCGTTGACATCAGTGACCGTGACCACGACAGTGGCGGTGGACGACAGCTTCTCCTCAGTGAGCGTCTCGGTGGCCACGACCAGCAGGATGAACTTCTGCTCGTTGGGGTTCTCGAAGTCCAGAGGACCTTTGGCGACTCGTAAGCTCACGGAGGAAGAGCCCGCGGCCACCTCAGGCTCCACGCTGAACTTCCCTGATGCGTCCAAGAGACTCAGGCCGAACACCGCATTCGAGCCCTGCCAGGCCAAGTGGGTCATGGTGTTTATGTGGGAAATGGCGCCGGAACAAGAAGAGGATATAAATGATACGATGCATAAATTGAAATGCAGACAATAAATTAAGGAACTCGTGAGAGGTTAAACATGATCAAACTTGTGCCTGAGTATAAACCTCAACGAGCTACACAAGTGTTGACTTAAAATAATATATCTAGACAGATGTTATGTTTCCATTAGAGAGATAAAGCAAATTGAATCAATTCGCAAAATATTAGTTTAGCATTGTATTTTCTCCCTATTAAGCGACTTTTCTCCTTGAATGGCATCCACAACATCATGACTACTACAATCAATAGCTATACACCCGAATATTACAGCTACCAGGAGCAAGTCCCACCACATCCGTGTCCTGGACCAGAATGTCCAGCAGGGCTAGAGGAGTTCCGTCAGCGACGTTCTCAGGAACGCTCGTCCTGTACTCGCGTTTATTGAACTTCGGTGCCTCGTCGTTAACGTCTCGAATGGTCACCGTAATCATGGTCGTCGTGGAGCTCTCCTCGTCCTTGGCTAGCGTGCCATCATCGTTCACCTCTGTTGCCTGTTGATGAAGTAACAATTTAGTGTATGACGATATAGTGCAATAATATTTAATACAATAAATAATATTTAGTGCTCGATAACTTGACATCAGGGTTGGCAACTGAACTTGCCTGCACTACTAGAGACATGATCTGCACCATCAGACAACTGACCGGCGCCACAGGACAACCAACCTTGACCATGAGCCTGACGACGCCATCCCCTGAGGACAGCGCCTCCCTGTCCAGGGGCCTGGCGGTGCTCAGCACGCCGCTGCTGCTCTCCACCAGGAAGAAATCGTGCGGATCTGCGCCGTGATAACACAAACACAACACTATTAATTGTGTGCTCGCCTTGTACTACGTAATTCCTATAATTGATTCCTAGCAGTTGATTTCGAATCGTTCGTTTTGCATACAAAAAGCTTGGAAATTACTTGTGATTTGAGCTTACACTACAGTAGGCAGTATAAGAGACATGACGATTAATTTTATGCTAGATACACAAGAAAGGCAAAATAATTTTTTAAGTAATTTCGAAAAATACATAATTAACAAAAAATATTTTCGTACTAATAGACGTGCTCATTATAATTTACAATTTTCTCAAAATAACGGAAGTAAATCCCAATAATTCGCCACCTCTAGGAGACAAATATTTTTAAGCGTTATATATATAACTAAATAAAACATCGCGATAAGTATTCCAGAGATAAATATTCCAGAGAACTAAAGTGCAGCGCCTCACTCTCGACGAGACTGTAGACGACGTCCCTGGGCTGGCCGACGTCACCGTCCACGGCGTGGACGGTCATGACCTCCGTCCCTATGGCGGCGTCCTCCCTGATCACGCCCGTCCGTGACCCACGGAACTCAGGAGGACGGTTCTGCACGTCGCGGACCCTGACCACCACGTCCGCTGACGACCACAGCTCACCGTCCTGCCAGTCAACCATACAAACTTGAATAAATCTTACGAAATAGAACCAATTGTTCCAAGTGAAATCAATCATACGAACCATCAGAGCGATGGTGCGTGCATTCTTATCGTACAGGATGTAGGTACCTTTTAGTCCTGAAGAGACGACCCTGCTGATCGCGTAGGGAAAACTGTTAGTCTACGAGAAACAATCTTAAATCTAAACAGGATAAAAGTGTTTAAAAATGTCATATCTTGGAGTAACACGAGTAAAATATTGATAAAAAATTTGGATTCAGATTGATGGTTTTTCACATTAACGGTATAAAATGTTAATTCGTTTCCAAATGTAATATGAACACCTAAATTCTAAAATATGTTACTATACTATCAAGACTTATGAGCCAGTATGTCCCAGAAAATGCTGAATCTTTACTGCGTACAGCTAGCGAGTGCCACAATTTGGACAATATCCTAGTAATTTTAATGAGTGAAGTTAAGGATAAACTCACGGACGCCTGCAGCGTGAGCTCGTAGGTGCTGCGGCGGGCGTAGCTCAGCGACGCGGCCAGCACGAGGTTGCCTGTGAAGAGCGACGAGCTGCGCGACGACGCTTCTACGCGCACCACCGAACACACGTCGTCACTGGCGGACTGGTGCAGAGCATTGCTGTATTAACACGTCATCACACACGTCGTCACTGGCGGACTGGTGCAGAGCATTGCTGTATTAACACGTCATCACACACGTCGTCACTGGCGGACTGGTGCAGAGCATTGCTGTATTAACACGTCATCACACACGTCGTCACTGGCGGACTGGTGCAGAGCATTGCTGTATTAACACGTCATCACACACGTCGTCACTGGCGGACTGGTGCAGAGCATTGCTGTATTAACACGTCATCACACACGTCGTGTTCAGAGCAGCTATAGGATCAAACCAGAATTAACGAGCGAATTTATTTTGATCGCGTGAATTTATTTAAAATAGCTCAGCCACGGAGCATGACTTCGCACACGCGCTAACTAGAGGCAGCTGCGTCCCACATCTTCCTACTACCGAATTTAAACGACAACACTGATACAAATTCCACGCGAAATATTCACAAATTTATATTATATTACATGACTGATTGTGTCTGTAACTTATCATTAAAGGTGCTCTACAAGTAGAGTTAAAAATAACAGTTTTCACGCTCGTACCGGGAAAAAATCTGGATAACTAAGATGTGGCCCAGTCATACAGTCTCATGTTGTTCAAACAGCATTCCTGCAGGTAGCTCGTCTATACGGTTTAAGCGTAAAATACAACTTGTGAAGCGTACATTAACTAATTAATGTAAAATTAAAGCAAACAGAATTCAAAAGAAGTGCGCGAATAAATCAAGGCGTTGATTTGGTCCGTTGTTCCTGCGCTGAAGCGCTGCAACGCAAAGGTTAACAAGTGTGCTTTACGGCGCGGGCCGCGTACGTGAAATGTCAAGACATAACCTAACCGTCTTTTGTTGTTTCAATACGGCAGGTTAGTTCTTACAACTGGCTGCATGTTTAGCGTTCTTTGTATAGCTGCTACCAAAGAAAATAGGCGACCTATCAGAATTCCGCAAGTACAGTTAACTTTCGTTTCGTTATATCTTAACTATGATGTCCAGTGTAAGAAGTCTAATGTATACATCGAGTGCGAACTTTATAGAAGTAGCTTATTATAAGCTATGAAATTCATCAAGTAACGTATTTCCAAGACAGATCATTTGTGGTAAGATAGCGGTAATCATTACCGCTATCTTCCTCAAGCTGCTAAGTGGGAAATATTCGAAACAAACTTGCACGAAGAACACGCTTCAATTTTTCGTGATCTTCTGAAATCGTGTGTGCGACACCTTAAGTTCGATTCTACATGAACAGCTAGCATGGATATATCGCTTCATCGTATCGCATATCACTGTTTCAACTAAAACTACACATCTAATGAATAATTCAGAGTAAAAATTAAATTCAGTCATCACTGAAAGTTTAAAAATACGAATGGCAATATGCACGAGACGTTCACAAAAAAATAACTTGCAGTGGAGCGCTGGTGATATTGGCAAGTCATAGGATCAGACGTAAGTCTGATCCTATGTAAGTCAGAAGGGCGACTTAAGCATTAGACATCAGTGAAGCGTGAGAGTGGCGATTTGAGAATGAGACATCAGTGAAGCGCGAGAGTGGCGACTTGAGAATGAGACATCAGTGAAGCGTGAGAGTGGCGATTTGAGAATGAGACATCAGTGAAGCGGAAGAGTGGCGCCTTAAGAATAAGACATCAGTGTCCAGTGAAGCGTAAGAGTGGCGACTCAAGTATATGACACGCGTTACCTTGGGCAGGCAGCGCAGCTGGAGGGCGTCGCCCACTTGGTCGAGGTCCGTGACCGTGATGCCGGACAGCACCGTCGACCCGGGGGGACTGTCCTCCCCCACAGACGCCTCGTACAGCGCCTGTACAGTGAAATAAAAAAAATCAGTAATTTAATGTTGATGCTTTAAATGCTAATTGAGTTCTTTTAAGAGTTTACGAAAATCTGTGCTAGGGTATCAACGGACATGCAACGGACATACGAGTTAAATACGTTTTTACAAAAAAATAAATGTTCCAAATAGGAAAGAGGTTTCAATTGTTTATCTTTACAATTGAAAAATGTTGTTCATGCAATGATATAGCAAAACATAAAGGACCCAATGTGCGACCTCACTTATCTGCGCCGTGTCATAATTTAATCAGAGATCATTTTGAACATCCAACATTGAGAGGACCCGACGCTCATGCTGTATAATTGCTTGCTCTAAGATAATATAACCCATTTCCTTAAAATATCCAGCGAACATTGGGTGGCCTTAATATTTGCATGTGCTCAATGCTCATTGATTAGCCATTGAGTGCGCGCCCTTGGGATCAGGACTCCTACACGCGCTCGGTGCTCCGTTTACGAGCGGTGCAGCTCGAGCAGCAAGTCTCAAGGTCGTGGTCCAGTTTGCACCATAGACCCAGACTTTATAATTGCAATAATAATAAAAATAATAATAATGTTAATCATGATAGTAAAAGTAATAATATAGCAGCAGTGCCAGCCTTGATTGGCTTCTGTTAGCCAATTGTCGATTTCTAACCACCCAGTCTCAGTGTCGGTTTCTGTCAGAGTTTGCACAACTAGTTGCGTGAATCGAACCCCCAACTCACTGCTTTAATCCTGGTGATTGTTACCAATAATCAGCCCGAGCCTTAATTGGTTAACGATGATCATTTAAAATAACATACAGTAACCGTTTTCATTAAAACATATAAATACTTGAATTACGTGAATTCGGTTCTGTAAATATTTTGGGCAAGTTCGCAAATAACGCTCGTTATAAATTTAGAATGAAATTACAACTTAGCAGTGAACTGTCATATTCTACATACATAAATAACCTTAATAAAGCAAATCACTTATAGCTTCCACAAAGAAGAATTGCTATCAATGAAACAATCTAGAGTAATGGTGAACGTTTAGGAAAAGCACATTAGACTGTTAGTCTAAAAGCATTAAACAAGGCTTTAGTTTGGGCACGGATTACTACTGGATCAGTGAAGTGTCAGCAATGCTTGTCATCGTAAATCATAGCAAGGCGAAGAAAAATTAACAACAATGTGTCAGCAAAGCATGGTCACTTCTGTCCGTTTGTTCTTTAAGCAGCGAAAAAGCAACAACAAGTGTCAGCAAAGCATGTTATCATGCGGCCGTTTGTTCCACAAAACTCAAACTCAGACGCATTCTGGAGAAGCAAAGGAGGCCGCGGCCTCATCGTTTGCGGTAGCCTTCTTTTGCCACGAGTTAACTTTCTATGCAGCGAACATTTAAAATTCTTGGACCGACTTTTGTTTGACAAGTGTAAGTTTTCCGTGTTTTGTGTTGCTTCGTCAACACTGGACACAGTTTCTTTGTCTAAGATTCCTGCACACAAGCTCGACGACGGTGAAAGCGAAGCGCTTTCGAGCCTCGCTGCAACACAATTCAATTTGCCTTAATCTCAGTCTTTATGAATTATCAGTATGTTGCTACCAAGAATAGCCATGAAATTTTAGCAAAATATAACGTTATATCTTTTATAATAAAATATTTGTACTCCAAATTTGTATGAACTTCATCTAGCAGTATGTTGATCGAAGCGATGCTTTAAATAAATAAGTGATGTGATTTCATGTTTAGGTCAACCGTCTTCCTTCATTTCATTTGCTTCTATTTAAAATTTTCAAAACAATTATTACCATCAATTATGCAGCGGCTGCAGCCGCAGCGTCTAAGTGGTGGCAGGTTTGTACCCTAACCCAAGTGTCGGTGTCGTCACCGAGACGCAGCAACCATGGATGCAATATTTCCAGCCGGGCGAGCAGGTGTATCTCAGACGCGCTACCTGCATGTTGCTTCCGCAGCCGCAAGAGAGTGAAGCTTCATTGGGCCCGTGCAATGACCGTAGCCTAGACTACGCCAGCGTGAGACGAAAGAAAAATACACCAATCGAGACGTGGAACTTAACATTAACGCGTCCAAGCAAATTAATAAGTCAGTAGATAATCAGTCAAAACCTAGGAGTAAATAGTATAGGTTAACAGCTTGCACTTATGAACATTGTTACTAGGTTACTAGTTTTCTGCGATTCGCTCGTTAGAAGTAAATTTATTAGCAAGCAATGGAGTGCGGACTTAACACAGTCAAGTTCGATTTTAGCAAAAGACGACTTGAATAAATTTTTAATTTACATATGGATCTCGAAAGGTTTGAGTTGATCCCTCAAAAAGTTTCATGAGTTTAAAACGCTAAATTTTATTCTCATAATGAATGCTTGGATATGCGTTTCAGTTGATGAAATTCTATACTTGTTCTGCGCGAACGCTCTTACAACCAGAGCGCACTGCAAGCGTGTGTTTTAGCTAGTGCACAATGCACAATGGCATGGCTGGCTAAGTCATTGAAGTGTACACGAGTGAGACGTGTCTCTCCAATACCTCAACTACAATGTAATACTATAACTCTTTCTAGTTGTTATGTTCTTAAGATAAGCATAATTGGTAGATATATCAATGAACTGTATCATAGTTAGCTAGTGAACCAAACAATAGTGAACCCGTGCGCACATGGACTACCTGCGAAGATGGCTCCTAACTTATATCAATAGACAGCAATACAAATCATAAGGGCAGTGCAGAGTTGACCACATACGCATATCGGGACGCTCGTACAACGCCGAGCGTTCTACAGACACAAATGTAACTGCTGCACCGTTAGAAGTTGAAAAAAGAATAATTTTTTGACATAGCTATGATCTATGAATGAATATCTTCTCATTGTGCCTATAAATGTGAGGAATATTGAACGAGTCATGGTCAACACCATGTATTAGTTACAGCGTCCGGTCGTTTGAGAAAATGCTTTCATGAAATACGAATTATGTTAAATGCGCAGGAATTGACTGCGTGCCATCTATGCTGATAACGTACGCATACTTATAGCTAGCACTAAGAATTACAAATTACGTTATTTTGCAGCTTATATAACACATCTGACAACACTGAAGGTCAGCTATGCTCCCGCAAGAAGCGCTCTGAAGCTTCAAGCATGACCGCGTGATGTGTATTAATATCCTGGCGCTGAGAAGTTTAGTATCGTAATCCAGCAGCGTGTAATTGACCATGAACCACGTAACTGTATACAACCCACGGGCAATATGGTTTCCGTGGCTCCAGTTCTCTGTACTGGCCTGGCGTATCTAAATTCCATACCTAAGAAGACTGTAATCATCACCATGATTAACATGTGATCTATCAAATCACATATATAATCCACGGTATGTTTCAGTATATGGCTCGTGTATTACTGAGAGTAGCTCAACATTAACAGTTGGGCAGTAAAGAAGCCTACGCAAGCTGAATAAATTCTATTTATATGCCCCGTAAATTAATATAGTTGAAAATGTGCCATGTTTACTCGTATCTCTAAATGATCATGCTAGCGTTCCAGTTAATGTTCACAAAACGGTCAAATAGAAATGCATGTTTGTATACATCATAAATCTGAGTGCATGAATTGAGTGCCGTCAGTTGTTGTTTGAAGGAATTGAGTTTGAAGGAAGTTATCTGGAAATGAGTGCCGCCAGTTGTTGTTTGAAGGATCTCCGGTGTTTTTATCGAAATCGTTCAGGAAGAGCATGCAAATGTTGTCACGATCAAGACAAACGAAGAAATAAGCAGTGAAGGCTGCATAATCAACAGCAAGCAAGCGGCGTCATTGCATCTTGAGGCTTGCAACTTACCGACCAAGCCAATCTTCTTTACTTTTCCCCATAACAGTACGTGCATTGCTTGTCATAACAATCCCTCTGTTTATAATTGCTATTCGAGAAGTTTTTAGATATAGATATAGGATTCGGCGAAGTATAAAAGTCCAAAAGAAACAGTTATCAATTATAAAAGTGGAATAAGTCTTACATTTAATTGGAAATCCGACCTTCTGTAAAATCATACCATGGAGGGAACTTCATGGTTGAGCCATAATATTGCAGTTCGCTAGTATGACTGCACGCGAATATTGTTCAATTGCGAATGCACCCCAGGCTCGATGGTGGACGAGATCGCTTCTCGTCTATAGTCTCACAAGCATTAAGTGAAGGAGATCAGCACCGGCTTACATTGTAAAACATGTGTCAACGAACGCTCTATAATACATGTGTATGTTGGCAGATAACAACGGGCTCGTCTGAGTAAGGGATTCACAATCTTTACAACTAACATTTAATTTTGCTGACTGTAGGAGATATTCCACCTATAAAACATTGAATTTTAAATGAACACTTTATGATGTCAATTGCTAATTAGGCCTCGCTTTAACAGAATAAAAGAAGTATAATTAGCAACACGAAGAAGTAAAACTGCAAATGTGGTGCGCTTATAACGCACATCGCACGCCCACTTAAAACAAAACGATATTATTTTCGGAGGCCGACTAATAAAATGAATGCAGTGCTCCCTAAATTGGAGTGATTATAGTCGTCGGCACGGCAGCATCTAAGCAACATGAAGATGATTTTTCTCGAGCGTGAGAGCGGCGGCCGAGCTCTGTAAGTCCCGTTGAGGCGGTCAAACTAAAGAGCTGCTCGCGTCACGATGTGTGCGACAAGTACAAGCGAGCAGCACCGGTACATGTACATTGTACACCGGTATACGGTGTTGAGCAAGTTTAAAGTGAGGTTATGTGTTTTGAGAAAATAGGTAAGTGGACTGAATTCTGTAGGGCGAGGCTTGACAAATCAATATTTGCATGCATGATGCTAAATAAGTGCAGCAAACTTGACAGGCCTGTTAGAGAGCCAAACAAAGTCCTCTAACTCCACACATTCACACCTCGTTAACAAACCATACCACAGCTTCGTGAGTGAGAAAATTCAAATCATAGTGAGACCTTAACTTGTAATAGGTTAGATAATTGTTAAAATTATTTTCATATAGCGAACAGAAATGCTGAATTTTTTTATTAAATGCCAGTTTGTTAAATGATGTACCCACAGCTATCTACTGGCCAGCCGAAATAAGTAATAAGAACATACATTACACTAGAGTGACTGACTACATACATTACACTAGAGTGACTGACAACATACATTACACTAGAGTGACTGACAACATACATTACACTAGTGACTGACAACATACATTACACTAGAGTGACTGACAACATACATTACACTAGAGTGACTGACAACATACGTTACACTAGAGTGACTGAAAACATACATTACACTAGAGTGACTGAAAACATACATCACACTAGAGTGACTGATAACATACATTACACTAGAGTGACTGATAACATACATCACACTAGAGTGACTGACTACATACATTACACTAGAGTGACTGACAACATACATCACACTAGAGTGACTGATAACATACATTACACTAGAGTGACTGATAACATACATCACACTAGAGTGACTGACAACATACATCACACTAGAGTGACTGACAACATACATTACACTAGAGTGACTGACAACATACATTACACTAGAGTGACTGACTACATACATTACACTAGTGACTGACAACATGCATTACACTAGAGTGACTGACCCTGCCAAATGCCGGGGGGTTGTCGTTAGCGTCGATGACGATGAGAGTGACAGGCAGCGTGACGACGTTGTTAGCACCGCCCGCCACCTCGTCCTCCACGCTCACCGTCAGACGAAGCGAGTCGGCGGTCTGGACGGTGGACGATACAAGACGAGTCGTTAGTTATTAGCTCACATCTAACAGCTTGCAGAGAGGAAACTATGCTAAATTATTAAAAGTTGTTGAAGGAATAGCATGTAAAAGACACAATTTCATCGATCGGTATAATAGAACTTAATCAAACACGACAGTAAAATATAGTAATTTTGATGCTATCATGCATTCATGCATGTCATGTTGTCGATTGATAATGCATAGTAATCTAGGAATAGTAAACCGTGGCGACTTTTTCAAAATAGTTAGTCGGCGAGATTGTGAATTCGCTTTTACATCTTATTTTGCCCCACGATAATAATTCATAAAATGCATTACTAACGTAACAAAAATAAAGATACTATAAAAAGATCCTTAAAGTAAGTTTAACATAAATTAAAGATTAGAAAGACGATTAATGGAATGTTAGAAATACAATATCGTTGAAATAACCAACAGTAATAACTATTAAGCGAACAATGACACGCTCTCGCAACGGCGCTTATCATTCCAGAACGTCTCCGTGTGTGTACTGTTCTTATCGCCTTGGCATGATCAATTCCGAAGGTCATTTCAAATGTGATGTATTACCTCATATAAATTAGCGGATTGTCCCACACTTATATAGTATTGTCCTGAACTAAAATGTGTTAAATTGTACCAAATATGAAATTAATTACTTTAACTACCGTTGCTATACTTTTAAGTAAGATCTTTTCGATCGTTGCCAGCCCACACTGTATCTGTAACGTAAAAATATATAACCAATTATAAATAGCTGCACGCAATTCATCTCACTAATGCAATCAAGAACTTTCGGTGTTGCTTCATCTTTGGACAAATTTTACTACTAGCAACAAACAATACGGTTAATGTTACTGAAGTCTTCGCAAAAAGTAACGATGAGTCAATAGTTAAAATGCAATTATATAACATCGATCAATAAAACAATATATTAATATAACATCAATATATAACATAACCGAGCGCATCTAATGAGTGAATTCGAAATACTGAACTACTTGCTGCAAATACATAATACGTATCAGGAGTCGCATGCGAAGGTTGGACAAACCAACTAACTTTAGTTTTACTACAGTATAAAGCAGCTACATACACTCGAGGCACGCAGCAAGCGGTATATACAGTACTATCACGGTTACGTTCAATCATTTATGGATGTTATAGAGTGAGATTCAACTGGCTGAACAACATCGCGAGGGGGCAGACGATAAAACATTAGAAGGATTGCATAGTCGAATAAAACTCAAGGACTAATCAAAGCTGTAGGCTGTCAATTCAGAATATTAATAATAACTTCCTATCAGTTAAAATTTTTTGAAGATAAAGTTAGTTTCATTATTTTATTTTGTGATTTTATTTTCTTTGGTAAAGTCCATAGAACAACTTGATTGACAAGTATGCAACTGGCTCAGGTATGCAATAGTTCGCTTCTGTTGGAGCTTATGCAAAACCAAGAACGAAATACTTGTTTTTTTTTGTCAGTTGTTTCATCAGTTGTCGGATTAGCAAACAATATAGGACGATAATTGAAAATAAGTTCAACACCGAGTTACGACTTCTAATAAGATATAGTTGACCATCCTGACTTATTAGCTAGCTTGAAATTAGCTATAAAATGAAAGAATCCCGACACTGTCTGATCTCACGAAGAAATACAAGGACTAGCCAGATTTGAACGCGCGTACCGCCGTGTTCGGTAACATCTACTTCTATATATAGGATAGTATGCATAACTTTGGCTTTATGAACTTGGTAATGTTTGCTGCTAAGGTAGTGAAAGTAAATATGGAATAATGAACGCGGTAAAGTTTACTGCTAAGATAGTGAATATAATTATGAAATAATTAAGTGGGTAATGTTTACTGCTAAGATAGTGAATACAATTATGAAATAATTAAGTGGGTAATGTTTACTGCTAAGATAGTGAATACAATTATGAAATAATAAAAGACTGTAACACGAACAGCGTCGAGTACAGCAGGTCGAGAAGCGGGCCACAGGACAGCTCGCCCGTTAGATCCTGTCCTTCTGGCCTCAATGCGGCCGCATGAAAACCTGTTCTGTTTCATCCTGCAGGAAGATCCCGCCTAAACCTCCTCTTACCCAATTGTTTGGGACCGACAAATTCAACTATATGATGAAAAAGGTATTCATGTGGCTTGGCTCTTGCTTCTGGATGGGCGATTGGTAAGGTGTTGCATGATAAATAGACAGAAGAAATAACTAAAATCACAGTATTATAACATAACATAGTGATCTCGGCGCTGCAGTGTAGGCCTGATGTGGCCTATCGCCGATCGCGACTGCAATGCCAACTGTAGAGTCAAACTTCATTCGTAGTATACGAAATACTTTGGATAATTTTAATTCAGCAGAATGAGCAGCGATATACTCAGCAAGTAAGGGACTGAGAGGTAAGAGCGAGTAAGCTGTGACGGCAATTAAGCTTTGAAACAACATTCTGCTCGTAGCTCGCACGGGTCAACCAACCGGTCATGGAATACGAGTACTTCTTGCAATGAGAAGTTGAAAAATCAGCGGGTTTCGTGACAGAGAGATAAGAATATGCTGCATCCGATGCTCCTGAGACACTTTCTCGAGAGTGTGAAATTCCGATAAACAGTAGCTTAGAAAGTCTTCAGTCAATGATAGCGACCGATGAAACAGCGGGGCCCGGGCTTCGTTAAAGTACAGTGACAGCCATGGAAATCGAATGAAGCAGAAAGTGGACTCGTCAATAATCCTCCATTGATTAGCAACTAAGTATATTGTGAATATATGTATATGTATATATCCATATACTATTATCGATAGATAAATTTCGAAATTTTTTATTGCGTTTTTGTTCGTTCTCTCGTTCAGGAATGACTCAATTTCCACCAATCAACGAGGAATGTCAGTGTCGAGTAAACTACTAGTAGGGGACAACATTCAAGATAAGAAAACATTTTCTAGATAATTCTACCTTCCTAGAAACATTAAACAGTCTAACAAACAGAAGACCGAGAGACAGAAGTGTTACGAACCTCCCTGTCTAGCTGCTGGGTGACAGTAACCACCCCCGACACAGGGTTGACGGCGATGTACGGGGTACCGGAGAGCCCGAACCTGACGGAGCTGCCCTCGGGGTCGCGGGCAGTGAGGGTGTAGATGGACGTGCCCACAGCAGTGTCCTCGCTCACCACGTGCAGGTCCATGCTTGAGATGAACTCCGGCGGCAGGTTGGCGCTCATTCCTACAGCAGCAAAACATATTCCTGTTTTAATCACGGTAGCATTAAAGGTATAAAGAATTTCACTGGTCAACATCTTTTTTAATAAGGAGACATAATTCGCAATAGAATAATTTATAAATTAGGTAAATCTAAAATAACTAATAAATTAGCAACAGAAAGACCTACAACATGAAAAATTATGGTGGTTAGAATTTGAATTAAAGTTAGTAATATTTTTGCAGTAACAGCGACCAAAAAAGTTTGATTACCACTGAAGAACATTCATGTGAGGGAAATTTTTAGGATTAAATTTATCTTCGTTTAAATGCAGAGTATAGGTGTAACGTTTGAAGGAACGTTTAAAACTTAAATTAAATAACTTAAAATTGCCCCAAGTCACGAAAATATCATATCAAAAAGTTCTAGAATTACGGACCTTCTAATGATACCTATATGACACTTTATACGTTGATGTAGCAGTACACGTACTTTTACCGCTTGAAAGTTAATGTAATCTGACCAGCAATATCTTAGGCGATGCTAATGAATGAAGGGCAATGAATATAATTCTCTCATTCTAACTCCTCTAAAAACCTAATACCGGGATAAGGGTTGATTTTTAATTTATTTTCTCCCAATTTCCAGCATTAAAAACTAACAAGTCAAGGGAAATAGCGAGACTTTTAACAAATTACAATCAATTAGCACTGTATCATTGCTATGGAACAGAAAAACCAACATTTAATATAAAATGAATAATGCTCATTTCGTCAAATCAAGTGTTTAATAAAAAACATATTTTAGCCCCGACTCGAGAAAATTAATCTTTACTACTTATAAATAATCTCTTTTGATCATTCTTTCGCTCTTCTCGGCTGTTTTTTTTCAATTTAAAATAATCAACTACCATCCATGATTTTTAAAATATCAGAGAAATTCAGTCAAGACGCCATACTAAAAGACTTGACTTAATTAAGCGCATAATTTCAGCTAAAAATTCTTGCAAACTTTCTTCAAAACTTTAACCGGACGCCGATTTTATAATGCTCTTGACATCTCTTTGAGATCTGAGAACTGGCCTTTAGACGAGATCCATGCAAAACTGACTTTGAAGCTTAAAGTAGCTGCTGAACATCCACCAATTTGTGAGGTGGGGGCAGGAAAGCGAGCACGACGCTGACGTGGCTTGACAGCATCGCTGGCTTACGCACCATCATTAGCTAAATTATTGGACCTACAACAATTATCAGATGAGGATGTTAAGGTAACTCCAACTAAACGGTAAGAGCTTCATGCCTCGGGAATCATCGAACTTTCTTTGGATTACTTGTAAAGTGTTAGTCTGCTGAGCGAGCAGTTTGCAAGCAAGAACAACGTTTCTAGTCATGGCTTTAATACTCATGCTGCAAACGCATCGCGGCTTTTCGAGCCAAATCGATGGGTACTTTCATATGCGTTTATTTTGTAAATTTTGAAATTGAAAAGTCAGAACAAACCTACACTTCCATTTCTGTTTTATATTCAGCTTTAAAATCCCTTGCAGAAATGTTCTCAATTTAAATTAAACTTGAAATTTTCATTCAAATATGTACTTATCTTTAAGTTTCAAGATAAATGGTAATGATCGTGTTTCTCCGTCCGGAATCGCACATTAAGTCTCGGATTGGAAAGCATACACAAAAGATTTTATCGCGCAAAGTAAATGAGAATTCAAGTATAATTTGCAGCAACTAGCAAAAACACAGAGCTCTTCCACCGTAGTATCCTCTCATCACACTCAAGATAGCGACTATAACTGACAAAAATATTATATTTTTCTGTAAGGCATCACAGGACCCAGGCAGCAGTTATAGCAGCCACGCGCACGACGCTCGTGACCCCGGGAAGTGGTGCGGAGTGCGGACGCTCAGGCGACCTCAATACGCGCTGCCACCGCTAACCTCGAACCACTCATGACAGCTATGACTGCTCCAAAGAAAGGACATACTCGAGGCATAACCTGATTATGCTAACAAAATCAGGGTTCAACTGCACGCGCTCTTCGGCGCGCAATATTCCATGACGATTGTTGTGAGCTAACAATCCTGTTGGAAATTTTCTATATATTATCGTCCATAAATTGGCTAATAATTTAGCTGGCTATTTTTTCATCGTAAGAAACCCAAAGAGACGATTATAGCTGCCGGTTGACCGATAAAACATCACCAAAAAGTCTTAATAATTGGATATTTGCTTTATTAACTACTCGTCCTCTACTGCTTCACACATAACTGTGCCCATTATTCCAATAGATATTGAAAAAACTTTATGTACGACAAAGCAAATATAAGTGCGTATGAGATTTCAAGCAAGCAATGTAATCAGTTTCTCATCACATTACAAGTGGCTTTAATAGGTTCGTTCTATTAATAATTTCAGCGAGTTGACAATGTAGAGAATTCTATAACAAACTTCTAGCCTGCAGGTCATCGCTAGACGGAACGCTCGAGTTTGTTCCGCTGCGGTGGCCTCTGATCGCCTCGCACAGCTGGACGCAGGTCGCTGGTATAGGCAGCAGCATGCGCTTCACTTCAAGTCAATAGGCCACGAAGCCTGGATTCTTTCTTAACCGCGGCACATGCACGACTGGAGTTTTCGCTTAAACGTACAGACCACTGGGCGGCAAAGGAAAAATGCATGAATTTGATTATTGTACATGAGACAATATTGAAAGAATCGTTAGTTACGCCATTTTGTGTGTAAATGAATATTCCAATTAAGGAAAAATTTCTTATCGTAGATATAAGAAGTAAATAAAGTTAACACTTTCAAAACTAAATAATTTATTCTCGAAGAGAGTAGTATTGGATAACATGTATTAGCCTCGACGACATGCAATGACATGGGGAGAAGATATCTAACGTGTAAATGCAAATTTGTAAAAGGAAACATTGTTCTAGTGATTTATTGGGTGCACGGATGTGGCACAGCTGGTGCACGTCACGGAAGCCATGGCATTACGGCATAACGGGACGATATCAGCTGCTCCTACAATACACGAACAGCGTTGAACACATTCCAGGAAAGCTATCGCCAGAACTAGTGCACAAAAGATTGATATTCCGCACGAGTCATGCTACGTCCAAGGTAGATGTCCGCGTCCGTCAGGAGAGGAGGAATTTACACTTGTGTGAGACTCATCGGTGCGACATGCGGCCATGCATATAACTGAGAGGCAGACAATAAAGTTCCAATAGTAATTCATAGTCAAACTATCATAGCTCTAGAGGAAGTTTGATGTGAACCGTTACTGATGGTAACATTTGAACAGATACTATAACCGAGACAGAGCATAAGTTCGTGCGGCGAAGGTTCGACAATAATAACAAAGTCTTTATGTTCTTTGTCATTTAATTTCATTGATGTTTTCAATGAAAGCCGAATTCCAAGCCGAAGTATGAACTACGAACTGCCGTGTTTGTTTGTAATGTTATCTATCAAACGAAATTCTGGTAGAAGCATGAACTCTCATTCTTTAAGTAACAGTTTTATCATTTCCCGTGTACACTTTATATCATGTCCCGTATACACTTTATATCATGTCCCGTGTACACTTTATATCATGTCCCGTGTACACTTTATATCTGTATATCATGTCCCGTGTGCACTATACGTCATGTTCCGTGTGCACTGTATATCATGTCCCGTGTGCACTGTATATCATGTCCCGTGTTCACTATACGTCATGTCCCGTGTGCACTGTATATCATGTCCCGTGTGCCCTATACGTCATGTTCCGTGTGCACTGTATATCATGTCCCGTGTGCACTATACGTCATGTCCCGTGTGCACTGTACAGTATATCATGTCCCGTGTTCACTATACGTCATGTCCCGTGTGCACTATACGTCATGTCCCGTGTGCACTGTACAGTATATCATGTCCCGTGTTCACTATACGTCATGTCCCGTGTGCACTGTATATCATGTCCCGTGTGCACTGTAGCAGACAAATCGTGTGAGCATTTTTGTTTGACTTTATACTCGACAAGACGACATCTGAAGCATTTGATAAATGACAAGAACTATTCAAGTTTATATTGTTATAACTTGGCGCAACAATGACTTTTACGAGGAAGTTGCAGCTAACTACCGGTGTTAAATGTAGAAAAAGAATAAAATATTCGAAATAAGGCAATAAAAATTTTCGTCGCGAGAAGACAATGTACCTTTTACATCCCGGAAAAAAGTTAACCGAATAAACAAAGAACTCACATATTCTCGTAATAAAGGCTTCAGAATAATGACAGATTTTTGTCAACATTGAAATGGATTAATGCCCCTGGAAGTGTAGGCCCAACAAGACAAACATCTTTTGAAACGAAGGCCTAGTAAGGGACAGAACGCAGTAAGGCGCGTTGTCGCTGTCCAGTCAGGGACAGAACGCAGTAAGGCGCGTTGTCGCTGTCCAGTCAGGGACAGAACGCAGTAAGGCGCGTTGTCGCTGTCCAGTCAGGGACAGAACGCAGTAAGGCGCGTTGTCGCTGTCCAGTCAGGGACAGAACGCAGTAAGGCGCGTTGTCGCTGTCCAGTCAGGGACAGAACGCAGTAAGGCGCGTTGTCGCTGTCCAGTCAGGGACAGAACGCAGTAAGGCGCGTTGTCGCTGTCCAGTCAGGGACAGAACGCAGTAAGGCGCGTTGTCGCTGTCCAGTCAGGGACAGAACGCAGTAAGGCGCGTTGTCGCTGTCCAGTCAGGGACAGAACGCAGTAAGGCGCGTTGTCGCTGTCCAGTCAGGGACAGAACGCAGTAAGGCGCGTTGTCGCTGTCCAGTCAGGGACAGAACGCAGTAAGGCGCGTTGTCGCTGTCCAGTCAGGGACAGAACGCAGTAAGGCGCGTTGTCGCTGTCCAGTCAGGGACAGAACGCAGTAAGGCGCGTTGTCGCTGTCCAGTCAGGGACAGAACGCAGTAAGGCGCGTTGTCGCTGTCCAGTCAGGGACAGAACGCAGTAAGGCGCGTTGTCGCTGTCCAGTCAGGGACAGAACGCAGTAAGGCGCGTTGTCGCTGTCCAGTCAGGGACAGAACGCAGTAAGGCGCGTTGTCGCTGTCCAGTCAGGGACAGAACGCAGTAAGGCGCGTTGTCGCTGTCCAGTCAGGGACAGAACGCAGTAAGGCGCGTTGTCGCTGTCCAGTCAGGGACAGAACGCAGTAAGGCGCGTTGTCGCTGTCCAGTCAGGGACAGAACGCAGTAAGGCGCGTTGTCGCTGTCCAGTCAGGGACAGAACGCAGTAAGGCGCGTTGTCGCTGTCCAGTCAGGGACAGAACGCAGTAAGGCGCGTTGTCGCTGTCCAGTCAGGGACAGAACGCAGTAAGGCGCGTTGTCGCTGTCCAGTCAGGGACAGAACGCAGTAAGGCGCGTTGTCGCTGTCCAGTCAGGGACAGAACGCAGTAAGGCGCGTTGTCGCTGTCCAGTCAGGGACAGAACGCAGTAAGGCGCGTTGTCGCTGTCCAGTCAGGGACAGAACGCAGTAAGGCGCGTTGTCGCTGTCCAGTCAGGGACAGAACGCAGTAAGGCGCGTTGTCGCTGTCCAGTCAGGGACAGAACGCAGTAAGGCGCGTTGTCGCTGTCCAGTCAGGGACAGAACGCAGTAAGGCGCGTTGTCGCTGTCCAGTCAGGGACAGAACGCAGTAAGGCGCGTTGTCGCTGTCCAGTCAGGGACAGAACGCAGTAAGGCGCGTTGTCGCTGTCCAGTCAGGGACAGAACGCAGTAAGGCGCGTTGTCGCTGTCCAGTCAGGGACAGAACGCAGTAAGGCGCGTTGTCGCTGTCCAGTCAGGGACAGAACGCAGTAAGGCGCGTTGTCGCTGTCCAGTCAGGGACAGAACGCAGTAAGGCGCGTTGTCGCTGTCCAGTCAGGGACAGAACGCAGTAAGGCGCGTTGTCGCTGTCCAGTCAGGGACAGAACGCAGTAAGGCGCGTTGTCGCTGTCCAGTCAGGGACAGAACGCAGTAAGGCGCGTTGTCGCTGTCCAGTCAGGGACAGAACGCAGTAAGGCGCGTTGTCGCTGTCCAGTCAGGGACAGAACGCAGTAAGGCGCGTTGTCGCTGTCCAGTCAGGGACAGAACGCAGTAAGGCGCGTTGTCGCTGTCCAGTCAGGGACAGAACGCAGTAAGGCGCGTTGTCGCTGTCCAGTCAGGGACAGAACGCAGTAAGGCGCGNACCTGTCTCTTATACACATCTAGATGTGTATAAGAGACAGGTGTAGGCCCTGTATGTTGTGTAGGCGCTGTATGTTGTGTAGGCGCTGTATGTTGTGTAGGCGCTGTATGTTGTGTAGCTGTACTTTGACCCGACAAATGTACGGCGCTCAAGCAACTTTCACTTCGCTGGCCGGGCTCGCAAGCCCCCAGCTCAGCTCGTGGCAGGGCACGCGTCTGCTTCCGCACTGCGCATGTCAGCCAATTGTTCAATTTGTGGCGCAACAGAGGCAAAGTTTCGAAATTAATGTCACAATTTACGATGGCAAATGTATTCTCTGAAATATTGACTGGCTTATTCCTTGAAAAAGGCGGGCGAGAAGAACGGAAGAGGTGTCGTTTATTTACGTACCCTGTAGATGTGACGAAGTTATCTCAATACTTAAGCGCTCACCTGAGACGAGAGAGAGCAGTACGAGCAGCAGGCTCCAGGAGCGCGTTCCGAGTCCCGCCATCTGAAAATGGATACAAAATTACAATCATTAAGCAAGAATTGCTGTGGACTTCAAATCATTGCTGACTTGTGCATAAATTAAATATATGCGTAATATATTTAATAAATTAAAAAATTTAAAATAAACATCAATATAATATGATTTTTATTTCCATGTGGGCATGGATTGAGCCTCTTAGTTAAAATCGAAGAGCTTATAAGCTGGCAACGCAAATCTAGAAACAGCATTCACTTGAAGAACATTCATTCACGTTCGAGCTCGGCTTTCGTTGTAAGAACACACGGAGCTTTCGTAACTAATTACTATCATTAATTATTGATTATACATTCGTGAAAATTCATTGTTTGTGGACAGTTTGATGCCTATGACATGTATAAAGGAATTTAACTTATTCGATTAATTTCCTCAATACTGACAGTTTCGAGACATGACCTAGCTGGACCGGATATTTTTTGCGGCTGAATCTTGTTTTTTTTTCTTCGAGACGCCGTAAGAGGAGAAGAATAATTTTTTTAATTAATAGATTGAATTTCCATTCAAGATTTAATAAGGTAAAATTTATCTTTCACTTGGAAACTTGAATTGAGTAATAATTCGATGTTAAATGTAAGTTTGAACGAGTTTTATTTACAAAAATATTATATTACTTCGTTTTGAAAATTAGAAACTGTATTTTCATACCTATGGGATTATAAATATACTGTATATCCCCGAGCAACGTTATTCTACGCTATTATCATTTAAAATTTTGCTGGTATGCAAATTATCTCTAATATTTCAAATCAGATTTCCGCTCAATAATGGTGTACAAATAATGGAATTCTCCCTTCTGCTGAAAAATATAATTTTTCTTTCTGCTTTGAAATTCGATTTACCTTGTACATTATTTTTCAAAGGCAAGGACATTTTTACGGATGAAATTTTCTAAGCAAATTTCGCTAATCGTTAATACGAGTAATAAGGGATAGTATAGCCGCGGTCCTTGTACGAGCTGGAAATAATGAATGACTGTAGAAGGTAATGGACCCAAATAATGAATGACTGTAGGAGAAAGGTATGATAATCTGAAGGTTCCATTGATCCCCTTTGTTATTGATGACCTGAGAAGTCCTTGTCTCTGCTGCATGGCTCCGGGTCGTCGGGTATCGCCTCGGGGCAACACTAACAATGCTCTTATCATGCTTCCCCTCGCTCCAGGCGAGTTGCATGCCGGACCTACTGCACATCATCATTTCGATGCCTGACTTGAATTTTTCATCGATGATTGTTGGCAACCCTATGAAAAGCTTGGTTTAGGCATAAATCAAAATTCAATTCCATCAACATCTTTTAGATTCAGCTACACGACGTTGGGCGTTTATCATTTTAATTAGGACCATTCTTCCTGGCATCCTTAACAGCCCATTAGTAAATTACGACGGCCACCACAAGTAAGCATTCAGAATTCGTCTGAATAAATTTAAATAGCATTCATCAAACGCATTTTGTACGGCAGATAATACGTCAAACTGTCCAAAAATAGCCGGTGAAGCATGGGCCAATAGTCGCCGTAAGCCTGAGTAACGGTCAACGGACGTCGGCACAGCGCAAGGTGAGATTGCTGCGAGTGTGATCATCCTCTCCGCATTCCGTGGCACTGACGCAGTTTTCCTACTTTTTTATGAATTTTGCCTACATTGAAAAGAGAAAACAATGATGAATGATACCAACTAGAAATAAACTTGTGCAACGTCAGTGACACGCGAGAGTTGAAACGTTACTTCACAAAACTCTCTGCTTAATAACCAAATAATTTGTTCTGGTCAAAAATAAACTGTTTTGTTTGTGTATGAAAAAAATTTCAAAGCCTTTGAGACGTTATCAGAATGTACTTCTAATATTGGTACATGAATCGGTTTTTTTAATTGTTATTGATGGTAGCTGCAATGAAATGAGAAACGCTGCTCTAAGATCAACGTAAACGTTACTCACTTTGCAAGGGCCATAAATTAGCTCATAATGCATAAGCCTTCATGGAAAATTTCTACCCAATAACGTAGCAAAACTACAATATATGTAATCGGACGGAACATTTAACAAGTGAATTTTTTAAACTTATTACGTGAAAGTTGTGTTAAAGTACAAAAACTTTTGATTCTTTCATGGGCTTTAAATGGGCTTTCTTCATTTGTGGTTTTTGAAACGCTGAGCCGTAGTCCGACATCGTTCGCTGGACATCTCTTAAATACCTACCGTATAATAACGCAATTAACGTCGGTCACTCTTTTTGCGAATTTATAGGCTAACTCATGAAATTTTTTTACAATTTCACGATAATCTATATCTATAAAATATAACTCCCATTTAAAGTCACAAAAAAGACGTAATTTTGAGCTTTCATCAAATTCTTGTCCTAGATCTGGCAATAGAACAAGACCAGCAAAAAAAAATTATATATTTTTTACAATACATCAACGATCAATCTAGGCGGCTCAATTCAGGAAAACCTCGGTTTACTTATAATAGGATACCTGGGATACTAGGTATTCTTTCTTGATCAGCTAAGAGCGCCGGCCTGCTTTGGCTTCTTGCAGCAGTCAACCACATCTTAACTCACCTCAGAAGCAAACTCTCGCAGAATATAAGTCTATCTAACACCAATAAATTAAACTCCTCTATCATAGGCATTTGTCAGCAAGCCATTTGCACAACACTTTCACTGCTCTAATATAATTTTTGAATACACAACCATGTGCGCATCATTCCAGGAACTAGAAGCAACGGAAAGGCACTTCACCACCTCACACGCCCGTGGTTCTGACCTCACTGGCTTGACTGGACTGTTACAAGTTGTAGCTCTTCGCGGCGCCTGAGGCAACCTCAATTCCATTCTATGCTGCCCATCCTTTTTCAAGTCAGCATTTATATGCTGGCAAGATAGTACATCACTCGCAATTACGAACAACTTTCTTTTGTGTTCAATTCTCCATTATCGCTTATTTGAAGTTCGAAACATAAACAAAAGACTAGGCTTCAAGACTGTAGCATTCCACCGCTCGGCTTCAATGACTGTTAATTAAACTGTTAAAGAGGAAGCGTATTTGATTTCATCACATCTTTTTCGCTCAAGATTCTTACGAAACCAGTAACACAGTTGGAGGACAAATAATGACTGTTTCATTGAACCTATAGTATAATGGACATATTATAGGTTTGAGTTAGCCTTTGGCTTGTCTGCTTCTTCGAAAACCAAATGGTTCATGTTGTGCACGATCAGGACAATCAGTATTTTCGAAAACTGACAGAACATAAATCATGGCATAAACTAAACATTTTGCAGTTTAAATTGACTTCATGTCACTCTCATGAAAAATTTTTTAGGAAAAATTTTTATTCATATTTTCTTACTCATAGGAATCAGAATGATGAAATACTAAAATTCGATAACATCTAATAAAATCATTTTTTATAATGTCAGTAGAAAACACTATTAGAAATCATCGTCGTAACAATTACGCTGTCGTTGTAATTACAGCTGTAATTATGTGCTACCCGGAATTCGGTAGGGCTATTGTTGGTCGTGAATGACGACCGCTTCCAGGCTTTGGGACAAAATTTTGAAGCGAATTTTCGGGACAAATTTCCATACCATGTTTTCAACGCAAATGTAAAGAAAACAATATTGTTCAAAGTGAAAAGGAAGCTATTTATTCACAATGTGCATGTGTAAGCCTTGAAGGCGTTCGGTTCTGACAATAATAAACGTTATACAACAGGGACATTATTAGAATATATATGTAAAACTAAGATTAGATTTGTTGTATAACGTGGATAAGTACGTTAAAACTCAGAGCGTAACAAGCAGAATGCAATACAAAACGGTGAATACGGTGCACCGGAAAAATTATAGATTGAGTAGTATAAAAGTATCAGGGACCTTATGCGTAGTTAGTGGTTGCAGCTAATGACGAAATAATAATATTATAATAATTCTATATTATTAAGAATAGACGCTCTGAAATGATGTACAAATTGAATTATGCCTTATTGCGTCATTTGCAGAAAATAACATTGAAGATAATATCGGAAACACAAATATTAAAAATCGATTTTCACAAGAAGTTGAACGCACGATCTAACTTGACGCATCTGCCTAAAATATCGATTATTAGTAAACTAAATGATATTTAAAATAATTTCTTTTTTTTTTTTGCCCGAACAAAGTTCGACACGAGGTGGCTTCTCCGCTTTGCCTCGTGTCGGTAATAACTTTAGCAACGTAGGAAGCCGAATTAAAAAAAAAACCTCCAGTACTCCCCATACAGTGAACGACAGGATTTTCATAGTGTATAATCAGACCTGCAGGTCATTTCAACCGGTCACTGGGCATAAATATGGAATTGTGTGCGTGCTGACCTCCGGTCACGACCTTTAAATCGGTCATACACGCTGCATAGAAGCTCATTTACTATATAGCGTCAAAAAAGTAACAGTTCACCTTACACTCGTATGTTAACAAAAAGTTCATATAAAACGTATTCACATCAATCCTAAAAAAATAAAACATTTCGTTATGCATATCAACCATCTAAAAATACAGAAACAACGTACTAAAACATTCGGTACAGTCACCCTTGCCTTAATTCCCACCCTCACCTCTCTCAACCCTCCACTCCTCAAGACCCCACTCCTATCATCCTCCTCCTCTCCCTCAACCTCCACACGTTTTCTAAATATCTCTTCACAATCTCAAACTTATATATAGCCGCAGTTCTCCCTCAGACAGACCCGTAATTATTGGCATCCACTCTTCACTTGTTCTCTCATGCCCCACTACGTTAATCTCACCTCCCTCATTCAGAATCACCTCCATCATAGACTGTCGCTGTCTCTCTCACACGCACCACATTAATCCATCAACAAGTGCTCCACAGTTTCCTGCTCATCCCCTTCACACATAAAACATTTATCTTCCCTCCTCTCATTCTACCTGTATGTACGTCCATTCACTCCAAGCGCCCCTGCCCTCACACAAAACAGAAGGTCCCCACCTCTACTACCATCATACATGCATTCATATTTTAGCATCGCTTTCATCTGAAACAGCCCTAGAGTGTCCTTTTCCTCCATTCGCTGCTCCCACACCTTCAGTTCATAGTCTTTCACTCGCTTACTTATTTCTCTTTTCCACTCTTTTTCATCCCACTCTATTCCAGCCGCACCCCGTACAGTCACCACCCATTCGTCCTATGGCCCAGCGGGTCCATGGCGCACCCATGCTTCATGCATACCACACTTACATGCCAATGCACGACATAGAAGTCGAATCATGGGAAACCTGCAGGTCCTGATATGCCACATCTTATTATCTCCTCGGCTAGCAAGTCCTAGAAGTCATATTAGTATCAGGAAGTCACCGATGTGAGGTGTCACAAGAGGTCTCAAAAGTGACAACAAATACAAATATTGTGGGTTAATTAATTACTCTATAAATGACAACAAGAATTATCAAGGCCGTTGTCCTTGATGTTTTCCGTGCAGGGGAGCAGTGATGTGCGATTGTTGTGTTGCTGCGTAGTCGCAGTAAGGGAAAGGACACATGTAGCCTACCTCCTGTGGATGTTGTCTATTCTCATGTGGCGTTCGAAATCAGTTCCGTGCAAGGAAAATTGGACATCATCAATAGCCTCCCAGTTGTTCCTGTGCTGGAGCAATGAGGGTATTGAGCTACAAAGTTGTGTGACATTTCTGAGTTTATTATTTCATGATTAACAACCTAAATTATAATAATATGTAACAAATATTAGTATTTATTGATTTAAAAAGAATTACCTGTGTTCTTGACTTAGCTGTGTTCTTGACTGTTCTACAAGACTTAGCCTGGTCGGGACCAGCAACAAGATGTGATTTATGAAACTCTCGATGAATCAGAAAGCAGCTAAAGCTTGTAACTTGATATATTGATGGAAATAAACAACAAATAAACGTAAACAAATAAATAAAATAAATAACGTTTTATTTCAGAAAACGTAATTAACATACACGTTATCTATTATTTTGATATTTTCCATTAATAACATGTTATTTCTTGTATCCTATCTATTCTATGTACATGAAAGATTCCTTACATACATTCTATATTTTTTTCATCTACTCTATACTAAATTTGGCTGCGAACATACGGACACAATTAACTGAGAGCGAAGGGATGGGGAGTGGGACCGAATTTTTTGGAGACTTGCGTTTTGTGACCTTAACATTTTGCCGTAATCATTCAATATTCCACAAAGCATTGTCATGCAGGGCATAACCATGTTTTTATTACACCCTGAAACGTTACATTTGAATTCCAGCATTGTTTGATAATATAATATTACGACATAATTTTATATCAACTTTTCGGTTGCGCTATCACTATCAGCACCAATTAAATTAACTGTTGTTCAGACTATCACCAGAGGCCAAAAAGTTGCAGAGTTGACGATTTATGGGAGCCTTAAGATAAGTGCAATATCATCTCAGGGTGTGAAGTTGTCACCACAAAGTTGTAGGCAGAGAGGCAGACGTCGCCCGAACTCCCAGCGCAGAGATCGGTCGGACGAAAGGCGTGAGCGTTAGCATGGGCCATCTTTGCGGCCAAAATAGACACGCCATTGAATTCTTTACCAATAATTGTATAATTAAATAAATAGTTCAAGTGTTCATTACGATGCAGTGATTTTATTTCGCATTTTTACCTCGTGCTGTTTTCAGTTAAAACGGTAAAACGGGCAAATTCAGCCGCTTTGGCACATTTTTTCCTCAATTTGTGTTCAGCGTTTTCTTAGTAATAGTAAATTGATCGATTACTGTTTCCTTTGTTTGGGTGAGGACTGAAGAACACTAAACAACAGTCATCACCCACACAAAAGGAGTCACCCATACAACAGTCGTCACCCATACAACAGTCGTCACCCGTACAACAGTCGTCACCCATACAACAGTCGTCACCCATACAACAGTCGTCACCCATTCAACAGTCGTCACATATACAACAGTCGTCACCCATACAACAGTCGTCACCCGCACAACAGTCGTCACCCATACAAGAAGCTGTTTTAAAGAAAGGAACTATTTTCAGATGAATTATTTACGTACTATACACATACTAATCCACACAAAATATTCATGGAGTTCAAGCAAAGTTATTTACATTTGAGTTTCGCTGTCTGTAGGCAGCAAATAGTACAATGTTATGCAATAATTTAAGCGTAAATAATGTTACTAAATTCTTCATTGAAAACGTTTCGGAGACCAGCTCCATGATCAGATCAAAGGCTTCATGAATGCAGGTATAATAAACATAGCAACCAAATTTACACGGAAGATTCTAGAACCTATGTGGACTGATAAACAAACAAATTAACTTAACAAGCTTTCAATTTACGGCTCTAAGTAAATAAAAAAATAAGCATTGTTCAGACTACATTTTCGTCCAGATTCATAAAATGATAACAAGATTGTTTCCTGATGAGTTACTTGTAACAGGTAAGTAAACATTTTTACCTTCGATTTGGTTCCAAAATTTTGGCATAATCATGACATTCTTGAGCGTATTATAAAAATATAAATAAGTTTCCGCCTAATGTATTCAATCTCGAGCGTCGGTGGTTATGCTCACATTGCTGAGGTCCATTTACCTTATGTCTACAAAATATATTGTGGCCATGATAAATCCTTTTTATAACAATCAATTAATTGGCACTAGACAACTCGAGGAATAATTGGAACTCGATGTAACATCAATAAAAATTGTTCATAATTAAATTCACGGCAAAAAATATCCACTCTTAAGTGTGAACAGAAGCTCGTAGCTTGATTGTCATTAGTAATTCTTTTCGATTGCGCTGCATCTGAGTGTTACGATTAGAGGTGTTCATGACGTACATGTTGAACGAAAACATGTCTAACTCCACTTTCATCGAAGGACGACTTAAGGAGACCTGTAAAACACGAGCCATTAAGCTTGTCAACAAATGCTAATTAAATTCTAAAATTAACGCTTATTCGTCACAAGATGATGAAACTTTCAGACACGAACAACTTTTTGCGGACGGTTGTCTTGGTTTCGTTGCAAGCATGGATAGATCGTGTTCGTCGAACTTGTAGGCTTTTCTCAGACAGGGAAAAGCCTACAAGGACAGAGAAAAGCATACAAATGCGGAAAAAAGCCTACAAGAGAAAATCCTACAAGGACAGAGAAAAGCTTACCAGGACAGAGAAAAGCCTACAAGGATGATGTTAAAGACGTCGAAATTAACGAAAACGGGCCAGCTTTTTCCCAAGTGCAGTGCAGCAAGAACGATTCCCTATGGAAGTCATGCAAAGCAATCATACGAGGCAGAGTGTGGCGTAGATGAAAGACTTTCTGGTTAGGCTAGATGCGTCTATGTTAAATGTGGGCGGCCGAGTCAACGTAAATGAAGAGCTGCGTGCTTCATGTCCTCGCTGCGTGCTTCGTGTCCTCGCTGCGTGCTTCATGTCCTCGCTGCGTGCTTCGTGTCCTCGCTGCGTGCTTCATGTCCTCGCTGCGTGCTTCGTGTCCTCGCTGCGTGCTTCGTGTCCTCGCTGCGTGCTTCGTGTCCTCGATGCGTGCTTCGTGTCCTCGCTGCGTGCTTCATGTCCTCGCTGCGTGCTTCGTGTCCTCGCTGCGTGCTTCATGTCCTCGCTGCGTGCTTCGTGTCCTCGCTGCGTGCTTCGTGTCCTCGATGCGTGCTTCGTGTCCTCGCTGCGTGCTTCTGGTCTTCCCGTGCCGGCAAGCTGCGTGCTTCCCGGTTTCGTGATCTTCATATATGTAAAGACACAGTTTCAGTGCGTTCATTAGCAAAAAAATGTTGTGAAAACAAGGTTGAGCATTATTATACCAGTCAAAAGACAGTTCAGCTGAACTGGGTACACCAATGAAAGTTCAAAGAATAAAAAAATATTCAACGCAATTAAGAGTCATTTGCGGCAATGTGGAATGAGTAGACCAAATGCAGTCATAACGCGAGTTATTCGAGTTTCTTAATGCCATAAGAATCACGATGCTTTTAATATCACTTGCAAGGCCAAACTTCGAGTATTACTATGTTGTCTTATCCATGGTTGAACTAATGTCATATCATCCCCTCAACCCCCCCCCCCCCATCAAGGTAGAAAAGTAGTAGCAGTAGTATGATGGTTTGCTAGCGGCCTAGCGCTTCAGCTATTTCGCACCGGAGGTCAAAATATAACGTCGCCAGCGAAGCGGAAGGTCTCAATTATTCAAAATCTCAAGTTAATCATCACCCACAAGGGGCGGAAGGTCTCAATTGTCCAGCCCGCTGAAGCTGGCTCGAAAGAAGCAGCGTTAGCATCTCAATGAGACGAAGTGACAAGGAGGGGCAGGTGAAAAGCAACAGAAACGAGGACACTCGAACAAGAGGTCGCTTACACGGGACGTCGGCCGCCCGCACGAGAGAGACAGAAAAGGGAAATGTAAGGAATCCTAACTACATAATAACTTAATGAAAGGAATCCATATTAATAACTTATCCCCACAACTGAGACCTACAGTCAGACAGCGCGAGCTCAGCGGTGGGGAAGACGAGCCTAGACACGCGTCAGAAGTCCCCCCCTGAGCCCTGAGGGAACAAGATAGAAAAGCCGAAGAATGTGTTGTGGTCTCGGGAAGGGTCACACGAGTGTTTCAATGATTAGAAGTTGTAGTATAGTATTAATATGGAAAGAATATTCATTAGATGACGCAGAGATGAGATGTTTGTGATATATATGGCGTATAAATACACAAAAGGGTATTACTGAAACAAGCCTTCCATTGTTCTGTTAGTACAAGTTATATAAGTAGACCTCCTCAGAAGTTCCGTAATTGAAATACAAATTTGCAAGATTCGGAGACAAGACTCATCAGCCTAAACATTAATGCTGACTTAAGAACACCACACATGACACAATAGAATTTTCACTGAACTGAAAATCGCATATTTTCATAATCTTCAAAGAATTATGTAAGAGTTATTTTCACTTGAAATATCTGCCATAGAGAACATATTAGAACAGAAAGAAAACATTGGATACCCACATTCATCCACTTAGTTACTGTCATCACGGCCTAGTACCTATGTCAGTTTTCATTTAATAAATTGCTTGTACATGCTTAAATCTTATTTATATCTATACAGTGGGTCTAGCAAAGAGCACGTGTATTACATACTTCAACAATAAAGCTTATTTACAGTAAAGGATTAAAATAACTAAGCGTGAATATCAACAGATTTTATTCAGCTCATAACAGTATTTTGAAGGTACGGTACGGTATCATTTGCATGCATAACATTCAAATTCTTATCATTATCGAGCCATGAAAATTTGGTGCAAGACCAATAGTTAGAAACTATGTTAGAATGTAAAAATTACAAAAATTGCATGTGACACTCAGGAATAACTGGTATGAATAAGCGTGATTTGGCATGTAAAAACGAGAACTACAGACAACAACTATGCAAACAGCAACAATCATTAATAGTACCTATTCTATTGACAAAGACACAATAGTAATTCAAGTTGGAGTTATCAGCAAAACATGTTCAAAATCTATTGCTGGTTGGAGTTTACACGAGTGAGAAATGAAACTAATGTCTTAGAACTCCTTAGTATTATAGAATGTAAATAGAAATTGGAAAATTCAAAATAATAAGAATCAATAACTGAGCAGTACTGTACATTTGAAATTTATGAAAATGTTAACAGTGGATGTAAAGTCTCATGCATCCAAAATTCAAAACCTGCAGTCACAAGATTTGAAATAATGCAGTCAGTCAATTATCATGATTGTATATTATGAGGCAATGGTGGCACTCCATTTGAGAAGGCTTCAGGTGATGAAATTCTCTCTGTAGCCAGGGACAATGAAGAGGCAGCAGAAGTCCCTACAGGGAGTGACTGGCCAGCAGGACTTGGGTTGAGAGAAAATGCTCCAGCTTTAGGAGGCCCTTGTGATGAATAACTGAGAAAAAAACAAAAATCTTAGTTTTTGATTTTTTAATAATTATATTTTTACAAGCATTAAGAGGTAATGGGAGTTAAAATTAATTCTGAAATGTTACTAGTCACATAGGGACCAAATGACCGTGTAAATATTAAACTACCTACAACAAGCAGCAGTACTTCATGCATGTGCACCAAATGTTTCTTTATGATAAATATAATCCCTGAAAACAATTTAGAGAACACAGTCAATATCAGAACTACATATCATGAAGTAACAATTTAATGCATGAAAAAAAATAACTTCATATATTATTCACACTTTAAATGCATGCTAAGTCAGCTGAAAAATATTACAGTTAGGATCAACAAATCCACACATATGTATAGATGTGATTTTAGAAGGGTGGTGCAATGATTAAGATAATGGATGTAGCATCAACCATGGAATCCATGAATACAGTCATCCTGTATAAAAATTTCTGAATGTTGTAATTTGTAAAGCAGGAATAGAATTTTCCTACTTGTTACAGAAATCTTCCAGATCCACATTGATAAATTTTTGAAACATTTGGAATCTTACAACTTATGGCCCAATCATGTACTTTAGTTAACAATTAGATATAAGTCCATTCATCTAGCAGGAATCTTGCAGTTTGTAAAATGGCAGGGCCAGGGAAAACTCTAGTCAAGTTTCAGAAGGTAGATGACTAGATGATATCCACACTAGCTGCTAAGGGTGTAATTTTAGAGAGGTTCTATATACAATATACATGAATCAGACATTTTTCTATACTTTAGAGGGAACAGAACACGTGATGATGTATTGGTTATGATTTGTAGAAGAATAAACACAGTTATAATGCAGTCTGATATGATCACAACTATGCAATCACTTACAAACACTTTGGGTTTAATTATTACTGGTATGCAGGATATTTTGGCAAAAATATGGCACTGAACTGGGAAAGTTGAAAATCTTTTGAAATGACATGTTTGAAGTTAGTGAACTGCAATTTCTTCAATGAAACATAAAAAAATACATTACATTAGAGCCATGAGATTTAATATAATACCTACTGAAATTATATGATATTAGAATAACAATATCTCATAAAAAGGACTTTCCCCAACCAGGTTTGGGGTAAGGCATGGCTGCATGCAGTGTGGAATTCTAGAGGGATATTAAATTAACCAGTACACATAGCATATTGGAAAGCAGGACCTGAAAGCTTGGAAAGGCCAGGAACTTTCCACTTTCAGTCAATCATATCATAATCACCTATTTCTTTCCAGCTGTGATTGGTTGATGGGATTGTGATTTTAGCCCCTTCCAGCTTTCCAGCTGTGATTGGTTAATGGAATTGTAATGTTATCTGCTTTCTAGCTGTGATTGGTTGACGGAGATGCTTTCAAGCTGTGATTGGTTGTGCTCATAAGCCCCGCCCCCAAATATGGTATATGTCTACAGTACTGGTTAACTAAATACTCAACTTGAACTTGATCATTACAAACAAAAAGCCTGGATAATTTTCAGAAAATCCATTAAATAAAAGAAAAATAGAAAATATCTGTCAAACAATTTTACAACAAATCTGAGCCTCTGAGATACTGTACAATTGAAACAGTTTGTCCACTTTTGATCCTCCTTTTCATTTATAGTCAGTCAACTGGCACTTGGCAGAGCACTGTATCTAAGGAAAGCATTCCACCTTGGGTGGAAAGCTTTTTTATAAGTGAACTTCCATTTCTAGAATTCCACCCTGGCTGCATGGGTTGCCAAAAAAGTAACAATTGAATTTTGGCTCAGGTGCTCAGCCATTGTTTCCTACCATTGGCATTAGGAAAGCAACAATTGACCAAGTTTTTCAAGCAGATAAATTTAACCTGTCTCAATTCTAAATCAAACAAGATTTTTATTAAATTTATGATTTACTTAGCATCTGAGGTCAGATGTTAAGTGATAAGTTAGGTCAGACCATCAGATTCTGACCTAACTTATCAATCATTCATTTGCTATAACCCTATCACTATCAGTAATTCAGTAGTCAGTACCCACTATGCAGAGAGTGGATGAATATTGCAAGATCTTTGGTGACGCTTCAGTAGCCAAATTTTCGCCTTCAGAAGATCTTGCCGACACATTTAGATTGAAATTCTTGCATTCAATATATTTCTCAGTCTTCGGCCAACTATTTAGAAAAAAAGTAAGGTTTCCGGTACGTTGGATGGATTACGATGCAGCGAAGCTTGTCCGGAAATCAGTTGCGATGAGTTCCCTCAAAAAATGTAAACAACGTTTTTTCGATTGCGTAGTTTCGGTCACATTAGACTGATTAGAGCGGTCAGACTGCTTAATTACATGTTCAGTTGACACTTGCTGTACAATCGGACTGTTTTTAGAGTAAAATTAGTTATTTGGGATCAGGGGTGGAATACATCTACTTTTAACGGAAATTTCGCTGCCCGAGATCTCCCATTTATATGTAAGTTTGAAATCTCGCGGCTCGGAAGTCAGGTAAAATATATTGATTTAGAAATGTCGCGGCTCCGAAATGGGTCACGTCACTCACGTGACGTGTGATGGAAGGGCAAGCCAGCCGTTGGCAGTTGTCGGCAGCAAAACGATAGAGAATAGTGCACCGGCCGATGTATCAGACTATCAGTATCACTGTATCATTTGAGCTCATGTTGTTGCCACGTGCGGTTGTGCAGCGATAACTCCTAATCCCGTTTCCACAACAACTAGGCTTGGCGCCGGTCTGCGATGCATGGTACGTGGCTTGATACCAGTAAGTATTCTTATCATCATATACATATGGCCTTATCAATAGTTTGTTTCGAACAGAACGTAGACTAGTAGTAGAATTATATTGTGAATGGTCTTTAACATGATTCAATTATAAAGTTCGGAAAACTATCCCGATTATGCCTTACCTTACCAGCCGTATTCTCTGTCCACGAAACTTGGAAGAAATCGTAGGTATATGACCGGTGTCTGGTGCTTCTTAGCTCTAATATAGTATTGTTTCAATTTTAAGCCTCTAATCTATGTACTTCTAAATTATTTCTAGAAAATTTCATTACTCGTTTTTGATTTGATGAAAAACTATTTGATAGTTCATGCTGCGTACAAATTTATTGACCAAAAACGTTTACCATCCTGAAATGAGGTCGGACTGCAAGTTTGGTAGTTCAAACTTCGATGAAACCAAAGCCACTAACTTGACGGTGCTGACAGGTGACGGTGACTACGCTACTATAGGATACCATATTTTAATAACATGAAAAAGTTTCCCTTTGCAATGCCCAGTGCATGTTCGTTACTTCGATGGAGCGCCCGCCAACTACGCAATAAGCATATATGTTGGTTACTAAGCTGAGCTTCTCGAGTCTAGGGAATATCAGTAACACCGCCAAGTTACCTACTCAGTTGATTTCGTCACTATAGTAAAGGCATTAGGCACTACACCACTCTACAGTTATTCTATTATAGGGAAAAGACTAATTTACTATCACCTATCGGTACGTTTGGTGTGTTGTTTAATATAGCAAGAAATTTATATACGTCTAGACTCTAGAATATTGATTGGAAAGTTGCCACTTTCGTTCCCACGTCTCGGACGAATTTACAGTCGGACCCGCGGCCGGTCTCCAGATTCAGTTTACATCAAATATCTTCCAAAGTACTGAACGTAGCTCGATGAAACTTGGTACACGTATTCATTATGGCCTGATGGTGATCAAGCTCGGGCGTTCCCTTGGATATGAAACGTGTGGAAAATACTTATTTACGTATTGGGTGTGACCGTGTCAGTAACAATGATAAGGGTTTTAATTAGCTAGAATTCATACTACTAAGGCACATAAAGAAGACATGCCATTGTACATTTAAGTTTTTTTAGTTGTGGCTTGAAATGTGACTCTTGAGTACATATAGGGCCTGAGGGATAATCGTGTGCGTATTAAGGAAAATACTTAAAAAAAAAAAAATTTAAAAACCACGTTTTTCTTGTGGACTAAAAAGTAGGAAATAAATTAAAATTATGGCTTGCCCCAAAAACGTGTGTCGATGTGTATAAGAGACAGACTATACACATACTAATCCACACAAAATATTCATGGAGTTCAAGCAAAGTTATTTACATTTGAGTTTCGCTGTCTGTAGGCAGCAAATAGTACAATGTTATGCAATAATTTAAGCGTAAATAATGTTACTAAATTCTTCATTGAAAACGTTTCGGAGACCAGCTCCATGATCAGATCAAAGGCTTCATGAATGCAGGTATAATAAACATAGCAACCAAATTTACACGGAAGATTCTAGAACCTATGTGGACTGATAAACAAACAAATTAACTTAACAAGCTTTCAATTTACGGCTCTAAGTAAATAAAAAAATAAGCATTGTTCAGACTACATTTTCGTCCAGATTCATAAAATGATAACAAGATTGTTTCCTGATGAGTTACTTGTAACAGGNTCTCACCGCACCTGTACGCTGTGATAGCACCGCACCTGTTCGTTACAGCCTCACTACACCTGTTTGCTACGGTGTTACGCACCCGTTTGCCAAGGTCTGTACCAATTGGGACTCCTAAGCTTTACCTATGTCACAATAATGAGGATCAATCAATTACTGATGGATTTACAGAAGGAAGTGCTAGGGCGCTAACAAACCAAGTCACTATGACGATAAAGAAGCTTTGTCTTGCATCAGGACAATGCCTCTCCTATGCTAATAATACCATTAATTCTTGTACACCATTTTGCCTCGAATAAATTGTCAAATATGCCTCTGAACTTCTCTTTTCACTCAGTAATTTATACATATGTATTGGGTAAGTCAGGGTTATCTCTCAAAACCAGGTTTCTTAAGTTCCCAGAAGTCTCCTGCCAGCTGGTAAAGATGATGCGATGCGCGATGCAGAAGTATGTACGAGTTTAACTTTTCAAACATGAGTGCAACTGTGAACCACCGATTTTATGCACCAATTAGCCATGAATGGAACGCCTAGCACATTTATATGCATGAGCGAACATCAGCGGCGGATCAAGCCTGCCGTCAGTAACCTGCCCATGACAATAATAATATAATAATAGTATTAGCGGTTTCAGAGTTTATTCCACCGTAGGCCTGTTGCCGATTCTTGACATCGCAAAACATTCACACTTTGTTGTGGTCTCGAACATGCAACTCACTGCTCCGATTCGGCTGTGCATAACCCCCCGGCCTCAAAGATTTGATCCAAAAACCGTCGCAGAGAGCTGGGATCGAACCCGCACCTCTCTGCTCCAATCCTGGTACTCTAAACTTTAGCGACTGGGCCACCCTGCTCTAAACTAAACTATGCTCAGCAAACAACGAACTGCGATCAATCAGCCCAGCTTGTCAGTGGAATTGCATGAAATCTGACATGCACCACCAAACAACGGATAGAATATGACTTTTGTTACATCATTATATTGAATAATTTTTAGCTCACATCATCTGAGATTAGGTTTCACATCGTTTAGTTATGTTCCAAAATTAATCGTCTTTTGATGAATGGTCGTTCTTATCATAGGCTGATTCGATGAACAGGACGGGTCGGTGGCGGGCACCATATGCACTGCAAGGCTGTGGCACTAAATGTCCGAATGATGCAAAAATGTTTTTGCGTTTGCAGATGACGCTAGGCCATACTGTAGCAGGTTGGTTTCCTGCTGGCAGATAGGTCTACTTAAATGGATTTGAAAGCCATAAACACTCAAGGATTCAACACTTGTGGGCAGAAGTGTTGAAGGGCAGGCTACATACAGTATTGGAGGAAAGAACCAAGGTGGTATTATCGAAGCAGGGCAGTGTTGGTCTCCAACAAGCGACCCTCTCGAACCGCGTTTCTCTTTCCCCTTTCAAGCTCTTCTGATGAAACATTTCTTTTTTAATTTCTCTACGTGGATAAAAAGGAGTCCCAGGTTAAGAGAAAACCATTTTTAACATGAATTTCGCATTATAGGTGGTTTATTTTCTCATTTATTCCTTGAAGTGTGACAAACAAATAGGTCTTCCATCATGCTCGTTTCCATTCCAATTAAAATAAATGATGCGCATTTTGAATGTATGTATGGCCTAAGCATTCGTGTGTATTTTTGAATGTATGGCCTAAGCATTCGTAAACATTTCAAGCTGTGTGTAGAGCAGGCTTATCTACAAAATTTCATGTTGGTCTAAATATTTTCTAAATGCAAATTAACTCACATTTACATTCCATTGAAAAAAAAAACAGAAATTTTTATAAGATGTTTAACGTCGCAAATGGGTTTTTGCCTAGAATCACACAACACATGTCTTAAATTGCTCATAAAAGAGTCATCATGTTAATGATTTTTAGTTCCTTAAATTATATTAGTCGTAGCTATAAGGTAGAAGCCTTCTCAAGTTATTCTGTTTGAGCTTATATTTCATTGCAGGTGAACCGTTTTTGTTCACTGGTTGGTCAAAACATCTTAACAAGTGTTTCCCGAACTTTGTATGTTTGACTCTTTTTTTTCTTTATCATAGAATTTATCATTATCAAATATTTAAGTCCGCGCCTCCGCGGTTTAGTACCACGCTCTCGTCAGTCGTCACAATCGTATATGTTAAACTGTGATGGCAGCAAGAGCGTTATGTCAAAGATGAAGATCTTGAACTCGCCTCTCAGATTCTTGTAAAACCGTGTTATATTTTTGCAATATCGTAAGGTAGGCTACTAGGCATTAGCATGAGCTAAACTACATGTGAATTAGGGAATAATGTTTAACTGCTGTTTCTAGGGCAAAATTTGAGCTTATTCGCGAATCGTGATTGCGCGCGTGCCATTGCCGCCAAGAGTTCGCGGTTCAAGAATGGCTTTCCACGGCTTGAGAAATAGGCTTACGGCTTGAAAATTTGTTAGTTCGCGGCTCAAAAAATCTAGTCGCGGCTCACAGAGTAGATCTTTTCCTCCCCTGTTTGGGATAACACGTGCATGCAACCTTGTAAATAAGTTCGTGGCTTGTAACTAGTTTGTCATTACTCAGCGTAAATGGCTTTTCATTAAAAATTACCCGGCGATGCATCTTTAAAGTGGCCGGCGACGCTTTGGGCTTAAAAATCCATATATTGGCGACGCTGCATCCACCCTCTGCATAGTGGGTCAGTACCACCAAAGTCCAAACTAACCAAAGAACCAATTATTTTAAATTTACCTGTTCATTGAGGCTACAGAAACAGGAGTAATTCCAGTAGACATTGGTATGGCAACCCTCTTGTTTAGGCGCTTACGGGTAGCATCAATATTGGAACGATCTAGGCGTTCTCTTCCTGTGGAAGCTGGAGGAGGATCATTCCAGCCTCTTTCACTGGATCGAGCTGTAAATGAATATACAGGTATTTAATGTAATGAGACAATTGAATTGGTACTTGAACCTTGAGCCTAGCTTGTGCTATCTCAGTATCTAAAAATATATTCATATAATAAGTCTCAATCAATCATAAAATAGGCTCATTTTTTTATTAGGCTGTAAATTAGCTCTTAGAGAGATGCAGGACGTACAATAGCTTGAAACGTTTTGATCCATTATGATCATTGACGGTGGGCTGTGCGTGTGCGATAACTGCGATTGAGGAATTTAGCCTATGAGAACATAAATTTTTTGAGAGCAGTGCTACAGCCTCTACAGGAATAACAAGACTAGTTGGTTACTTCGTAGTTTCCATTCAAACTCGAGTAAGTGACAATTGTTTATTAGTCACTATAGAGAAAAAATACATAAATCTTGTTTAACGACTTTAGCCTCGTACATAATAGGCAAACGGTATATATATAATATTAATGTTGTTGTTGGCGCTGGCCGCTGAGGCAGCCAATCCAAATCGAAACGGGCATAAACTAAAGAAGGTCAATGTGGCATCCCGGAATCCGTTTTTACAAAAAATTTATCCTGCCATTCAAGAAAATTAGCAGATTACATTACTTTTCATAAAGAACGCCAGCAAAATTCAGTATTAACATTGAATCTTCTATAAGAATGTGAGAGCGTACATAGATGAGTATGTGACCACAAAGCAAAATTCTCTACATAATATATAATAGCGGTTTCATGGTTTAGTAGACCGTAGGCCTGTCGCCGATTCTTAACATCGCAGAACATTCACAGCTTGTTGCGGTCTCGAACTAGCAACTCACTGCTACAATTCTGCTGTGCTTAACCGCCCAGCCTCCTCGCCGATTCTGACCAGAAACTGGCGCACAGAGCTGGGATCGAACCCGCGCCTCTCTGCTCCAATCCTGGTACTTTGAACTCTAACCACTGGGCCACCCTGCCCTACATGATACACTTTAATTGCATGAAACTTGAAAAATTCATATGTATAATTTTGATATGTATGAAATTAACGTTATCCATCGAATTGATCAATCACAAGCTCGAAGGCAGGTAGCGACAGACGGAAAAATTCATGATGGTACATTACTATGACAATTTTTTACGGTCACAAATAAGACCATCAAACACGAGGAAACTTTTTTTAGCAATTCAATAAATCGAGCAGTAACCGCCAGTAACGATCGGCTAGTTCCCTCGGCAAGGCAAATAGCCAGAGGTTTAATGATCGGGGGAATCGAAATTGGGGTGCGATCCGACCTCCGTTCAGACCATTAGACCTGTGATCCGCGCGAATCGTATTCATTAAAAAAAATCAATTTAACTTCTGCGTCTTCCCGCGCAGCTAAAAATTGTTCTGTTACAAATATCCTAATCGATTGAAACATATGCAATCTATGAGACATGCTCCTCAAACAACAGAAATAAAAGTACCGATACTGATCAACTCGGCCTTCCGACTCCCCCCATCCCCAGCGTCTACTTTTGAAACCATCGCTTTTGACTCAGTTGCGTCTTTCTCAGCCTAATAAAGACGCAACCACAGACGCAGCTGCTCTCTTATACAAATCTACGTTCACTGAAATACACTCCTCACTTGTTCTCTCATGCACCACGCTATTACTCTCACCTCCCTCTTGCAGAATTACCACCATAATATAATGTTGTTCTCCCACATACGCCCCACATTCCCTCATTTAGTGCACCACAGTTTCCTTCGTCCTCCTTCCTCTCATTCCGCCGCACATACGTCCATTCACGCCCAGCGCCCATACTCCTACACAAAAGTTATTCCTCACCTCTGCTACCATCATGCATTCATACTTTGGCGTCGCTTTCATCTGATACATTTTTGAAATTCATTTCTCTCTTTCCATGCTTCTATTACCTTCAATCTACATCACTTTAATCTCTTTTTCATTCCTTCCTTTCCACTCTATTTCAGTTATAATCGGTATTATAAACTATCATGAAACTATTATCGATATAAGTAAAGATGTTTAATTTTTGTCTATGGCCATTGAGCAGCAGCAACTAGCTGGTCAGATGGCCAACTAGCGACCGCCTGATTGGCTAATAAGAATGGAGACTGCAATGATTCAAAATTCAGATGTACTTTTACCGAGCTTTGTGAAATTTTTTATACATTACAAAACCGGGCGATTATTTTTTTCCGCCTCGTCATCCTTTCATATAGCATCCATTTTATACAGCTATAATAAACTATTTATTTGTTTCAAAATAATGCTAGACATAGGTTATTGATTGAAAATGATTACGTACATCTTAAAAAGCGATCCTAACGTAACCATTGTCTACTGACAGTAATTGTCGTTACGAGGGTCTTTTTGTAGTTTATTCCCTTCTTCTTCGCAATGCTGTTACCCCGATGGTTCGAGGAAAAACTCCATATTAAATTTACAAAAATATATACGCATGCCTGTAATAGAAGCATCCGATTTGAAGGCAACCTTAAGGCTGCAACCTCTAAAGACACACGCTGACAGCGTTACTGATCAAAATATTAGAAGCTATTAATAGTGTTGAGTATTGTCATTGTTGCCGTGAGATAATGGCGGCCACTTGTACGAATGCTGTTAGTACAGGGTGCGCCACAGAAACTTACTTATTTGAAAGGTCAATAAAGCAAAAGTACTTCAGTTATTGTTTTAATTTTTTTTTATTCGAGAAAACAGTATCACAAATTTTTTTCATACAGTTTTGAAAATTAAATCTCATAAATGACGGCCTCCATTGCGCATAAACTAATGAAGTCGCTTTTTTCATAATGATTTCCACTCTATGCAGCATATCAATCGGTATTTTGGCAATGACGTCGCGAATGTTGTTCTTGAGGTGTGCTATGGTCCGTGGTCGATCGACATAAACCAGAAATTTCAAATATCCCCATAAAAAGAAATCGCATGGAGTCAAACCTGGAGAGCGTGGCGGCCATTGGAGATCGCCTCTGTCATGTTTAGCTTGTTAACGCAGCCGGAAATGTGGAAGTGAGCCTCGCCACTGAAAAAAACGACCGCGTCTTCAGGCAGGTTGTCAACCAGCATTTCACATGCATTTTGAGGGGCAACAAAATCGCGTTCAGTTAATTCTTGCACTACAGCAATTTTATTTGAGAAACTTTGAGAAACAAACTTGGGAACTTTCCCCTTCAGATGCACCCTCTCTCGCCCCTCTACCCGACCAACTAACCGCACAGGAATTTTTTCAAATAAGTAAGTTTCTGTGGCGCACCCTGTATTAGCTGCCCCAAGTTACCTGTGCAAAAGCTCTGTAGTCCTCACCAATTTCCCTCTCAGGCTTTGTATGGTATAGAAAATTATTACAAAGAACTTATAATGTATTTTATGCTGTCATAAACCCGTTTGAATTATTATTGCGGTTTCATACTGCATCATTACAACACGTTGCCAATTAGTAAAATGTAACTTAGCTCAATTGTTATTTAGTATTCTGAAACATGTATAAAGATTTTTGCCATATTTTATTTAGGTGATGCAGAAAGCCAATCAACTGTAATCTTAAATTAAATACATTTCATCAAAACTTCCAAAAAAATGATAACGTCGTAGCATACATTACAATATGTTATGGCTCTATTGGGAGTCAACGCGTCACGACGCTGGGTTAGCTGAAGAGGCGGTGCTCGTGTACCGACACAGCCGCCTTAGCACTCGCGGTGACCTACATCACACCAGCATGGCACACCACTTCTTACATCGCTAGCACACAGAAGGGGCACGAGTAATGTCTCCCAGCCTAAAGTTTGGTGTAGTTTTAATTTTGATTCTGGTCAGTGGACAGTGTTTTTTTGGAAATCGACGAAAAAATTGGGAAAACTTTTGTTGACGCAATTTAATGAAAATTAGTGAGCGCAAATTTGCTAGTGACTTTAAAAAAGATTTCACGCAATCTGCCTCGGCAAATCAAGTACTCGCAACACTATTGCCCGTACACTTCTCGCAACACTTCTCTCGTACACGTACTCGCAACACTTCTCTCAACTTGAAATTGTACTCAAATAAACGACTTACAAGTTTTTCAAACAATGTGTATATGCGTGAGAAAGATGTTTTCATCAGCGTCATCACTTCCTATTATTTTGCTTCTCCTATCGTCGTATAAAGCCTCTGTAATTTCGGCAGAAATTGTGGAAACAAACCAAACATTTTCATCTGCGGATTATAACTCGACTGCGACGCTGTCTACAGATGGAGACAATCTCCATTATCATCTGTATGAGAACACGAAGGAGATCAACAGTGAAGTGGAACAGCACCATGGCAGGAGTAGGAGACAGGCTTTACGAGATTGTGGCCCTGACAGAAGTATACTTTTGAACGGCAATAAGTTTCAGACGGGCCAAACATCAATCGATTTACAAATATTGTTGACAAATAGGTTTTCCCTGAGAGTAGATCTCAATTTATATGACACAGGTTTCTTTACCTCTGGAGAGGATGGTTTCAGTATTGATGTAAGTTCTGAAAATTTTGGAATTTATCCTCAATACGAATACTCGTCAATGCAGAAATGGGTGCACGTGAAGGTTTCAGCTCTAAATCATAATGGATATTGGCGCCTTCAGGTACTGGCAAATGGGAAAACCCGCCTTCAAGATAGTAATGAAAAGATATATAAAAATATATTCCAGAATATGGTCTTGGAACTTTATCCAAACTCTTTGTGGTATATTGGAGCTGAAACTCATCGCTGCACCACAACGACCTCAACTACGACCACAACCGAGAGCGCCACGTTATCAAGTAGTACAACCTATCCATCAACGTCAAGAACAACTCCAGCTAAACTGACAGCAGTGCCTTCAACTACCCAGACATGGCTGGCCATCATTCCGATTGAGACTACATCTACTCTAGAACCGGAACTTCCAACAACTGTGTCGGAAATACCAATTGGGGATGGAGAGTTGAATACGATTGTCAATCCAAAAGATAGTGCCAATAGTAGTTCAATTGATTTTGCGCTTAACAACATTTCGGCTCCCTCCTTTAACGATCCTGAATTTAACTTCAATTTGAAAAATACATCTCAGCCAAATATTTTAACAGATGCGTTCATGGCGTTACCACCAGAATTGATTTCTTCAACTTTATCATTGAGAATAAGCTTCGAAACGCCACCTCCAGAAGTCAACTTAGATGACGATTTAAGAAACATGTCAACTTCAACAATTACCACCGAAACAATAACAGTTACCGCAAGAAGTCTCAATGACTCATCATCAGCCATTCCATCATTCTCATTGAACCCAGAAAACACGGTCGAGCAAAACTCAGTATTTCCAGGAGTAATTGCCCTCGAAGTTATTTCAACACTTTCACCTGGTGACATTCATATACCGATATCTGAGTCAAGCCTTCCTGAAGAGGCTGTAAATCAAACCTTCGCCCAAGTTGCTGGTGAAGAACAAGGTATTTATAATCCGAGTGTCCATATTGTTGAAACAAATGACCTAGCGATTAATTTAATGCTGATATCGTTTCAAAAATAATAGTTTAATTTTAATTTTTGTTTTTATTTTTTAATTTTAATAATTTTCATTTTTAATTTTAACAATTTTAGTAATTTTTTCTTCAGGGGGTTCAGCATTTGCAGAGAAATCGTTCATGGTTCTCGTCTTAGCCACCTGTTTGACGGTAGCAGCCTTAATAAGCGTCGGCGTCATCATCTACAAGTGTACTCGTAAAGGTGGATCCCTCTGGTCAATTCCATCTCAAAGTTAGAGTTCTGGAGGACAGATGTATTCAACGTTATAATTGTCGAAATTCTGATTATTATAAACTCTTATGACATTATAAATGTTTGATAACAAAGGCATTGTGGTTGTGCATTAAAAACTTCCAATTGAAGAATTGAACGCCATTTAGTATACCAACCTCCCCTTTTTTGTTCGCAACAGGAACTGATAAGATTGAAGGTACAAAATGCGAGCTTCTGGCAGTTTCATCATGTCGCATTTCAAATGATGGGCACCCTGGGAAAAAGGTACCCCACGAGTACTTGGGGCCATCAATGGCTATGGCTCAACATGAACAACATGTAGAACGTGTCTCAACGGAACCCCAGGCGGTGTGTGCGGCCCCCGACTTAAACTGCATTAATCAAACTCAAGAAACACCTATTGGAAGAACCTTATCATGTACTACAAAGAATGAAGATGACGTGCACGAATCAGGGAAATGTTGCTTTGAGGAAACAAACGTAACTTCTAGATCAGGAAAAAGTGAAGTGCCTGCCCGAAACGTCTCCATGCCTGCAGATGTGGGCTCGTTTGAAAGCAATGTCTCTAAAGAAAATGTTCTCCCGCAAGAGCGCGGTGGTTTTACGAACAGGTCTGACGTGCGAATTGAAGTAGACGACTCTCATATGCAAGTTAGATTTTCTTTCAAGTAAGAATAATTTTGAAATTATGCTGCGTGACCTTATATTCCGTGATTAGCCCAACTGATTTCAATTATAAGTTATGGAACTATGTAAAGTCAGGTCAATTATCGATTCAAATGTATTGAGATTGCCTGCCCATTTTATCGATGACAAACAATTAGCATGCGTGCAGACAATGACATCTTATTTCTAATAGAAATTCAAAATAAATCTAGCATTATTATATTTTTGAAAAAAATTCTTGCAGGGCAAATTCTTTTATATGAGTTTAATTTCAAGGCATTAGCATAGCTATGCCAGTACAGATATACGCTTCCACAGAGGCTGAATTTTGGGGCGAACGGATGGAAATGTCGGATGTTTCAGTGTTGTGGCTCAGTAAATCATGCCCAGGCGTGGATGGTTTTGCTATTCATGATACCAGTTCAGAGATGATGAACAATATTAATACTTAACCTATTAATTCAATCGTTGATGTTCGGAAGAACGGCAATCGGTTGACATCAATGAGCAAATTGCTGCGTGTGCTACTGGAGGAGACTAGATTGTTAGCTGTCTTAATCTTAGTTGTAGGTAGAATCCCTCTACAACAAATCTCGAAAATGGTCCCAATTACTTAATATTTATAAGAATAGTTACTGACATATTTATTTAATTTATGCTAAGGAAGATTAAAGTTATCTCGAATTAAAAATTATAGATTAGTGCTTAGGATATCAAGCGGGGAAATTACTGAATATTTAATTTTGAGATTTTTTTATCTGAAATCACGGTGAAACTGGTGTTTTTGGCGAATACTGATGTGTCGAAGTTGACCTGGGTAATCCGCGATTGCACTGATTCATGAAAGAAATTACAACAATTAAAAAAAATGAGTTTAATATAGGGACTTTTTACAAGTCTTTGAAATAATCAAAACTTTGGTAAGAACTGCATGCGCACAATACAGGACGAATATAATAATTGTAGGCATACGAAATGAATGTTTTCGTTAAAATTAATGTTTCCTTAACCTACAAAATAACTTCTTACAGCACACATAGAAAGTAGTTATGGCCTAAGCATGGCGGTAAAAAATTAAAATTCAGGTGTCGACAAGGAAAATCAGAAGCTTGGAATTAATAGCCCATTTAAATCCTAAATATAAAATTATGTCATCTGCAAAATATGATAATCAGTTCTGACATTGATAATAGCCTCATGTTATCTGTTATCGCAGTTAGCTCTGCCCTTGGCAGAGCCAACTGCTACGCACAAGACTGCTAATAGGTAGTGTGTCTCAGCGATCACATCTGACGCTTGCACATGAAGCTGCTGTGTTACTGGACGAGTTACTCTAGCGTCAAGCTGGAGACGAATGTTATTGTTTATTTTCTGTGTGTTCGCACACGCACTTAGGGGAAAACCTACACTGTCATTCCAAGTGCGGCGACCCGTTGAGTTGACCTTGAAGACTTGTATCGCAACAAAAATTCTCGGTCTGATGCGCTGCTGTGATGCAATGAAACCGATAATAAATGTCCGCGGGAAGACTCGATGCACCCAGTTCGTTATGGCTTATGGCAGTGCGTTGTGGCTGCTGCAAGGAGTTGGTGTGTGAGTGGGGCAGCTCTGCTGTTAATCCTCAATTAAGCATCGTTTAAAAATTTTCATTAAATAAATCAAGGCCACTGAAGAATTTTTTTTTCCATTCCATTGCAGATACAGTGCAGACATTTGGAAACTAGCGTGATGGATATCGTGGTGGAACAATTAAGGCGGTTAGGATATTTGTTTTACGTAGTAAATCCGAAGACAAGCTCTTATGAAACTAAGGAAGAAGTGCCAGATTATCTTAATCAGGTAAAGTTACAGTAATTATTAATGAAATAAATACTCGTATTTATGTTATTGAATTCGTACATAAGGTCTGAAGGTATCTCAAACTGATCTAGCTAGTTTGATTTGTAAGGGATTTAATTAGCCGGGTCGATTTGTAAGATAATTGTGAGCTTGTCAAATGGGAATAAAATCAAGTGCTAACTACTAAATTAGGAGACAAATCTGAAATCAAGAGAATTTTCATACCCATGAAACCCCATTGGCTTAAATGGGTATTAATTTTTGGCTTATGATAATAATAGAAACATCAAACATATGTATCTGCTCAGGTGGTTCCGTACTTCCTGACACTCATGCTGCTCGAGATGCTCGTATTACGTTTCCGAAGTCACAACCCTGTTAAATTCCGCCTCGGTGACGCCATGACATCAGCCGGACACGGGATTATCTACACCATCACCAGGTAGCTCCTCACAACAGTTGCATTTGATGCTGCATCTCCTGAACTGTCAAATGATAACTATTCGCAAGTAGTTCCAAAACTAGTGAAGCTACAGCCTTGCTTTGGTAAATTTTCCTGCATTAGGTGGTAATACTGCAACAACCTGCACCAACGTAATAATAACTGCAAAAATTACCAACGTGGTAGTAACTGGTGGTAATAACTGCAAAAATCACAAACGGCGGCTACCGCATAATGCTGCGGTAATGCTGTACTTGTAATCAAAGAAACTCTTAATATGCAGCTGCCACGTTTTAATATGGTTTTCTTCATACAGTATTCTTTGTGAGTCGTGTTTTAGAGTAATAAGCAGAAAAATTAATAGCAGAAATACTACAATTTTTCATTAAAATTTCACGTAAAATTTACTAAAAGACTACTAGTTATATTCTGATGTTAAATGATAAATTTCTCAGAGGGACATTTTTCGCAATTTATACAACGTTTTGCATAATATTTCTTCAAGTATACCGGAGGTTTATGAACCTTAAATAAGAAACTAATTAAATGGATATTTTGATAAGAGAAAAGTACTAATATCAGGTATTATGGATATAACGTTTTGAAAGATCGCCAGCCTTGTGTCGTCAGGGCACCGCATGAAGATTTTGATGCAGGCTTCTAATGTCGAGCGAGTGATGGTCTCGTTGTGGGCCTCCTTAAGGGGAGCGTCTAGGGTAAAATTTTGGATTTCGGCTTTTCCGGTTTTTAGTCTCATCTTAAAGCTGACATTCTGATCTATCCAACGGTACCAAAACCATCTCTGTACGTTGATTTATGCGTTCACGACAGATCATGAAAGGGAGGGGGGTGGGGTAGTTCTTCAACAAATAGAATGGGAGGAAATTCGCTGCGAGCACTTTAAATAGAGTGTCTGCTTGAAGCGCACCTTAGTTACCCGCCTGGCGTCGTATGAGGAGGTGTGCATGCAGTCGCTCCCACCATCCTTGACTGGAATCAAGCTCCAGTAACGTTTGGTTTTGTATCCTTGCTACAATGAGTGCCTATTCCGATGCGCGCGGGACTTTGACGGGCTCTACTGAAAAGTTAACTTATTGTCACTGCAAACCTATCTCCTCCTAGAGTTTTAAGCTACAACAATGAGACATATACCATTCGATACGCAACAAAATTATCTAGAACGTAACACGGGCGTTTTTCTAATTTCGTTATAGTTTGGATTTTATTCCGCAAAAGGGGGGGTGGCGGGGGGAAAATCGAAAAATTTTCGAAAAATTTACGAAAAATGCTCCCACACCCACAAAAATGATATTTTAGATATGGTCTTTACGCATCGAATGATATGTGTCTCAATGTTGTAGCTTGAAAATCCTAGGAGGAGATAGATTTCTACGGTACCCCCTTTTTTGGCCGTTTTCTAAGAATTTCACGTTTTCTTTCATTTTTTTCGAAAAATTCACACGAACAAAAATGTCTTAGAATTCTATTTTACATATGTGTACCAAGTTTCAGAGTGATCCGTTCGTAAATAGCCGAGATAAATTTTACCCTAGACGCTCCCCCTAATGTGGTTCTTTGGTCCTCCAGATTGCAGGTGGCATGTAAGCCACCTTAACGTTGTAGTTGTCAGCCCAATGTGCTCTGAAGTAATCCAAAACCTTCGTTATTGCATGTAATTCACAAACGAGATTGATACACATTTTTAATGGATTATTTTCTATATGCAAAATTTTGTAATGTTCTTGTTCTCGTAGTAAATCAAAACATTGATTCTGTCGTTTCCTGTGCTGCTTCTAATATTATTTTGAAACGATTAACTGCCAGACTGGTTCACCTGCCTTATAACCGCTGCTGACCTGATATTGTTAGTAGATAGTCGCAATGATTCCGTTATAAGCTGGCTCGTTAGTTCGGTTATATGGCACGATCGATAGTCCCAAGTTTCGATGTCGATTTTTTTTCAAAATTTACTTAAAGGTTCGGAGATCGTAGTTCGATAATCCCTATTAATTTTATACTCAGTTAATAAATTTATTATTACCTTTTTATCAGATATGCCGACAAATCCAATAAAATGTAGCCGGAAAATAAGTCTAAATAAACAATCGTAACCCCACTCATACCTAATTTTAAAATGATCCTAAATCTTTTGGGGTCTAGGCTCCCTGTCTTGAAACCTACCGACACCCTTTTACATTGGTTTAAGCCGCGTTCTCACTTGCCGCCTCCTATCCGGAGGACCGAGGAACCGCGCAAGGGATCGGTTCACAACACTCGTGACGATGCAGGTGCGGCAGAGGAAGCTTGCGCCGGCATCTTTAATTTATTCATACAGTGCAACTACTACATCCGAACTTGAATTTAGGAAAAGCTATTGCAAAACATTGCTAAAATTTGCATGCATATTATAATATTCATACATCAAACGTTAATTTTTCTTCAAATTTTTATTATGATCAATATTCTTTTGATTACAAGTACTTGAAAATATATTTAAAAGTACTCACTCAGTGAGTACTTTTAGCAGTACTCAGTACTGCTAAACTGAGTACTCACTGCAGTACTGCAGTGAGTACTCACTGCAGTGAGTGACAGACTCACTGCAGTGAGTGACAGAGAGCGCATTTTCTCGTCGACGAAAACTTGAAGTCACGGACAGACGGACGGACAGACAGACAGACAGACGGACGGACGGACGTGGCGAGCACAATAGTGCATTTTTTCCATAAATGAGAAAATGCGCTAAAAAGAATCGATGTCAAAGAAGCGTTCAGTTTCCACATTTAGAAATGTTGTTTGTTAATTACTTTAGACTACAGATAACTGCACAATTCAGTAAGTAATATCGGGACTTGTTCATTGCACGCACTCCAGCTCGATGACGCGCGGCGTGGAGCTTGTGGGGTACGCGTGGCTGTACCAAAGAAGGCTGTTCGACTTGGACTGGAACAGCAGCGTGACTTGGTGGCTCGCCGCTCTGGGGGTGGATTTGGGCTACTACTGCGTTCATCGCTTAGTGCATGGTGCCACGCGAGCGTTCCTTCACAATCTCTACCTTGTCTGCACCAAATAATTGTTTATTGTTTGGAAACAATATAATCACACAGTTTATACGTCATTGTAGAGGAAAATATACTACTGAAGATGTAGAGGTTAATTCGTTTCACGGAGCTTTGACAGTTTCACTGACGGTTACAATGATGCATTTTTCGATAAAAAATAACGAAAATTTGTATTGCAACATCCAGCGTAGGTTACAATAGATTGTGATTCAATATATACTGTTCAACTATATCTCTAAATAGATTTTACGATTTAAGGTGATATGACGTACATCCTCATTTGTTCACGAGGGTTTAGAATCTTAAAATGAAAAGTGCGCTGTGCCATAGTCATTTCCCAGTAGTAACATTAACAATGTGCTGCGCCACTGTCTCAGCCAGTATAAATGCATGGTTAAATTTTTGGTGCACAATCAATGCAGCGATAAGATATGAATATTTACTGTGCCACGAACGAGCTTCTGTCTAACGACAGAAGCTCTTTTTTTCTGACATGATGCGATTTGGTGCAAGATGAACTTATTACTCAACAATTTGACTTATTACTTTAAACAATTTGGCTCAGTTGAAATGAAGCGAAACGTGTAAAGATGCCTCATCTTGAGCAAGTTGGCCTTGCGTCTTTATTTCATAATCTTTTTGTAAACTCACAATTTTCATCACACACAACTCACTTTATTCCAGTAATAACTTCAACTATAAATATCAATAGACATAGGTATTCCTTTGTAGGGCACAACGCTTTGGAAATTAAATATTCTAAAAAATGCTAGATAATAGTTCAGTGCCCCAATCCGCCTCTCTTTGTTTTGATTCGGCAGAAGTGAGCATTGGTTGGGCAGCTCATCAGGTCCACCACTCCTCTGAAGAGTACAATCTCTCCACTGCTCTCAGGCAGTCAGTTTTCCAGAAGTTCTTTGCTTTTGGGTTTTACCTTCCGCTGGCATTGATCGGCGTGCCTCTTCCCGCAATTCTGGTACACATGCAGTTCAATTTGCTGTACCAGTTCTGGATACACACCGAGGTGGTGAGCACCCTGGGACCGCTGGAGCTGGTCCTCAACACTCCTTCACACCACAGGGTACATCACGGTCAGTACCTCTACAATCTACATAATACATTCTTGCGTCACGGTCAGTACCACTACATTCTTGCGTCACGGTCAGTACCTCTACATTCTTGCGTCACGGTCAGTACCTTGCTGGACTTATTGCCTGCTCCGTAATTTGCTAGGCATTTTAAGACTGAACATATGCTCCTGCATAGCTTCGTCTAGTCTGCTTTTGAAGATGTTCATACTCGGAGCTTCAACGATGCTATCAGGGAGGCTGTTCCACATGTCGGTGACTCGAAGCGAGAAGAAATGTTGTCGCATGAATGTGATCCAACTCTGTTTATTTTAGTTTATAGCCGTGGCCCCTGGTGTTGGTTCTCGTTTCAAATTATAGTAATCCTTCTGGGACCTTGTATAAGCCATGAGTATACCTGTATACTTCAATGAGGTCCCCGCGCAGACGTCGATAATTGAGGCTTGGAAGCTTCATAATCTTTAATCTTTCCTCATAGGACTTGCCTTTCAAGCCCGGAACTATCCTTGTTGCGCGTCTTTGAACACTCTCTACTATTAATATTAATAATAAATAATAATAATAATAATAATAATAATAATAATAATAATAATAATAATAATATTACTATTAAAGTACTATTAGCTGCTTTAATCCTATTACGCGTAATAATTCCCTAGTATTACAAATAATTAGAGAAATACCTAGGCCGAATCAAAAATTCTACGGCGATCAAGTGAAAAAGTGTTATTTCACAGGAGCTAATCCATGGTGTCTAGATAAAAACTACGCTGGAGTCCTCATCATTTGGGACAGAATGTTTGGCACGTTTGAGGCGGAACGACCCAAGGAAAAGATCATTTATGGACTCGTAGACCAGCCTCAGACTTTCAACGTGCCTTGGCTGCAGGTAAATACAAGAGGCTCACGAGACAAATATTATTTTTAAATAAATTTGATTAATAATTGAATATTTGGCAATAAAAAGTTACGATCTTAAGACGCAGTATGCAACAGAGCTTCTCAATAATGCTTAATATTGCGTGTCTAGGTTTTCTACTACCGAGACACGTTCGTCAAAGCCGCGAAGCAGCTGACCTGGGCAGACACTATAAAGAGTCTGTTCTATGGACCAGGCTGGTGTCCAGGCTCCCCTAGACTGGGCTTCCCACTTCCAGACTCCCACAACGAGCCCAGGAAGAAATATAATCCCTCCTTGCCAGCCATTGTGGAGCTTTATCTTTTCTCGCATTTCCTTGTCACCCTGTACCTGCAGCAAGTTCTGTTGAATAATTTCAACGTGAGTTTCGAACGAATCTTCACATCACGAACACTAATAATGTTAAATTGTTTCAATGAAGAATTAATAAAATTTAGTTCAGCAAGTCAACCAGTAACTGAAATATTTTATTAGGGAATATAATAATACCATATTTAAATTCCGTTCTTGGTACTTTTTTTTTAGTTTCCATCTTCTTGGACGAGTGAGGTAGTTAGCTGTTCCTTTTTCTTCGCTAATTTATAACTCTCATTGACCGTCAGAGCCACTCCTGCGCGTCGGTGCTCCTCCACATCCTGTACATGCTAGTGACGCTGGGTAACTTCGGCGCCCTGTACGACGGCTGGCGGGGCGCCGTGTTACTCGAGGCGCTGCGATGCGTGGCGTTCCTCTTCTGGTCAGTTCAGAGTCCGCTGCTTGGGGGCGGTGCCCTCGAGACGTCGGTCAGGTACTACAGCGCATTCTCTGCCGTCGTCTGGGCCGGCCTTGCACTCTTCCGGGACAGTCTCGTTATCCCGCCCAGCGGCGGCAAAAAGAAGAAGCAGTAAGTTGGAAAGGAACCTTCGCATCTGTACCAACACTACAACGCCTCCATACGCCTTTATGTACACTATATAAGTCAGTCTTTATGTAGGCCAGTATTTATAGATTATTCTATAATTGTACTACTGCGGTGTTTTAATTCATATTTTTTCGGATGCTTTTATCTCGCCATGCAATTGACCGAATCATTGAGCAGATTTACGGAATCTTTCTTCTGGAAAGCACCTTTACAAGTAACTAATCTATAATTAAATAGTAGCCCTGAGATTATTACGATGAGATATTTTTACGGTCCACATGATGTCAAAAATTTCCCTTTTAAATAATTTTGTGATAAATTTATTCTAAAAACTTGCAAAGTTTGAGATGGCTGCGTTCAAGTTTTCACAGGATAACCCATAGAGGTAAAGATCCACATCCGGACCTGGATCACGTAAAGCTGGTAAGCATGAACTATGAAAGCGAGAATGTACATTTCACGATGAAAACTGCACCGTTTCAGTCAACGAACAACATATACCGACTACAATGCAGTGCGTTATAAAAGTTATAAACTGTGAGGCGAGATAAGGAGGCGGACACGCGGAACAAGTGACGAGCGGAAGATTCACCAAATGCCTAGCCGCTGACTGGGGATTCCGCAGTTTAGGAAGGAATACGGAAATCTGTCGGTGGAGTTAACGAAGTCATCCCGACGCGTGCAAAAAATAACTTGGTACACGTGTCGTTGAACGCAGCATTGAACTCGTCTGTAAGACACTGGTACCACAGTTCGAAGATTAACAATCTGCATAAATTAACTCTACATGAGGGGGGAGCGAAATTTTGGCGGAGTCGTTCTGTATACGGTCCCAATGGCCCTCAAAAGTCAAAGCAAGGACGGTCTCATCTTCATCGTCTAATTATAATATATCCCTGAAGTGCTCCGCTGTTAATCGTATTCAAGTAAAAAATATCGCTGTACTTTACGGAGCGCTGATTAAATCTGAGACCTATTTGTTAAAAAAAAAAAAAATACTCCCCATGCGTGCTATTGAATTGATTTAGTGAGGGTAGTTACGATTTAGAATAACTTGAATATCGTTTTTAAGGTAAACGGTCCCACCAAATTAGACCCATTCTGCGTGGTATCAGTCAAACAGAGTACCTATTTGCTTGTCAAATCATTGTTAGTTTTTCACGTGTTGGGCGCTTCAGCGGCCGCGGGTCCAGTTTTTGGGTCTCTTGAGTCGCCGCGCTCTAATAGAAACGATATACTTTCTGCAAAAATTTGATAAAAACTATCGAACAACATTTGAGAAGCATTAGAATAATTGATTACTAATAAAGAACATACTAAAATGTTCCTATTAACATAACGCAGTTTTTATCGAACGTCGGCAAGTTAACTGCCGTGACATTTGTGTTTGTCGACTCTGGTATCAAATATCAATGACGGTCGGTACAGGAGTTCGCTTCGTAATCGAACTCCTGCGTTCAAATCAAACGATCACACATCAGGGTAATAATATTTTTTCGAGCTCTTACATTTTTTATGCAGGTTTCTCAGGTAAAACAAGCAACTACGCAAGCGAGATTCATGATATATTCTACATTGTAAACGAAAAACTTGTCGGGTGAGAAAATGAATCCGATAAATTCATTAATTTTCTCTAAGATTGCCATACAAAAATTTGTCACAAAGCTATGACAGTAACTTGAGCCAAATAATTACCATAAAATATTAACAATTCATTCAATGTTAAGCTCAATATAATTTTCATGGCTAAAGAATTTCGGGCGGCAGCACAAAGGTTTTCAACCTAAATAAATCTGCACCGAATTTCCAGCTACTTCCTTAACCACTTGATAAATGAAAACGAAGTACAAGAAATCAATTATATATAAACGAAAATTAATGGTAAAAATGTCTCAATCGAAGCTAATCCTTGAAAGAGAAGTGTAGGCGATCATCAGCGACAGACCACGCTCGTGATTTAAACGTCACTAATAAGCCAAATAACTCGCTACATTTACATTAGAACAGCTATACTTTTGTCGTGACTAGACTAGAATCACATTGAATTCAACACGCCTCTCGAAATCCGAGACCAAATCTCGAATCGGAATGAACGTACATCAACACGGAATCCACAATGAACATCAACACGCGTGCGGTTAAAAATTGAATTCAAATAAGATAAACTAACACTATTTTCAGACGTATGAAGGGACTTGGAAAATTGAAGTAATAATATCAATATTACTCGAATCATGAGTATTTCAGCGTATTTCAGAGGATTATACTACGAAGGGTTTCTTCGTGTATCCTGATGACATTTTATGAGCGTTTTTGTTATAGTTATATTGTTCTATTGCATGAATATAAGACGCAAACTGGAATAAAAGATGCACTCGGAAATGTAGCCTCCCACTAACTCCAGAAGATTGTAGCAAACGCTACAATTAGAGTGCAAATGAAAATCTAACTTGAAGATCATTACACGTGTTACATGCAATCATAATGACAGGTCACTTTGAGCATAAATCTAATTAAATAAAAATGTTGCAAATAAATTATTTGTGCAAATAAATATTAATCTATTCTAAGTAATACTAGCAAGAGAAAAATACGACAATTGGACCACAAATATTTGTTCTTCGTTCTTGCTCGAAGGAAACTAGTTACTAATTGTGACAATTACTGTAACCATACAAACCAATTTATCACCGCAACGCCGTCACAAATTATCGCCATTCGCAATGAGTACAAATTCCATGAACGTATTTGTTCATAACAGATAAATCCAAAAGAATAACAAATGACGAAAGAGAAAGACAGCAGAACTCTTGATGTTGACCGAATTTGGCAAATATATTTATAGTTCAGGTCACAAAAAATAATTTTGGATTAGATTCATCCTCCAGTGAATGACTGACAGCCGTCATCTCCGACTAATGCCCACATAAAGTTCCTCCAAGTCAAGATAAGTTGCGTTGTATCATAGGAGTACATTATTGCTCGAGTACATTGGGTTATGTATTGTTAGGTACTTCACAGTACAGTACTGTACATTTTACTTATTATTAGTATTGTATTTTGAACGGATTTATCGGTTTCTCATCTATTTTAGTGGAAAAACTATTCCGAAAGCTGGCTATTTTAGAATACAACGCTTTTTCTGGAACAGATTAACGTAAACTTTTGGGCATACGTTATAATAAAAGCTAAGACATTGTCAAGAGCAACTCCAAAATATGGTAACATTGTTTCGCAAAGAGGGAAATGTTCCAAATAACATTAAAGTTAATGAAGGATAATAAGTGCGAGTTTGATCTCCGATGGGACGGAATTATATCACAGTCAGTGTACGTTTTAAAGCACTTGCGGTGAACTCGAGACACCTGCATAACAGCTAACTTAAGTCCTTAAGAAGTCGTTGTGTAGGAAACACATTAGGTATACTTCATTGTTTCTAAGACTAGATGCTGCAAAAAAGGCTAGGTTCAAACATGACTAGAATAAGTTCAGACTAGACCAAGAAATGAAGTTCGAATTGACTCCTTTACAATTAAACCTAACATAAAATTTGAGATGAACATCCAAAGGAACTTAAAGTGTATCATGCGCGTAAAGTCAAACCATTACAGAGTGATTATGTAGAGGATATTGGAGGCAAGAGAAATGTATTGAGGAAATTATTGTCGACGCGGCGAGTCTCGCATGAACATCGCAGGTGAAGGCAAGACTCATGGCGGTGACGCAGCGTCGGCCGCGGGACGGTCTCGCCTCAGGGAGGAGATGCCCACGCGCACGGCAGGCGAGGAGTACACGGGGTATCCCAGCGGCGGGTCAGCCGCTTGCACCGTCAGGTTACGTAGCAACGAAGCATGAGCCTGGCAACGTACAGTAACTATTACAATGAACATGGTTCCGCTAGGCATAATTAGTTTCTCACGACTTGATGGAACTTAAGTGTCGTTAGTTTGTGAGTATGAAAAGCTTAGTTGGACGATCAGTATATAAATACAATATTAATGAGGAATTTATAAAAGAAACATCACTAAAAAATTATATTTGATGGCTCTGATACACTTAGTGAAACGATGAATTCTATACTTCATACATAAAACAGGAATATCCGTAACAAATCATAATTTGCAAGAGAGCTAGATAGTTCACTGATACCTGAATAGAGTATCGCTCGTCGTCGTCATTGGTGAGGTAGAGCAGCTCAGGGCTGAGGGCGCTCCACACGGCCGTCACGGCGCTCTTGCTCAGCCGCCCCAGCGACGCCTCCTGTGGCCGCAGTGACGCCAGGCGGCTCGTGTACACGCGCTATCAAATACAAAGCAATAATTATTATCATGTTACGTTATCATCTTATGATAATTAACGATGAACGTCGTAGTATTGTTTGGGAGAGTTTTCAACATATGCCCATTTAACGATAGCAGAGTATATTCACGCTAGTACCGGTAGTTTCCGGAGTAAAGGTGCAGTAGATATGATGCTAGGGATCCGGAATTTTATTGAAGGTCAGGTCTAATCAAGGTGGAATTTAAGGCAAATGAAATGACAGACGTCCAGCCACAGTTAACGTAAACAATAGTGTTTATTCCCGTGCGTATCTGGGAGTTACGAAACAAACTCACATTAATTAACTTCGCACAAAGGAAAATTTACCAAATCACGAATTAAGTATACGCCAAAGTCACCAGGAAGATACAAAGCATCTACGGAGACAATATTAGAACACGGATATATAGCAACAGTGAAAAAAGCTAATACTACACGCCAAAAATTATTTATAAACGATGCAAGAATGTGGCCAGCAGAAAATAGATCTGAATTCTAAATATTCTTATTTCGGAAGCTTACCCGCGACTGCAAATATTATTCCCTAACCAATAGTCATTCAAAATTAACGTTAATTGAAAAAAAAAATCATACACAAAAATGCCCAAAGGAACCTTTCGTACTGACCCTAGGAAAAAAAGTCTAGCGAGCTGCGCTGCTACAGGATCATGTAGAGATAGCAATGGAGTCGGGAATGTTAGTTACGAAAGCTAGTAAGTTCATTACAGAAATATTTTAAAGTTTTGTAAGCTGATGAACTAGCGACTAGCTATGAAGCAATTTAGCACAGGTCGAGTCACAAAATGAACATCACAAAAAAAGTGGGAGGCCATGACATTTAAAATTTCTTGAATCAAAGATGACTCATAACCTTCAAGAGGCTACTGGTCGCAAACATTATTTCATATAAATAATAGTGAAATACCGTTTGAAAGTTGGTCCATCGATTTACCTTGACGTCATTATAGCCAATTGTGAAGAGGTGAGGCGTTTCTTTGTGAATAGCTTGCACCCAACTCTGAGGTTCATTAGGCTCAAGCTCCTTGGCTACCTCGTGGCCACGCTCAGGTGGCATAGCGGCGACAGTAGCCCGTCGTGGTGCAACATCAACATTATCGTCCGTTGTATGCAGTGCATCCGAGGATATCCGACGCACTGCCGAGCTTCCCGAGATGCCAGGATGACCGGAGTCTCTAAAGGCTATATTGACGGACGCAGCCCCACTCCTGGAAGCTCCATCAGCAGCACCAGGTCTTGTCGAGGGAACACCAGAAGGGGAGTTGGTGTTAGCGTCGGTTGGGGAGCGTCGCTGGGTAGGTGGTTGGTCGGTCTGGTCAGAGCCGAAGAACCAGGCGGTGTGGTACTCAGACAGAGCTTCTAGAAGGTCTGGCCAGCTCGAGCTGTTGAGGCCTATGAGCACGTGGTCTAGGGATACTTTCACGGCCATCCTGAGTAGAAGATTATAAATGAGTAAAATAATTTAATTAAAGCTTCGAGTGGCGTTGTAATGTTTATTTTAAAGCCAATTTTTAATTCAAAGCCACTTAAAAGTTATCAAGACCAAATTTAATAAGATTTCATTAATTTATAACAAATAAATTTTGAACAAACAATCGCACAATTTGACTCTTGAAATGATTTCACAACAATAAATAAAAAAATAGTTGTAGTAGACTATAGACAAAGTCTACTAGCGAAGCAGCGATAGCGCTATTACTGTATGTATACCATCACGCACCATAGGTGGCGAAATACGACTCACCGAAGCGGAGAGAAACCACGCAACTCTCAAATTCCTTTATTAATAAATCAGTCATCATCACAGGCCGTGGATGTAAGACACAGCGCTATCATCTTGGAGGACGACGATAAGAGATTGGTGAATAGAGGAAGAAACGAAGTGAGAGGTGAAGCAGGGAAGTGCAAGGCATAATGAAGACAGCAAACTCAACACCACAAATAAGACTCGCTGAAAGATAGCGCGAGTTCCGTGGTGAATGGCACAGTTCAGAGACCATGCCACTGGGAACTTCAATTCTCATACGACTTGTGACAAAGGCGCGCGCAAAAAGGTTCCAAAGAGAAAATATCAATAACATGCATGCATTTTATACCTGTAAGCCTTATTGGTGAGTGCACGAAGGCGAGGCCGCTGTGTGAGCCAGGATAGGGCGGGGGAGGCAGGTATGGCGCCCCTGAAGGTGCAGTACACCTGGTGGGGGGACGGCGGCCGGCTGCTGTCATGGGCGCAGAGCACCACGCTGCATACCGCCGCCACCGCCCTGCGGTACGAGTCAGGCACGCGGTAGGTAATAGGAAGCAACGCACCGAGTGCTCGCGCGGGAAATGTAGTAAATTGACGTAAGGCACAACATTAAATCTATAACATCGTCCAAGAGCAGATTAACATGTACTGACGTGCCAAGCAAACGGGTGTTAAACTTGTAAATATTTAAACGATTTTATAAGCAAGGTTATCTTAAATTTGTGATCGGACACTTACGAGGCAACTTTCAAAGCGCTCAAAAGCTGAGGTTCCACTGTAATTTGAAAATTCAATGCAACTTGTACATAAAAAATTCAATACAACTTGGACTTCGAAATTACATCGAAATCTGAAGAACGCTATTAAACCGATATAATTTTCTTGTTTTTTTTTTGTCCTGAAAATTTCGTTCAACAACACATATGCAAATATTCATGAATGGGTTTGAATTCATTAAAGAAGTTTGTGTTGTTCATGGAGCGACACGCCGATGTACGGAAAGCAACACTGACCTGTAGGCTTCCTCCAGAGATTCGTCGTCCAGAATTTTCTGAAGAGTTCGATGTTCAGCGGGAGAGATTAAATCTTCAGGAGTTTCAGAGGAATTATTTTCGACATTTGAACCGTATTTTTCATGAGCAGCGCTATGTTTGCCTCCTGAACTTCCAGGTAACTTTTTCTTTGAAGATTTCCTAGACTTTTTTCCGTTCTTCAACTCTGATTTGCTGGCGAGTTTAATTTGCGAACTTTCTTTGCGTTGTTCGCGGTCAGCTTTGAACCGTAGGCGCAAAAAATGGCCCAAGAGAAACTTGAACCACGACAACGGGAAGAAAACCTGCATGTCGTCAATAGTGTCATTTTTACACGGCAAGTCTAGAAGCCAAAGAGCAGGAGGGCCATAAGCCACAGCAGGTCCAGAAATTGGAACTTTTCGTTCTTTGATTTCTTGTTGTGAACGAGGCAGAACTCGCACGCTTGTTACAGTCATGTTAGAAGGATCGTTGCCAGCAGCTGGCGATGCCAAACCTTGAGGTGAATCAAACGCCATCTTGTGCTTCTGTCGCACTTGGTTTGTGGTGGTAGAAGTTTTGAGGCTCATGGCGCCGTGACTGACTGGGGAAGCGTTTGGAGGAGTCAGAACAAAGTTTTGAGATTTGCCCGCAATTGGATTGAAGTCTCGATGGAGGGAAAGACGACTGCCTTGCTTGCTGAGCGTTGGCATCCGGCCGGAGACTTTGGTTAGCAAACCGTCAGGATTCAAAATGAGTCTGTCGCTGCTGAGGTCAAAGATATCTTGTTCCCAGTCGAGACGAGGGTCTATAGTAGAGTTTGGTTTGCTCTTGTTTGCCCATGCAAGTCTGCTTCCCCGGCCACTTTGAAGAGATCGGCTGTCTTTGTCTTCCTTCGATTCAGACCTGGAGTCTTTGGATCTCCGCCCATTATCTTCAGCAGAGATGTCGGCATCAGGACTGTTAGCAGATGAAGTCTCAGGCAATGCTTCAGAAGTGTTAGGACTGAGAGCAGCATTGAGCTTGGGTAGCGATGTGAGAACGTCGTAAGAGGCGCTAGATATGCTGCGACGACTTTTGCTTGAATAAGTGCGACATGCCGAAATGCTTTTTTCTCCCACACCAGCTTGTTGTACGTTGATTACATAATCCAATAGTTCAAATAAGAGACATTTAGTGAAGTAATCGTTGACGACTGATAGGAAATCATTGGAATCAATGACGCCAGTGAGGACGTTCTGAGTGTCAGAGTATGCCAGCAGCGGGACCTGGAACAGCGGAGTGAGGCAGTGCAGGGCGTTGGGGTTCAAGAACCTCTGGGATGTGGCAGCGTTCTCCACCATCTCCGCGTCAAAGGAACGACTGAAGATGGAATCAACTTTCGAAGCTTCGACCGTGTGGCAACTTGTCTCTTGCAGTTCCAGGCCCTTGACACTGAAATAAACGTGACCGAAACCGATTTCCAGAACCTGCAATAAATAACAGAAGTTAAGAGTTTGTTCTGATGAGTTGAGCTTTCAGGGCTTGTGTCGGAATTCACTTAACATCAAGAGAAATAATGAGGTAAATGAAACATAAGCACCAAAATACACTTTTCGAAGGAACTATCATAAGAAAAGAAGTTAAATTTGAATCATTATAATTATCGATTCCACCGTTAAAAATAAAAAACACAACTTCACAATATTCAAATTTTTGGAAAATTGTTTGAAAATTGATAAGCTAAATATTGTTAATTGCCGTGGATAAGATTGAATGAACAGTTAATGGTCAAAACACGAACGAATGCTCACAACAAAGCTTACAATATTTCCCGAACAATTGCTAGGGTTCATATAACTTCGTTACTGAACTTGTATTGGTTGAGGAAAGCCTTAAAACTATAAGCCTCTTTGATCTTTTGCAGAAGAATTCGTATAGCTGAAGCAAGATCGACATTACAGCGTTACTGCAGGTATGTCTGATCAAATGAATGAACAGTTTTCTTACTTGAATCCAAACCAGGCGATCTTCGAATCTCAGCAGGAGTTGATCTCCGGCATCCAAAAATCCTAAAGTAAACACCAAAATATTATCAATAACTCAAATTCAATCATGAAACATAAATCAGAAGAAAATTTAAAAGCTGAATAACTATTACATGCGAAGCTCGAGATCTCGAAGCTTTTATTAAAAGACATATTCACTTTTATTACGACATTCATTCTTTCTCAATTTGAAATTTTTTAAAAGGCGGTTGAAAGGCTTGCATACCCAGAGCGCCCGAGTGATGACACGAGACGAGTAATGATAGCAAATAAGGCGTGAGTTGCGCGTAGTAAGCGGCGTCAGGAGCTGCAGACACAGAGTGGCCGACGCTGTAGGGCCAGAAGCGCTCAGGGCGAGGATAGCCCAGCAGGAAGAGCGGCAGTGTGAACACAGGCAGCAGAGGAGCGTTCAGCACCGCACACGTCACCACCAGCAGACACAGAGCCGGCATAGCAGCTATGTTGATTGCTGAAGGGTGAAAAGTTGTGGAATTATCAATGTCAATTGTGTAGAAATTATGAGCGCGGTCGACTGTGGAATCCATAATCAAAAATCTAAACATATTGAGTAAGTATTGGGAAGAAAGGGACGCCCGAAGATTTAAATTCAGCAATTACTTGTCAAACGATGTCTACAAGTTAACTATCCGCATAAGGTACATGTATTATCATCCATAACAGAAGAGCCAACATCGTCCTGAGTTAAACGATTTCACTAGAGCAAACTTGCGTGGTCTCACACATCATAAGTAATTTGTTCACACTACCTCTTAACCCTACAGTGATCGCATGTTTTACATAAGTACGTAATCCATGCCTACGAAAATAGACCATAACGATACCGACAGAAAGGCGACCAATCTGTTCAGTTTTTAGCGCATTTTCTCATTTATGAAAAAAATGCACTACTATTGTGCTTGCCATGTGCGTCTGTCCGTCCGTGACTTCATGTTTTCGTCGACGAGAAAATGCGCTCTCTGTCACTCACTGAAGTGAGTACTGAGTTACATTTTCGCATGCCTGTGTAGATAAACGAGCAGGTTTCGACTCACCAGCCAGCACGACAGAGATGGGCCTTCGCTGTTTCTTATCAACAACGCTAGTGTAGGTGATGAGTAGGACAGCAAAGCAGTGTTGCAGGACGCGTCGCAGCCACAACAGCGCAATGCTGCACAGAGTTATGCGAGCTGCCACTGAGAGCGTCAGGTAGCCGGGCAATAGCTGCCGAGTGAGCGCTTGTGTCAACTCCAGGACGAAGAAGACACTCGAGGCAGCGAATGCTAGCCACCGACTTGTCCAAATCTGGAGCAAAGTTGACAATAAAGGGCAGTTAAAACACGATAGTTAATGAAGATCAATGGTTTAGTCAGTTAATGAGGAGTTAACCCTAAAATTAACAATAAATGTAGGAAATTTATATCTAAACCATTACCTTAATATTACAAACATTTAATTAATTGATGTAATCCCAGCAAATCGCTATTTATGTAATCTTAGGCATGAATAGACTAATTCGAAAATAACAGCATGACAGCTGAAACAGTGGATAGAATCGTATACCACTTGTCACGAGAACGATGTGAGGGAATGAATCATTTACACAGATGATTAGAGGGAAGAATAATGTGGATGTAAACATGCCTGAGTAAAGACGCGGGCAAGAGGAATGAATTGCAGGAGCCAAGAGATGGAGAAGTGCCACGGCATGGAGCACTGGTCAGCTCCCACCCACAGCAGGGTGCACACCAGCAGCAGTACCGGACCTCCTGAACATTAATTAAAATTTTAATGATGAAAAACCTACCATCATTCAAGTCTACTCTCGCTTCCTCATTCAGAAACAAAACACCATCTTTCCCTGTCTCTCTCCTTCATAAGCCTCACATTCCACCATCAGGTGCATAACTTTTTCCTTCACACCATCGTCCCACTCAAAGCACTTCTTCTCCTTCCAACCGTCCCAGTCAAAGCACCCATCCTCCCTCACTTTATCCCCCCCGGCCCACTCAAAGCACCCATCTTCCCTCTTCACATTGGATCATTCCCCCTGTACATAAGCTCATACGCACATAGCGCCCCTGCCTTATCAGTTATCACTAAGAAGTAGGTCTCCAGCCCCTAAGACTACTCAGCAGTTCTACACTCGCAACAACTACTCGCTCGATGCTCCTGATACTTTGAATTGAAAATGGTATGAAAGTCGACCTCAACCGATAATATAATATTATACTTAATAATATTTCAACATATATCAATAGTTCTTAGCAAGGAGAAAAATAGTTATTAATCGTCTCAGTGTCCCACTTAGAACCACGAAGACAAGCATTATGAAATGACGGAAGCTGCAATTGTCCATTTTAGTTGATAACACTTTTAATGGCAAACATAGAAGTAACATTGAGCAAAGTTGATGTCACCATCATAGAGTAAATAACTGTTAAGCACGCACCAACAGAGCAGGCTTGGCAGATGATGGCTTTGTAGGAGTCGTGGCAGAACATGACAGGTGTTGCAGCCACGACGTTACGGATCAGTCCGCCACAACACCAGACTTGCTGTGCTGTGCTTGCCGTGCACCACACCAGCCACAGCAACAAACATGCCACTCCAACACAGAACAGCGACATGCTCTAAAATTGAAGGATTATTACGCTGTTGCTTCCGGACGAAGATTGGTGAAAAGTTCGCGCGAACTTTCGCATTTTTTATATTAGAAAAGGTGTCAGGATAACGACCCAGTCAGCACTACTGACTGGCAGTAAGATAGCAAAATTGAGATAACGACTGAAAATTGAAAATAATAGAAAGTTGGGATTCCTAAACAAATTTTTTTCGAAGAAACTGCGTTGTTCGGTGCCAATCAAAATGCCATCTGAAGCGCCTGATTTGAATGACAAGCGGTAAGACATGGTAGCTACTCCTGCACTCCTAGTCTTTAGAGTCCGGATATGTAAGTTGAGTGTTTGGGGACAAACATTTGATCAAACATGTTTATGTTGACCAGATTGGAGACCTAATTTTGCTATTTAGGAAGGGCTTCGCAGAAGTATAGAGTGGTTGTTTGACGCTTGTCAATACGCATTTGAACATAATTTCTGAATTCCATAAAATCTAATTACAATTCTCATTAAAATCCGTCCAGTACACTTTTCGAATCTTCTTTGCCACTTTTCTAAACATTTTGAGTACTCATCTAGTTTGAAGTCTGGAAGTTCCTTCGTCGAAAAAAAAAAAGAGGAAAAAGACAGAAAAAGTGGCAGTCGTTTTGGCCTCGACAAAGTACGGGCACTACGTCAAATTTCATACGGCTATCCTCTTTCGGGCATTGAGATAGCAAAAACATTGTTTTTGCCTTGACCACGTCCGAAAAAAAGCCTCATGAGGGCACGTTTCTCCTGAACCCATTGTAGAGGCAGAGACGATTCAAAGACGACAGGCATTATAGTAGACAAGTTTAGTCTACGTTCCCAATAATGGCAGAAGGTAGCAAACAAGAAAATAGTCTTGTATGGAAGTTTTCTTATTGAGACAGGTAGGAGGAAACTCTTGCATCAACTGAACTTCAAGGCCCACTTTTCTGATGGCTTCTCTCTAACGTACATTAGCTAGGAAATAAATTTGGCGGTATTTTTGGGGGCTAACTTTTCATCGGATTCATCGTGATATTAAATAATAAAATAATTGTGTGCAATCAATATTGCAAAAAGTAGATGAGATTTTGATCTCAAGAAATAATTGAAATTAGATCAGAGGAAACAAGAAGGAAGGTTTAATCTCACAGCGAAGACAGGAGGCGTGGCGAGGGTGACGTCGTCGTGCAGCAGCGAGTACTCGGCGGCCGCGTCAGGGGAGCAGTAGTCGGGCGAGCCCAGCCTGAGCCACGCAGGCACGTCAATAAATTTCCAGAGAACAATTGCTACTTATGTCGCCTCCTCTTAAGAAATCAACAAATTTTGAACGAAAACAATAACTTTAAGTGAATAATAATAATGATTTCTAGAACTGAGCAAAAAAAACATACATATATACCGGAGTAAACGCAGATGCCTTGTCGTCGGTCATAACATAAATTTTTTGGTGCATTCTGCTATCCTCTACCTTCTTGCCTTTCTTTTATTAAATGTATTGACCTTGTCACAAGGCACAATTAAGGTACTTGAATGAAATGAGCCTACGCTCATTCCATTTACTCACTTCGATATCAAATAATAATTCTTTGTTCAATAGAGACTGCTTTGGTGAACACCAATGTCGTGAAAAGTTGGATACTGGTCGGAAATTTAAATGGGCTTGAAAACTATGACACGGCCAGGGCGGTGATGAGGACGGTCGTCACGAGTACGGCGCTGACGGCCACTCACCAGAGGCAGTGTGGCAAGAGGACGGCCAGGGAGGTGATGAGGACGGTCGTCACGAGTACGGCGCTGACGGCCACTCACCAGAGACAGTGTGGCAAGAGGACGGCCAGGGAGGTGATGAGGACGGTCGTCACGAGTACGGCGCTGACGACCACTCACCAGAGGCGGTGTGGCTAGAGGACGGCCAGGGAGGTGATGAGGACGGTCGTCACGAGTACGGCGCTGACGACCACTCACCAGAGGCGGTGTGGCAAGAGGACGGCCAGGGAGGTGATGAGTACGGTCGTTACGAGTACGGCGCTGACGGCCACTTCACGCCTCAAAGACACAACAGGGAGTCGCTGGGACGGGCGCGGCGACACCTGCTGGTGTGAACACAGCTCCTTGTAAAATATTCTCATGGAGATTGCTGTTGAGGCTGTTTATTGATAATAAACTCAAAATATCATGAATGCATTATTACCTGCTTCAATTTAGCGATTGATCTCCTAACTAATCTCGGATCTTCAAGGAATAAATACTAGAATTCATAGTAGATAGTGCACACAACTCAAGGCATTCAAGCAATTCACTGAAAAATTCAGTGATCACTCACTAAAATCGGAAATCATTCGGAGAGTTTTTCATTATATTACAATATGATGATAACAATAAATTATATTATTATTGTCATCAGTCAGAGTTGTAAAGAATATTTGTAGTTCATCAGAATAAAACATACTTGAGAACTCTGGGCCAGTCCCACAGAGCTGCGGCAGTTAGCTGAGACGCCCTGCATTACCAGCCATTCTGAAACAATGATTGTGAAATAAATCTGTTCACTTGAGAAATGTTGATCAAATTCTTAAACTTTGGAGTCAAGGGAACACCATTTGAACTGAGGAGCGATTAAACTCAAGTTTCATGAGGTGAATTTCGGCTGAATGTAGATACTATTTGCAATTATTCATGATTAAAATTCTCATCAAATGTAACATTTTCACATGCAATGATAAAGCGATTCAGATTGAGAAATATGATTAGTTTAGAATAGCAATGCTGGGCATTACAATATACAATTTTTGCCTAAACAAATGGATTTTAATGGCTTCTCTCATTATTTACGTCATTAGATCGCATATGTACCGTAATGATTGAAAAGCTTGCCTCATTATTTACTTCATTAGCTCTGACATATATACGGTACCGTAGTGATTGACCATCTTGCCTCATTATTTACAAATATATATGAGCTTGCCCCCTAATTTAGCCGTATAACGCAAATGTACCGTAATCAAGGCTTTCCTTATTTAGCAGTATAACGCATATGTACCGTAATCAAGGCTTTCCTTATTTAGCAGTATAACGCATATGTACCGTAATCAAGGCCTTCCTTATTTAGCAGTATAACGCATATGTACCGTAATCAAGGCCTAAGATGGCGCCCCTGAGGGCAGCAGCGCACAGCAGGAGGGGGTATGATGGCAGGGCGGCGAGGAGCAGCAAGGACGTTGTGGACACCGCGCACTGCACGTACAGCCGAGCGTTGGACGCGCACGGCGAGCAGCCTGACAACAGGGGGAGCTTGTGTAAACCAATGCAGTGACATCTATCATGGAGTGCCTTAAAATAGTATTTAGGAACTTCAGTACTAGAGCAATTATAAAGAACAATTACACTTAGATATTCAACATGTACTTGATTTATAACACATATAGTACGATTGCTGAAAGCATATCCATAACATGACCATTTTTCGAAACTCAAGAAAGAGAGAAAAAAACCAATTAGAGTGATGGCGATTCAAAAAAATTTTCACGTAATAAATGAGTGTTTGAAAAAGAATCGAGTCCCGCACCGAGAGCCAGGACGTGCCACTGCTCAAGCAGCCAGAGCACGAGAGCGTCTACAGGAGGCAGCGCGGCGCTGCACCACAGCAGCCCCAGCAGCGCCACCAACACGTGCACAGCAAAGTTCAGGACACGCAACCATGACAGACCGGGCCAAAACCTGACCAGGAGAAACACGGAGAAGGTCATGGTATGAGGCTTCTGTTTATCATTGGTACATGTCAATAAGGTTATGGTATGAGGCTTCTGTTTATCATTGGAATATATCAACAAGGTTACGGTATGAGGCTTCTGTTTATCATTGGAATATATCAACAAGGTTATGGTACGAGGCTTCTGTTTATCATTGGAATACGTCACTAGCACTCCATGCATGTACAGTTGCCATTTCAAGGTAATTGATAGAGATCTTACTTTATGAGGGATAAAGTTCTGATAAAAGAGTACAAAATAGATGAGAGATATGAATAGAAAAAACGCACGAGTGTAGGAGGTGCAGCAGGGCAGCCAGCAGGAGGTGTGAGGGGCGTGAGAAGGCAGCGAGCTGGTAGGGCAGGAGGGGCCCGAACACAGCAGGCTCGGGCGGAGGGGCGCTCACCAGCCCCCACAGAGCTAAGTTCGTAGACCAGACGCCAAGGGCTGCAAGCGCTACCGACCCAGTCCACGACTGTAACAACTCATTTGGTGAGCATTGACTCATCACTGGTTGGTGGCAGTGCGTGTTTTTAAATACCTTGAAAGAGTAGAGATCAAAGTAACTCGTATAGATACATATCATTCTATTCCAGAGTCAGGTATAGTGTATGCATTGGGTTCCTGAGACTTCATGAAATCAATTTTAGGTAAATTAAATTTGTAAAGCTGCAAACAAAACCCGATAGACCAGCATAAATAATTCTAAAACATACAGAAGGACCACACTAATGAACTAACCACTTGCAAGAGAGAGGCTGTCGAGGCTATGGAGAGGAAGGAGACCATAGCAGCTGACGTGACCGCTGCCATAAGACAATGCAGGACGCTAACAACGGCAGAACCTTTGCCAGGGGCGATGAAACGCCATGTGCTCGGTCCGAGCACGCCGTCAAATACCGTCATCTCTTCATCAAACGCGGCACTCAGGTGCAGAGCAGCATCCTAAATGAAATAATTAATATGAAGATATGCAAAACGATAAAATTGGTAATGAAAGTGAAAAGTTATTTGCTATTATCTTAAATTGCTCATTGATTGCATTGATGAAATACTGCATTTTAATGCAATATTTTTATATTGGAATCCAGTGCATAGAACTCTGCAAATTAAACAAACAGAATCCAGACCGGGCATTGAATTCATTAGTAAAACACCTTGTAATAATACCATATGCTTGTACCTTGTACAAACACCATATGCTTGTACCTTGTACAAACACCAAATGCTTGTACCTTGTACAAACACCAAATGCTTGTACCTTGTACAAACACCAAATGCTTTTACTTTGTACAAACACCATATGCTTGTACCATGTACAAACACCATATACTTGTACCTAATACAGAGCTGCTGATGAAGTGGTGTTTGTCTCCAAATGCTTCTGAAATACTCATAAATTCCATTCAATTGCTGCACGACTATTGTAGCATTGCATGCCTAATGCTGTTTTTAAATATTAAGTTTTTTATGTGGATTTTAAGGTTTCTAGTGATGACTCAACAAAAAAATGACTAAGGTTCAAATTTTTGGTGCAGTAGCTAAAAAAATTACCTGAATTCATTCCATTGTACAAGGCTTTATTATGAATTGTAATACAAACAATTTCTACAGAAAAAAGAGAGCAACTTGGAGTTACCAAGACTAGTCATTTCAATAGAATATTTCTAATTGAATAATATACTGGGATAAGACAAAATAGAAGAAATGCATTAAAAATCCATAAATTTTATTATGGCGTAGGTCCACCTATTGCAGTAATTCCAGCATATATCCTCTGAGGTATTGATTATTACCAATAATGAATTGCTAGCGTGAGACTAGCACTTGCCATATGAGCCCCAACAATTTGGTCTCTTTGGATGTCACAGACATTTGCCATGTTTGTAAGGTTATGGCAACAACAAAAACATTAAACATTCTTCAAGAGCATAAAATATCAATTAGCAGCAATAACAAACAACAAAACATTGAAATATGTCAAGTTTGTATTGTTAATAACACATTCAAAAATTATAATCTCAAAATGTTAGGTGTTCCCTCTATTTTTCAAGCTCTGTACTTTATGATGAGTCAAATACAGCTACATCTCACTTGATCACTGGGAGAAAGAACTTCTTGTTGACTTTGCAATATGTAGGAGATGAACATCAACAGGAGGCAGTACAGGAAAGTCCAGGCACCACAGCCCAAAGTAGCAGCAAAAGTTGGCAGGCTGCAACAATCTTCCAAAGCTAGAAACACAGTCAAGCCCAAGCCAAGAGGAACAAAAAGAACGCCCTGTAAATAATAAATATGGGTATTATATATAATATGATATGTAGGCTTACAATGATTGCTAAAATTACATCTGTAGCACACACAAAAGACATTCTTCACAAACATTTCAAGAAAAATCTCTTTTCTGTTGTAAATAAGAGCTTCAAGTGACATAAATTTTCAAATCTTTCTTGTTTAAAAACATCTAATATTGATGGCATCACAGAGATGCACCAACTACATAAATTTGAAGGTTAACCATCTAGAAATTTCTTGTAGCATTTGTAAGTGTTACCTGTAGCAGGTATGCATAATGTGGCACAATGCCAGGCATGGAGAGTCTGAGCCCTCCAAGGAAAGTTTGGAGAAGCCTCCGCCATATGAATGGCTGTTTGTATTCATTTACAAGAGGAGCTTCCATTCTGCGCCTCCAAACACTGCTCCAAACTGGTCGGCTTACCCATTCATGAAATGCATTGCTCTGCAATAATAAATCTGCTGCATAAATTTGAAGATTAAACCAAAATAATTTATAAATAATTTAAAATCTTTTCTAAATTTTTACATTTATTTAAAACATTCTGAAATTATTAAAAGCATATACAATAGAACTAATATTCTGCTGAGATAAAGTAGAGAAAACTTGAAATTTTCAAGATGAGATATTAGGGACCATAGCATTCCATTAAAAGCCTAAGTGTTTGTGATCCACATCATATTGCTAAGCATTGAGTTCCTTATTGATAATATGTTGTAGCTGAAAGACTGTTGTGGGATGAGTAGCACACCTGTTGTCTCTATTAAGGTGTATTCACCTGTTTCTGTTGTTGTTGTGGTTCCCCGATCTCTCTTTTACAAGAGACCCCCACCTGTTTCTGTTGAGTTGTTTTGTGCCTTTGCTTTAGTCTTCATCTCACCTTACAGCTCACTGTTTCCTGTTTTAGTCTGTTACAAACATTTATAAACTATGAAGCTGAGCCTGGAAAATTTCAGGTCACTACGGTACTTTGCCATGTTGGTGCATGCCTTGCTGTCATTTACTTATGTACCAATCTGTATATATTTTTAATTTTTATTAGCAATATTCTTTTACTCATACTTGTGTATTGATGAAAATTACTTCTTCAAATTTTGTTCCTTTTTGTTGATGACACAATTAACTTGTGTGTGGTTTGAGGCGAGAAAATAGTTCTTAACTTAAATTAATGGATCTTTGGTTTACAGTGATGAAAAGTGCAAAGTTTAGGATTCCTACCTTAGTTAGGTAAAAGTTGGTTGCTACTTCTTCTTTAAAACACAGGCTGTCTGCAAGTTTGCCTTAACTTGTTTTTATGTCATTCGTTCCATAGTGATAATTTTATATCATACTTGATAGGTTGAGTTTTGCAAACAATTTGCTACAATATTGCATAGGTACTCTTTTGATTGCTACAGCATGGACACTTGGACATTGAAGGTGGCAACTAGGTACCTTAGCTGTCTTCATCTCTAGTTTAATTTTATGCTTTTGACTGCATGTTACTTTGCAAATTTTTGCAAGTTTCATTTTGCAAATTGAACATTTCTAAACAATCAACAATTTTTCACTGGTCATTGAAACTCAGACATAATGTAAAAACCTCATAAGTAAGGTTTTTACTCTTATAAATAATGTAAAAAGCTCATAAGTGAGAAAACTTGTACATAACTTTTTCAATACCATGATGAAATTTAGCATATGTGAAAGAATTTAGAGATACTAAACTAGCTACATAATCCTTGCATGCAATGCAAATGTAACACAATGGTATGATGACCCATTTAAATCCTAATGAATTATATACCTACATCAGAAAATCCTGAACTATAACAATTTATACCAAATGCATAATATTTATTCAATTAAAATTTCATGAATATGAAGCCCACACAAAGCAAGGAAAATCTCAAATAGCAATAATTTGGTACCACATACTTTTATTATAGGATAAATTATTTTGTAATTAACAGAGAAATATATAAAAGAGAATGGTACTTACCATTTCACTACATTTTCTATATATATACTTAACACTGCATTGTTTTCAAAAACACACTCTTTGCCAAAATCTCAAAAAAATTTGCTGGTTTCTGTCTGATTGCTAGTTACATGGCTTTCTAAAAATAATAAAATGTAGGCAAGAAAATACAATTGATATAAGATAAGATTACATTAATTTCAACCAAAAATTGCATAACATTTCCTACATTTCTTAAAGTAACCAAGTCACATCCTAATTGAACTGGACCAAACTTAGTTCATAAATATAACCCTATCCCTATGATGCTATCCCAGGCCATTTAACATGTATTGGAACTTAAAATCTACTAAAAATATCCAATCCAATAGGGCCAGACCCCTAATATGGGCATGAGGCTATGTTATCATGCTTCTTCCAATCACAAATCAGCTGACTAGTATTGTTCCAAACATATTAACACATTCTGCCATACACAAAAATTAAAATATGAGCATATGAGTAAAAGTTTTAACTTGGATAACAAAATTGATGCTCTTTTCTCATTTTTGAAAGCATGGAAGTACTAATATCACTTCAATTATTTAGGATAACTTGATGAAAAGATATAGTAGGTAGTCAAAAGAGATGCATATTGTGGTCATTTTTGTTTTATATTTATAGAAATTTATTAATTTCTATATGTTTTGCAATGAAAACATTTTCCTTCTACCTATGATAAGATGAACTTTTCAATGATAAAATATTTGTGTTTTTACTGTTTTGTAAATTTTGTTCCATAACTGCTAAACAATGGAACTTTACTAATATTACCCTACCACAATGCACAACACACCATGTGCACAACACACCATGTGCACAAAGCCACAAACCATGGGGCATGGTCAAACCCTAACAGGCTAACTAAACAAGCAAAATGGTGGACAGGAAGATGCAGTGTTTGCTTCAGCACCCAGGAAGCATTTAGTTTTAAAAATCCTGCCCAACTAGCAGCTGGATTTGAGCCGTTCATGTTTGGAAAAAAAAAAAAAAAAAAAAAAAAAATTATGCTGTCATCTTGCTTCTCAAGAAATTTCTGTCATCTACTTGCTTGGCTGCAATTCATTAAGGGTGCCACTTTTTACTAAACAAATTTATATTGGACTGGGCCATTAATTAAAGATGGTGAGAAAACAAGCTAACACTCAGTCACTCACTAACAGCTCTTCAACTTCTTCAAGCATGATCTCTAAATTTAAGAAATTCTGAGCTCTGTTGGTAGTTGCATAGTGATAGTGGATGTTGCAAAAAAGACTATTTTAGAGTCCAATTATTGAGTGTGAACTGTGAGTGGCAATGGCAGTACCATGGTTCATGTTTAGTGATGCAGTAGTTATTCAGTGATGCGACAGTGCCTTCCTGTTTAACTGACAGTGCCTTCCTGTTTAACTGACAGTGCCTTCCTGTTTCAGTTCATATTTCTGTATTATTTCAAAGTTAAGTTTATTGCATACAATTGACTGACCAGGATAAATTAAATAATTTAACTGTTACAAAGATATTAGGCATTGCCGCATTCAGCGCATTGTTACATGAAAATGTTTACTTGTATCTAACCCCTGGGGCCTGGTCTACTTACTAGTGAAACTAGTTAATCGTCATGAGCTACCTAGTCCATAGTGACAAACCAGAGAATTTTTAGAATCAGTTCATTTTTAATTTCCTCATTTACTCAAGACTTAAACCAATATCTTATGTATGATGATGCTGGTATCCATGATAGTGATGATACTTTACTGGTCTACTTATAGGACTCAAAAATGAACTTGAGGGAGAGTCTAAAAAAACTCTCTGCTTTGCCTGGTTTGCCACTAATGCCCACTATGACCTAGTCAGCCTAACCCCTCAGGGGGACTTCTGAAAGGCGTCTGTGCTCATCAGAACTTTAAAGTGTATCAAACCTATGCATCCACTTCTATATTTATTTGACCTTACAAAGTTACAATTTTTTATGAATCCATTTTTCTGTGCTGGTTCTAAATCTAAACGCTTGACATTAATGGGTTAACTGTTAACACACACAGCACAGAAAAATGCTTCCTTTTTTCTTCATTATTTGCAAATTCCATAACAGGCATGACTTTCCATACCTAACCTGAAATGAAATTCCATGACTTTCCAGGTTTAGAGGTTTTCTATGACCAGTAGTACACACCCTGCTACTACTCATACATATTACATAGGCCCTAACATGGTACTTTTTTACTTATGACCTGGGCCCTGCCGGGCCTGCCCTGGCTGCAATTTTAATAACGAATAAATTTTAACAAACTGCTGTCATTTTAATTTTTTTTTTAATTTTTTTTTTAACAAACTGTAACAAACGTTGCGAGTCTGAGAGCTCAGAGCTGTGGCCTGTGACTGCGAGTGTGAGACAATAGGCGTGGCTATTAAAAGTATTGATGTAAGATTGCATTTAAAATTGTAAATAATTTTTATTAATTTATATACACTAAAACTTCACAATAAATTGCCACTATCACTATGTCAGTTCCTGTCTTCAATGTTGACCGTGCTATGTTAATATATATATATTTAAGCAGTATGAAACGGTGAAGTTAACACTTAACACTAAAAAGCAGTTAGCAGCGACACTGGCCAGTGGTCACTGGGTGAGCCGTGAGCGTGAGCCGTGACCCCCCAGAATTACCCCCAGGGGCAGGGGGTAATTCTGGAACCATAAATTGATACATTTCCAAAATTGCCCTGTCAAATTCCAGAAAAAAGTATATCAGTAAAATGTAAATGGAAAATCAAATGTACTCGATTATAAGGAATTGAATTAAACTCAACGACCCACTCAAAGAAACTATTTTCGACTACAGTGCTACATACGCTGACTGAAGGGGCGCAGAAGCGATGGTGAATGACTGATCCATAACTCGCCGCGGCGTCTCGCATTCCGCGAATCGGTAAAATAGCAGTGTTGCCTTTAGCCTAGGGTAGTGGTTCCCAAACTTTTTCAGGCTGGCGCCCCCTTTGGCTCCCCAGTGAATTTCTAGCGCCCCCTCCCTCACAGACACATATAAAAACATACGCATATTTCTTGATATTTAGTACGCTGCAATTTAATAGAGGAATTGTAAACACAAATGCGTATTTCACAAATAGAACCCCATTTAGTAAACCAACATATTTATTAGCAGTTTTAACTGTTTCTGCACTAGAAACCCAGGACGTCTCGGACAAATTTACGGCCAGAAGAAAATCTCCCAAATTAAGGAACGCAGCTCGATAAAACTTGGACACGTATTCATAAGGACCTAACGGTGATGCTTGGCTCGTAATTTTTTTTAGAATTTCTCCTTCATCTGTGAGTTATATGTCGATACGGGCCCAATTTCGTAGTGATCAAAGAGTTTCTTCCAAACTACAGAACCAATTCGAACGTAATTTTTAATATACACTCCAAATGATGATATTTAGCTCGTGAAAAATTTTCGATTTTGCCTTCGTTTGCCAGATTTTTTTTTCATTTCACCGTCATTCGTGATTTTACGCTTCTTTATTCAGCCCGTGTAGCCATGTAATTTGTCGCTTAAATTCGCGGTGATCAAGAAATGTCTTCCAAAGTACTGAACAGATATGAATGAAACTTAGTATATAAATACCTAACTTCAGCAACGGTGATGTTTAGCTCACGACAATTTTTTTCTATTTTGCTTTCGTTCGCGAGTTCTATGGATATACGGAGAAATGACCGGCATTTCGACCGGCCGGTTTAACCAACAGCCGTATACGTATAACCGTATAACTCACAAACGAAGGCAAAATTGACAAAAATTGTCACGAACAAAACATCACCATTGTTGAGGTTAGGTAATTATATACTAACTTTTGTTCAAATCTATTCAGTAGTTTAGAATAAAT